GCCCAAAGGGCATTCGCACAAACTCGAATAATCCAAACGGCGTGGTGACAGCAGTTTTCGGAATGTCAGCTGGCTCAATAGGTATGTGGTGGTAAGCTTTTACTAAGTCCACCTTGCTGTAAATGGAGGTCCGTTGAGTTGTTTTGTGAAGTCATGCAGGTGTGGTAGAGGGTAACGATCAGGCAATGTGTTGGCGTTGAGGGCGCGATAATCGCCGCACGGCCTCCAGTCTCCTGGCTCCTTCTTGGGCACCATGTGTAGAGGTGATGCCCAGCAGCTGTTCGACGGCCGAATGATTCCGAGCTCGAGCATGTGCTCAAATTCCCGTCGAGCAGTTTGGAGTTGTTCACCGGAGAGGCGACGAGGTCGTGCGTATACAGCTGGACCAGAGGTGACGATGGTGTGAGTCACACCATGCTTGGTCGGTTGTGCCATGTTGGAAGGCCTCGTGACTTCAGGAAACTCGGTAAGTATAGATGCGAATCCCGTAGATGGTAAGATTTGGCGTATGCCAAGTGATGAAACGGTTGCAAACATACCATTTACAGCCAGGCGTGTCGTACCATCGAGAAGACGACGGTGGCGCATGCTGACATCTAAGTTAAAGTTGGACAAAAAGTCAGATCCTAAGATGGGACAGACTTGATGTCACCGATGATGAAGAGCCACCTGAAAATTCGACATAACCCTAGATCGAGAGTCATTGATCGCATACCGAAGGTGGGTATGGTAGATACATTTGCTGCGATTAGGTTTCTGCTTTTATCCAGGTGTCTTCTCTCTGCTGCTGAGGGTGGGATGACAGACACTTCGGCGCCGGTGTTGACAAGAAGTCTGCAGCCGGCGAACTGATCAGCAATGTAGAAAAGGCGGCATGCTGGTCGGCCGAAGTCACTTACCGCCTTTAGTGACTGGCCGGGGTATTTTCCTGCCAGACACAAGGGGGGAGACACTTCAGGGCTTGCTGTTCGTACTTTCGGTGGTACCAGCAGGTACTCGGACTTGGTGACGGCGATTGCGCTCGAGCGGAAGATGAGTTCCCCTGGTGGGAATGGCTGCGTTGTGAAGAACGCCGCATACCACCGGCATGTTTTTGCAGGGACGCGACGGTCGACCTTTGCTTGAAGTTCCTGTATGTCGGTTGCCGACGACTGAGGTTCTGTCAACGCAGCTAGCGTCGGTGTCGCGTACTCCGCCACACAGTCAGCCATTTCAGCAAGACGGTCCAAGGACACGTCGTTTGCTGGGGCTAGGACCATGTGAATGCCTTGCGGTAGCCGTTGCAAGAACAGCTCCTGTAAGATCGAGTTGTTTACGTCAGAGGCCTGTTCTCCAAGAGGCTGGTGCATCCGGTGCAGGAGTTGTGACAGCCATTGGTCTCCGAGTTCTTCGGTTGTCAGAAGACGTTGGAGCGGATTGGTGGTCGATTCCGACTTCCTCAGTAGGACAGCGGCCTGTAGTTGGTCGTACACATCTGCAGGTGGGGTCGCCGCAAGCACGTCGTTGAGTTCGTCAGCGATGTCAGGTGGTAGGGCGGATACTATGTAGTAGTATCTGGACAGCTGGGTGTTGACTCTCCTCAAGTGAAATTGGGCCTCTACCTGAGCGAACCAAGATCAACGGTTCTTTGCCCAAAATGGTGGGAGTCGTACCTGTAGTGTGGCCAGTGCTGTGTTTTCGGGAGATGCCTGGTTCATGATGTTGTCCGATGTCCCATGCTCGTCCGCGTAACGAGACCCGTCAGGTCGGTTCATGACCCTGAAGTGCAGTCCGGGATTGGGGTAGGGCGATGGATGCTGGTCAGCGGACGAGTTTGCTGATGTGTCGAGGTTGGAATCCGTCTTCGGAGGTCTCCGGGTCACCAATTGAAGTCGCCAAGGTGGCCCTTCATTTTTTACAGGATATATTTACAGATACCGTCCGGACCGGGAACCAGCCAGCTGAAGGCGTAGCCGTCGAAACCTTTCTCGAGCCACCTGCCCGAGCGATATCTCGTGGAGCTTTTTTCTTTTTCTTTCACCCGCGCGTCTTTGCACGTGGCTCGCTTTCGGTGAGCCACATCGCCATTGCGGACACCTAGTTGCTACAGTCTCTAAGAATTAAATAAAGACAATTAAACAATGAAGTTGTGCATGTGTCTTCGTTGCAATCATATGCAAATCGTACAGATGATGTATAGCTGTCGTAAAGACAACAGTACCGCTGGTCCTCCATCTTCCCGTGAAGTGGATCGGCTCTACGATTTTTTTCGTATGCACAAGGAAAAAATGGCAAAAACCGTTTGGTCGACGCTACTGGTCACAGATGGCACAAGATACAGCAAGCTTGGAATAATTCAAACCCAGATATCTCAGACTTCTGGTTAATTCAAACAAATTTCAAAATTTTGACTGTCCCGCTATGCGTTTAATGTATGCACAAGCCGCTTAATTCGAACTGTGTTTTCGTGTAGTTCATACTTATTGTTACCGCGGCCCCGTTGATTGCACTTCTTTCCAAGCACCGGTGCACTGCAGAGAGGAAACACCTGCGGAGCTTGATTACGCGGTTGTTACGAAGTTACTGTCACGCGGTGCCCGTTTTCATTGCTCATGCTTAATAGTTCAAATCAAACAACTTTGTTTCCCGATGAACAAACTTAATTTTGTTTGGAGTTGTCATGTGCTGTTTAAACAGCCCATGATAACCAACATTTTTGAGGGACAAATAAACTTATGTCATACATTTCACAAATGTTTCATAAGTGGCATCCCTGCTTATGATCAGCAGGCCTATGTAAAGGAAATCATCAAGTATCTGCTTTGTATGAGTAGCCATTCATATGAAAAATCATAATTTTATCTTGCATCAAACTTAGATGAATTTCTGATAATTCAGACAAAATTTGTGGCTTCCTCAAGTTTCGATTTATGAGAGTCTTCTGTAAAGCAAAAAAGTGACTGATGAGTGAGATGAATAGCGAGATGAATACACAAAAACAAATCCAGCAAATCCGAGCGTGTGTGGTACAGATGGTTTTCCCCGATTCCACTCCTATGCGAGGGGAAAAAAAACAGCTTTTCTCAGGCTTAAAGTTTTTCCCTAAGACCTACGCTCAAAGAATTTCAGTATATGTGCAACACCTGAAGAAATCGTTGTGAAAAGCTTCATTGCAGCCTGTTCAATGGCTTATTTATAGAATTTTTTTTTTTACATCCGAAGAGGGCTTGAGAGCACCCCATACAAAACAAACTCCGAGAGTAGTGAAGGGCCGTCCAGACGGTACACTTCAGGAATAAGTAAAGTGACGCTTCTCCGCCGTATAAAGTGCAACGATCTGCTTCCACCTTGGTTTTTGCTAGTGGGAAAGCCTTCCTCCACCAATGTCCGCTTTTGTCCTTCATGGAAGCTTAGAGCATGGCCATCACGTGGACCCGGATGTTCCACGCCCCGTTGGCTGTCAGTCAATCGCTCGAGGCCTCCGCCGTTCTATGAGCCCCGAAAACGGGAAAGGGAAGGACACGAGGGCGCTGCAGGACCAACGAACAGGCAGTGGGCACACCACCGGCGGGTGGTGCGCGACATCAAGTCTCACGACCGCCGACTTCATAAAAAAGTGGAGGACGCTAGGAGGGAAGCCGCTTTTGCACGGCGGTCATCCAAACAGAAGACGGACTGCCGGACTTCAACTTTTGCTTCACATGGCGGAGAAGCGTCGCCTCGCACGTTCCGAAGTATCCCGTTTAGACGCCCCTTTGCTTCGTGCCGTCTGCGACGACATGAGGCAGCCTCTCGGAAAGCCTCTAGACGGTGATTTAAAAACGTTCAGCCTTTCCACTCTCGTGAAGAAGGAAGACCAGCGGAGCTCTACTCAATACACTGGCGCAACGCGCACGCACGCGTTTCCCGCTTCTTCTCGTCCGACACGCCGCCGATCATGGACACGTCTCCGGCGAACCAGAGTCGGTCGCACACGGCGCACGTGACGCCAAACGGGCAATCCACGAACTCCCTCCGGAACCTCGCCGTCGCGCCCGGGAACTGTTCAGCCACCGTGGAGTGCAGTTGTCGCCGGGCCTCGCGCTTGTACTTGGCCTCTGTGGCACGATCGTTGTCAATGACGTTGGCCCGCCGGCGCCCTTTACATCGCTGGTTCTGTTCTCAGTGGAGGCTTTCCAGGCGAGCGATGTGCTCTTCTTAGGCAAGAAAATCTGAAGCGCTTGACGCAGTGGAAGTCAAGGCGACAGTGGCTTCGCGGCGGTTGCAGACCCATTCGCACTGCTGCATACGTCACCGGTCCTTTCGCAGCCAGTCTTCTTTCCCCGAAAGGACGCAGCTGACCCATTCTAAGTCCAAGCCGAAACTGATAAGGGCGTAGGAAAAAGCGCGCAAAACAGACGAGGACGAAGTGACGTACGTGACGAGCGCTGCGCTCGTTACGCGTGCTTCTTCCTTGTCGTCGTCTCTTTTGGTGCTGTTTCCTCCGATGAATTCCCACCAACACACCCAGCAATCCATTCTTCTATGATAGCTGGAAAGGTTGGCGCATTCTGCGAGCGACGGCAGCAACCAGACTAGTTGTGTGCTCGCCGCCGTCGCTTATAAATGGCAGTAGCTGTCCAGGTAGGTTTGTGTCAACAGCCGTTTGATACCGGACACGATTCTGGGGAACCTAGCCCTTAACAGCTCCGCTGTAAAAGCACAAATGACTAAAAAGAGAAGAAGGGGACAGGAAAGAGCACTTTGTCCTGTCCCCTTCTCTTCTTAGTCATTTGCTCTTTTTAAATCACTATCTAGATGTTCAACCAACTAGCCCCCAAATGATCTTGATCCTCTCGGAGAGCGCGGCCAAGAATGTTGTGGACCTCCTTGGCCGCGCGCCGTCGAGAAGGCGGGGAGCACACGGTTGATTCGATCGGTCCTCTACCCGGTAACGGCCCAAAATGCGCGCAATGTGCGATGTCGGTTGCTGCCTGTACCGCACGCGGCGCGGGTATGCATTCCGGGAAGTTGTCACCCACCTTGGCGGCGGACATCTTGTGTTCGGGGGTCTCGCTGAACAGGTCTCTGAGCAGGGCGAAGAAGCATGAGGGTCGGCACGGGGGACTAGGGGGAGGGCCCACGCTGCACGCGCTCCTGCACGAGAAGGCAAGAACGAGATGAGGCTCAGGAACGCCGAGGCCCCTTCTGGGAGGTCGCAGCGGGCTCCACGGGAAGGCGGTTCTCGAAAGTGCTTCCACGGTTTCGGCCAGATAACGTCTTAAAGTGTCATGGTGTTGCCTACTGCAATTCTGACGGTGGCGCGGCAGTGCAAATGAATGTGGCAGACGCCCGTCCTGCTGTAGGTCACTCTGCAGCCAGAGAGTTAACAAAAACCGAAGCAGACGAGAGATGGGATGCTGCGACGACAGCGAACCTTGTGTCTGCTCGCCTTTTTCGCCGGCGTTTCCACGACACACCGCCTGAACCGTGACATCTGACGGCCCAACTAACCGGCTCCTGCGATACTAATTGTTGTCCTTTTGAGACCACTTTCAAAGCATAGGTGGGATAGGATGGTAAATACACTGGTTGAAGACGCGTTCCAAGTGCTGTAATGACAACGAACGCGTGCATGGCACCGCCGCCCGCCACGCACTTGCTTTCCTTAAGCAAGGTGTGCTTTGACTTTGAAGCGAGTGCCTTCAAAAACGTCTGTTTAGTCTCTGTCTGTAAAGGACTACGAAATGAGATTTCAAAGCCAGCTCGAAAATCAATTCAAACATTTTTTCAGGAAATGGATTTTCGGAGAGAAGTTTAAGGAACCGCAAAAGTTCGAGGTCCTGCAGATTCTTTGCGAGGTGACCTCGCAAGCCGAGAAAGAGGACAGCCAAATTTTTTTCTTCTCCAGTTTTTATTGAGTGCCGGAATACGCAAATTATGGATTCTGCAGACCTGCAGTTAGATGCTGAATTTGTTTGGCAAAATTATCAAATGATAAACCTTGCTCGAAAGCTGCCAGTAAAGACGTAATTCTTTTACCGATCCTTTCGACGGATTTCAATAGCGACCGTCGCTGCCTTTTTTGCAGAACACTTCCGCACAGAGAAGTTGAGCAACCAAAAGTGAGTGACAAACATTTGCTCGCACAAAGAAGCTGCAATGGTAACGAGACTACCGCAGCAGTCTTGCAGGACCCTATTGCGAGAGTGAAGCAACCAGAAATGCCATTTGCCGCTCAGCTGACAGAGGGGGGGAGCATCTTTCTTGCCGGACCAGTCAATCTCCTGTCTCTTACCGCCTAACCCCACTCTCTGCACGACAGAACCGTAATACCCCAAGATATGCCCACCCCCAAAAGATAATTCGCCTTAAGTTGAGCCTAGTTGGGTCATATTAGTGATGCATCAGCTTGAACTTACAGAAATGGACGTAGAAAGTACAGGACAAAAGAAAACAGCTGACTAAGAACTTTGCTTTCGTACTCTTCTTCTTCCCACAGCTTGTAAAAAAAGGCGATTGCGAAGAAGGAGAGCACTGAAGAAAAGTTATCTGTCAGGTCTCATCCATTGTCCTGTTCTTTCCACGCCTATTTCTGTAAGTTCAAGCTGATGCATCACCGATAATTCGCCCCTTATTTTTGGCATCATTTGCTATTTTTTGAAAAAAAACCAAAAGATAGCCCATTTCTAATAATTGCAGTGCCCTGGCCAATAGTGACCTCGGCAGAAACGGTGTTACTTAGCCACGGAAGGAGATGGGCGAACAGTGAGAACTGGGAAGGACAGTCGTCTGGTTCATTGATCCTCCCTGCAATCACAAGTTTTGCAGGTCACTAAATCAAAAACTAACAATTTTGCAACATTTTTTTTTTTTTTTTCCGCATTGAAAATTAGTTTACTCTTCATTTTCATCTGATTTGCTTTCGATTTTAGGTGGGCTATCTCTCGGGTACAGTACGAGCAGAAAGTGCAGACCGATGGTTGATTAATTCAGCGGGCATTTAGCTTCCACCACCCTGTTGGCTCAGCAGTGAACGAAGGACACATAAACAACTTCATTTTTGCGGGCTCAATATTTTGCAAAGTCGGCGCAGTACGGGTTTCAGGAATATCTTGCCGGCACAAAATTTTATGAATCGGGGCGGTACACTATGTATTTGTTACCATAGGAAAAGATACTAGTTGGGTCTATATTTTTTGCTATATTATTCTAGTCGCAAACTTTGCGAAAATGAGGTCCTCACAAAAATCGAGTCGTTCACAGTCCACCATTTCAATGACCGCCTTCTGTACGCTGCCCTGTTCGTCTACCGGGCAGGGGCATGCGTTCCGAGCAGGCAAAGGGGGCGGAGGCACTCACGGGGGTCGAGCCGCCGGGGGCGACGGGGGCGGGGCCTCTGCCGGAAGCTCCTCCTCCTCTTCTTCCTCCTCGGGTGGCGGGGGGGAAGGCGGGGCCGGGGGAGGGGCCTCCGGGGCAGGGGGCGACGGGGCGCGCTCTCCCACCACGGGCGCCGGGGCCACTGCCACGCGCGCCTTCTTGGGACGACTCTCCTCTGCATGGAGCACCAGACGACGGTTAACGAGGACGGGTAACGCCGGCGCCCCTAAGTGAGCAATGCATGGAGCGTCGGCACTTTGTAATGTCTCGTGGGAGTCGCCATCTTGGTGCCTATTGCGGATCAGATGCGTATAACAAACATTACGATAATAAAATGCGACTTTCTGAGCTTTAAAGGGATACTTCAACGAAATTTGAAATATACCCGTCGTGTTCAGAAATATGTTCATATGATTCACAATATTCGTAAATTATAATCGCACGTTTGTGTTCTGAGCCTGATGGCTGTAATTTTCGTTATAAACGGCCCACTCTGGCAAGCGCTCGGACAGCAACCAGCAGAGAGCATGTCACATCCGCCACAATCCTGACGTAGTTCGTTTTGGGAGGAGCAAAGCTGCGGCGAGGCTGACGTCGAGAGGATGTCCCAGTCGTTCCAGCCACCGAAGCGGCTGCTTTTGTACGAATTTTGAGTGATTGGTTAATCTTCTATAATCTTGAAGAGGGACAATAGCGACTTTTGGGACACACAAAAGATATTCTCGGGGAGAGGGGAATTCCTCCTACCCCTCTCCTCTCGTGGTGGCCGGAGGCAAGACAGTTTTCGTCACTACCTGTCAAGGTTCCTAGACTGGCATTACAAACAAGGCGTTAGCGACATTCACCAGGTGCTTTGCTGATTGTGTAATTCGTTTTAAAATTCCTTTTCGCGTCGAGATTGGAGTGTCCAATGTGAACACATATAAACCAAGAAATAAGCGCCGAAATTTCTTTGTAGTATCCCTTTAAGCACGGTGTAGGGAAGTTTGGGCGACGTTGTTTCACTACGTCGCGGATTGCTCGAAAACTTTCTGGAGGAAAAAGGAGCACTTCCTGCGATTTTAAACAAAGATTTAGACGACTCTCATTACAACAAGGTGGAAAGTTGGGCGAGTTGATTGATGGTCATATTGAATGGGTTAAAACAGTGCAGAAAGACGAAGGACCAGTAAAAGAAAACACACAGACACAGCGCTGTAGCAGCGCTGTGTCTGTGTGTTTTCTTTTACTGGTCCTTCGTCTTTCTGCGCTGTTTTAACCCATTCAATATGACTCTCATTAATTCAAACTTTCTTAATTCAAATTTGCAGATAATTCAAACTAGCATGCAGGTCCCATCCTATGCGTCTCTATGAGAGGAAACTCCTGATAATTCAAACTTTGCTTCATTCAAACATATTTCCAGCGCCCCTCGAGTTTGAATTAACGAGATTCGACTGTATAGTGAGACTCTGAGACCTCCACTGAGCAAATGACGTAGTATATGACGTAGCAAGGTCCCGACTCGAGGAGAGCTCGAGAAAAATCAAGACAAGGTGGCAGTTAGTGGCCAAAATAATTGAAACCTGTAAGTGTGGAAGACTACTAAAGAAGGAGAGATTGAACGTGACGATAGCCCCGTGATCTAGGAGGAGCTGCACCGTGCATCTCGTCGAAAGGTACAAGGGAGCCACTCTCTTCTTATACTAGAACGGCGATTCCGTCGTCACTACAAACTGCGGGCCCACATGCCATAGACCAGTGGTTCCCAAACTTTTTGGACCCACAGAACCCCAGGAAGCCTTGAAAACTGCCGTGGAACCCCCGCCCCTGCCCATGTTTGCCAGCCGAGAAGCAATAAAAGCCCAATTGTAGGCAATTTTGCTTGTGTTGCTTCTCATATACTATCCCCACCAGATCAATTGCCAAGTCAGTACAAAGGGAGATGAAGGCGCGTTGCACAGTCATGCCGCGCAGCCCACGACATGAGGGGTGCAATTTGGGTGTTCGCGGAACTCATGAGACCAGCCTGAGGAACCCCTGTATTCCGCGGAACCCAATTTGAGAACCCCTGCAATGGACGATTCTGAAAGCCAACCAGGGACGTCACAAACCCGTCAAAATTTGAGTTCGACCGGGTTTGGCTTTTTCATACTCTTAAAGACCGACCAACGAAACCATTTTCCGCAAGGTAGGAAAATGCCCCTCGCGTCCTCCTCCTTTCACCCTCTCCCAAAAATCACGTGACGGCAGAGGCTTCTTTTGTGTCGGCTTTTTCTGTAGGGATAATCCTCAAAAAGCGCGAAACGAGCGGCTAGCTGCGAGCGCCACAACGACCTTGAGACGTCCAGGTGTCTTCCCTCGTTGACGCGGGCACACGCAATCCGCAGGATTGAGGAAGCCAGCGCGACCGAACTCTTTTTCCCATGAGCTGCAGGTCCGAGGCCGCTCGGTCGGTGAAGATCGAGGGGTCTTGGTATGCTGGGTTCGTTCCAGCAGCCGCTTTCTGGCATCGCGCGGCTGCTGGAACCATTCTCGCGTCTGCACACGGATTGGCTTGCACAATAAAGGGTTCAGGTCGTCCATAATACATTTATTTCCGAAACTTATAAATCAAGTGGCTTTCCCTAATCTCTTCATTACTGTTTGAAACACATCTCCTCTCATAGGTTGTTCATCCCATTTTGGACTCTTTTGCGTATTTATTCCTCCATACGTCTGCTTGATGACTGTTTTATAACTTGATAAAGACCTTTAAATATTGGCTCGGGCTTGCGCGATCAACGCTGTCCCGGATTTATTCAATATTGGAAAGATTGGCGTCAGGAGGGGTTGAAGAAGCAAACCGTAATTTTTGCTTCTAATGAGGACGGCACAATCGTAAGATAGGTCTTTGCTTCACCTGTATCCACAACGCCCCATCGTTTGCACGATCATAATTTCTCAGTGACATAGGTGTATACCACCTTTTACTCATGGTTACTATAGATGGGGCCCCACAGGCTTTCCCGTTATCAGCGAGTCGACTTTTTAACGACCGGCGACTCTCCTGAGTGAGAATAAATATTATCACCTTCAAACAACATCCACCCCTTTCTCCCCCCCTTTCCCGAGTTGGGGAAATATCAGGCAACTCCGGGAAGCAGCCTGCAGACTGCGCTTTTCGGCTACTCATTCTCAACACATTCGAACGTGGAAGTAAACACATCACATCAACGACGCCCTGTTTATTTGCAACCTAAATAATGTGGCTCTTCTGTTGGGACCCAATCAATTTCATCATCAATCATTATTTGTTACAACTTCATGGTGAATGTGTGTTCGTAGTGATGCCACAAAGTGGTCGATTCAAAGGGAGAAATAGGTCCTCGTATTTATTTTGCGGAAATACTCGCTCCTGTGACGCTCTAGTGCGTAAGGTCAAAGCACCCGAGGCAGTGCGTAATACTTTAAAACTGTCGTTGATGATGAAATATTTGTGGGAAGCGCGTAAAATTGTTTACACCACGAAGACATACCTAAACACTACAAAATATCGCAATTGCAAAAAAATACAGAAAAAAATCAGCTTGCGAAAACCGTTGTTTTCCTCTCTCTCTATTTCTTTTTTTTTTCGCGCCACTACAAAAAAAAAAAAAAAGCGGCCGAGCAACGAAATTTTATCAAAACCTCGCTTCTTGGAGAAAGGACACCAGGCTATATGGTAGTGAATCTGCCAGGGAGTTTGTAGAAATAATGGGCGACCATTGAATCTGCACGAATCATGCCCGCGATATTTCCATTTTCCTTCCACGCGATTAGAAGGCAAGACGCTGGGATAATTCATGTGCACTAACATTCTGCTTCTAAAAGAAAGTACCAGATTTCTAGCGCATGTCATTTTAGATGTAAATAGTTTAATCACTGTGCACAAACATTCAAGGCCTGGAGGATGACATGGAAGCATGGCGGAAAGCAGCTTGCTGAAAATAGAAGTCTGTATTGCATTGCACTGGTGTTAAAAAATATTACGTATTTTTGTCTTATTTCCGTGCCAAAATAAAAACAGCGTTTAGAAACCGAACACTGCGTTTTGAGGAGCGCCGAAAGGACATTAAAAACCGGGACAACCAGAGCTTGTCCTGGTTCCTTGTTTGTTCGGAGCCTTTCAAAAGGGGATGAAAAATTATGAACCGAGTGACCCGACTTACCACATTAGAGCAGTTAATTTCCATTGCGACAGGCTGTCTTCAAGCGTCTAGCATAGTCCAGCTTGTACTGGTTCGTTTTTACTTTCGGTTCCTTTCAAAACGTTGGCTCTAAGCCACTGGACCAAACTACCACATTCATAATCTGCGGAAGCGGAGAAGTGGAAATGCAACAAAATGAATGGTTCGCCCACGACCGGATAGAAGGGAGCCGAAATTTCTTTCAAGAAACACACAATCTTCTCTTCAATTCTGTCTAACAATTTTATGTGAAGGTGAAGGTGTACTTGGCTATGGCATTATTCGTTTAGGAATCAAGCGAAACTTTGTATTGGATCATTAGATGTCTACGTTCACTCCCATTCGATGCTTATCATGTTCTCGACTATGTACACGGGGTGGTTTTCAGCGGTAGGTTTTTAATCTGATTGCCCGCCCGCCAAAGCGCGAGCCAGAACGCACTACGGCCGCGGGCCGTCGCGCTCTTCTCCTTCTTCTCCGTATCAATATACAATCAAAGACGCAGGCGGGGCCGTCAATCGTGCTGGTGTCGGGAACCAGTAATTCTGACCCTTGAAATGCAGGCGTGACGCAAAACCCAGAGGCGTATCGTTCGCCCACCTACGTTCCTCCCAGGCGGCGGAGACTGTCGTTTAGAGGGGATTATATTCTGAACGGAATCGGATCCAAGTTACTCGAGCAAGCTCGCATTCTGCTCGCAAAGCCCAGCCACTAAGCAAATGTAACGGACGGTGGTTCGAGAGGCGTGCAACCCTTGCCCGCTTCGCCCTCCCAACCACTTCTCCGCTTCCGTAAATTTTGAATGTTGTGGGTTGGTCCAGTGGCTTAGAGACCACTTTTTGATAGGAACCGAAAATAAAAACGGACCAGTACAAGCTCAACTATGCAAGATGCTTGAAGAGAGCCTGTCGTAATGAAAATGAACTGCTCTAATGTGGCAAGTCGGGTCAATCTGTTTATAATTGTACATCCCCTTTTAAAAGGCTCCGGAAAAACAAGAATCCAGGAAAAGCTGAGTGACGCAAGGCGCCTCGTATTGTTCAGGTTGTCCCGGTTTTTTATATCCTTTCGGCGCTCCTCAAAACTCAGTGTTCGGTTTCTAAACGCTGTTTTTATTTTCGCACAGAAATAAAACAAAAATACGTAATAATGTTTCACACCAGTGCAGTGCAATAGAGACTTCTATTTCCAGCAAGCCGCTTTCCGCCATGCTTCCATGTCATCCTCCAGGCCGCGAATGTTTGTGCACACTGATTGAACAATTTACATGTAGATTGACATGCACTAGAAATCTGGTACTTTCTTTTAGAGGCAGCATGTAAGTGCACATAAATTCCCCCAGCGTCTTGCCTTCTAATCGCGTGGAAGGAAAATGGAAATACTCATTCACAACCATATATCCTGGTGTCCTTTCTCCAAGAAGCGAGGTTTTGATACAATTTCGTTGCTCGGCCACTATTTTTTGTAGTGGCGCGAAAAAAGAAGAGAGAGAGAGGGAGGGGGGAGGAGGGAGAAAGCAACGGTTTTCGCAGACTGATCGTTTTTGTTTTGTTTTTCTGTATTTTTTTGCAATTGCAATATTTTGTAGTGTTTAGGTATGTCTTCGTGGTGTAAACAATTTTACGCGCTTCCCACAAATATTTCATCATCAACGACAGTTTTAAAGTATTACGCACTGCCTCGGGTGCTTTGACCTTACGCACTAGAGCGTCACAGGAGCGAGTATTTCCGCAAAATAAATACGAGGACCTATTTCTCCCTTTGAATCGACCACTTTGTGGCATCACTACGAACACACATTCACCATGAAGTTGTAACAAATAATGATTGATGATGAAATTGATTGGGTCCCAACAGAAGAGCCACATTATTTAGGTTGCAAATAAACAGGGCGTCGTTGATGTGATATGTTTACTTCCCCGTTCGAATGTGTTGAGAATGAGTAGCCGAAAAGCGCAGTCTGCAGGCTGCTTCCCGGAGTTGCCTGATATTTCCCCAACTCGGGAAAGGGGGGGAGAAAGGGGTGGATGTTGTTTGAAGGTGATAATATTTATTCTCACTCAGGAGAGTCGCCGGTCGTTAAAAAGTCGACTCGCTGATAACGGGAAAGCCTGTGGGGCCCCATCTATAGTAACCATGAGTAAAAGGTGGTATACACCTATGTCACTGAGAAATTATGATCGTGCAAACGATGGGGCGTTGTGGATACAGGTGAAGCAAAGACCTATCTTACGATTGTGCCGTCCTCATTAGAAGCAAAAACTACGGTTTGCTTCTTCAACCCCTCCTGACGCCAATCATTCCAATATTGAATAAATCCGGGACAGCGTTGATCGTGCAAGCCCGAGCCAATATTTAAAGGTCTTTATCAAGTTATAAAACAGTCATCAAGCAGACGTATGGAGGAATAAATACGCAAAAGAGTCCAAAATGGGATGAACAACCTATGAGAGGAGATGTGTTTCAAACAGTAATGAAGAGATTAGGGAAAGCCACTTGATTTATAAGTTTCGGAAATAAATGTATTATGGACGACCTGAACCCTTTATTGTGCAAGCCAATCCGTGTGCAGACGCGAGAATGGTTCCAGCAGCCGCGCAATGCCAGAAAGCGGCTGCTGGAACGAACCCAGCATACCAAGACCCCTCGATCTTCACCGACCGAGCGGCCTCGGACCTGCAGCTCATGGGAAAAAGAGTTCGGTCGCGCTGGCTTCCTCAATCCTGCAGATTGCGCGTGCCCGCGTCAACGAGGGAAGACACCTGGACGTCTCAAGGTCGTTGTGGCGCTCGCAGCTAGCCGCTCGTTTCGCGCTTTTTGAGGATTATCCCTACAGAAAAAGCCGACACAAAAGAAGCCTCTGCCGTCACGTGATTTTTGGGAGAGGGTGAAAGGAGGAGGACGCGAGGGGCATTTTCCTACCTTGCGGAAAATGGTTTCGTTGGTCGGTCTTTAACGCAAAGTTTGAGAAAAGTTTGAACGAAGTTTGCCTATTGTGTGCAAGTGTGAAAATTGAGAACGAGCTGACATCACCTGGCAGAGGGCGGAAAGAAATTAGTGAAACCATTAAATGATTATATGTCTGGTCTTACATTGCACAAACATTGGAAACCTTTTTCTATAATTTAAAATAAACTACCGCCTGAATTACAAGAAGCAAAAGTGTGCAAGCGAGCTGGTTAGGAAACATCCTGCTCTAAACCCTCAGACACGGAAGAAATAAAATAACGTGCAAGAGGACAGAAAATCTCAAACGCCGCCGAGTTTATTTGCGAGGGAACTTCATTATTTAGCCGTCCACACGGAGAGAAAACAGGGAAAACAAATGACATGCCGCCGTAGAGATTTGATGGAATGCAGCCGTAAAGACTGACTTCCACCCTAGGCACCGCACCGACAGGTTGGAGTTTGAAAGTCAGTCTGCCTGGCTGAGTTCCGTCAAATCTCTGCGGCAGCACGTCTTTTGCCTTCCCTCGTTTCTGCCCGCGTGGACGGCTACATATTGCTGTTCTCTCGCAAATAAACTCAGCTGCGTTTGAGAATTTGTGTCGTTTTGTTCGTTATTATTTTCTCTCTATGCTTCGGGGTTTAGATTATGATCTATAAATTATTTTTCCGCAAATTTTGAAAACATTTGCGTAAAAGTCAGGCAACATTTGTCAAAAAGATTAACTTTTCTAAATTTTTCCAAAAGTGTGAAGGTTTGGTAGTCCAGTCGAACCTTAGGACCGACATTATGTTTGTAAAATCCCTAAAGCCAAGAATTCCTCAAAGCACAGGCTAAAGCCTGACTAGAGCTATTCTTGCTTGGGTTAGAAGTTAAGCGGCATTCGTCTGCTACCATTGCAACTGTACTAGCTCTTCTCTTCTGAAGAGAACAGCTAGTGCGGTGAGGTTCAGAACATTCTGTATTGAGCTCATGTCATTTGGGTGTACTGAAACTGTTCTTTCTCGCAGCCTACTTTCAGCTACGCAAATGTTTAGTTAAGGTCCCTTGAGGTTTGCTAGTGTGAAGTTTCACTGCTGTAAAAGTGCTCGCAAAGAAAACTCTTCAGATGGTGAAGACGATGTCGTACGGAGAAGGCATTCACTGAAGCGACCACCTTGCAGGGCCTTGGGCGCCTTCGATATCATCAAATATTTTCTCGGTACCTGCGACGACGATGGCGTTGCGGGCACAGACTTCAAAAATCATGTTGTGCCACTACCCCCGAAAAAGTGCACACGATCCACGCCAACCAATTTTTGGAAGTCGAACTAGTTTATTTGCCACCCAATTCAATGTTTCGTTGTCTAACGATTTTACGACAACAAAATATTAAACACGCTCCATCAATTTTGTTTTACCAGGTTTCAAGCGAGCCGCTATGCCTGAAACGTTACATACAAAAGCGTAAAAAACACACCTTAAAACGAAAAAAAAAAAAGTTTGTACGTAGAGCCTAAACGAGCACATAGTTTAAGCGTAAAGCAAGGGCTCACGTGGGCGGGGCTTGCGGGACAGGTTGGTGCGTCCAATCAGGTCGTCCAGGGTGACTGAGGACGTGTCCAGCTCGGCATGGTCCTGATGTAACGAAACAATCGGCGGCCGTGCCGGCAAATGTCCCCCATTAAAAACGTGGAACGATGGCAACCTCACCGACCGTTCCCGTTTTTCGTTTCACCCTAGGTCAGAGCCCAGTGAAAGGCTAGAAGACTTTGAGTGCAAACACACTAAAAATATGAGGTCAACGCTGATTCGCTGCGCTTGGTTGGCTTGGCCGACGAGAGCAGACGCACAGAAAAATTACCAACACTGTGACATCACACCTTCGGTGCAGCTCGATCCCCGAGAACCAAAAAACTCCTGGATTTTGGGTTTTCGGGGGCATTGGTGTTATACTTACTTTCACCTTAAGTCAGAGTATAGCCAGCACCAAGAGCCAAAGGGGCACTGGCTCATGGTGCTGACTACACTCTGACTTAAGGTGAAACTAAGTATAACACCGATGCCCCCGAGAACCCAAAATCCGGGAGAATGTGGAACACAGACATGCTAGGAGGGGGCTCCCACAAAAAGAAAAAAACGGCGTTACTGCTTCCTACTCGCGATGCTGAAGCATCCCGAATTCTTTGTTGGCTCGCAGCTTCCAAAGCCATCCCCTTCCCCCATTGGTGTGCTCAGGTCCACCTCCTGTGCCCTATCTTCCAAGGTCCACCCACTCGTCTCACCCACTTAACAGAGACGCAACATGCGCTACATTAAAACTTTCAAAAACAAGCAGAAAAAGGGGGGCGACTATTGAGCATCTTTTCCAAGAAAAAGAAGACGGGGAGAGTAGAACACCCACCAGTCCGGCAAGCCGCTTGTGCCGGTGGAGCAGCAGCATGTCCCTAAAGCGCTCCTCCGTGATCTCCGACAGGGTGAGGCACTTGCTCAGGAAACGGCCGGAGTCTGCATACGGGAAAACTCCTCAGACGCGTCAAGACGCGCGCCAGCAGCTCCAGTGGCTGGATCTCTCGAAGCGTGAGGGATAGGGTGGCATGACTGTTTCACATACTAGCTTCGTTCAATTTACCTGCACCTCCTGCGCCGGTGCAAAAAAGTGTAGGGCAGTGTACTTCCAATATGTGTATTCAGGTACGACTGGAAGGACCCTGACCTACATTTTTCTGCAGTGGTGCAGGAGGCGTGGGTAAATCGAATGAAATTATCGCGATAAAGGCAAACCCTGACGAACTTAAGAGTAGGTTGCCAAGATGTTTCTGCGCAGTGGCGCTGATGGGCACGGTTTAGGCGCCATGCTCTTGCAAGGAGTAGATGGAGTCAAGCGTGTGGCAGCCCATGCGAGTCGCAAACTGAATGATGCAGAAACCTGCCGCCCTTCGTCGGAGCTGGAATGTCAAGCTATTGTGTGGGTGGTCGAAAAATTTCAATGCCACTTGTATGTCTCTCCATTTATAATGGTATCAGACAGCTTGATTCTGCAACGGCCACTGTCCAAGAGCGACCTGACATCAAAACTGGCCCTTTGGGCTATGCAGCATCAACAGCATAAATTTGTGGTTCAACGTCGAAAGAGATCTCTCCACGTAGATGCTGCCTTCCTCTCAAGAAATTCCGCCCAGAACACAAAACTTTCTTCCCTACTTGACTTTGCAATGGCGCAATATAACGACGCCACACTAAGAGACAAAGGCCGACGTCTTCAGATAGCTCAAAAAACTACACAGACATGAAACCGACCGTAGTGCCAAAATCAATTATTTTATGCTCTACAAGGCGACATTGTTCGCCACCGGTCGTTGCCTGCCACTGACTGGCTTCCTCTTGTACCCTCGAGTTTGCGGGAAGTTGTCGTGCAGATGCACCCGCGTTTGGACACCTCGGTGAAAGAAAACCAATGACCAAGTTGTCAGAAAGGCTCTGAAGGAAAACCTGGCTAGCAGATGTTAAAAGTTACGTGGCTTCCGTCGTACCTGCCAGTATCACAAAGTAGATGTGGCAGTAAAACTAACACCTCCCTCGCATATTACACCAATAGAAAGTCCATTTGAGATTGTTGAAATGGATCATTTGGGCCCGTTTCCAAAATCATCCCAAGGAAACGGGTACGCCCTCACGGCCGCCGATTGTGTGAATAAGGGGGTAGACTTGAGGATGTACCCGACGCCTCGGCGTCTTACCTAACGCAGTTTGTGAGATGGCACCTTGTTCTTAGACACGGAGTACCAGAGACAATCATCGGCGATCGAAGAACTTCTTTCATGTCCAGAAAATTTTAAACCAGACTTCACGAGGTCGGTTGCACCCAAGCCACAAGCATGCGTTCCACGGGCTCGTGGAACGCATGAATTGCACATTATTGAACTTCTTGGCAGTGAATGTGAATGACTCGCACAAATCGGAGTTAGTTTCTTCCTGAAGCAGTCTTTGCCATTAACACATCTTTGCAGGAAGTCACGGACGAAACTCCATTTAGACTTATTTATGAAACAAATGCCGTACTCCCTAGTAAAAGCCACACCGGTCATCCGTGGGACCGACAATGTAATGAGTACCTCACAAACTGTGCAGGAAATGTAATACGCGCACGGGTGCAAGCTCGACTCGCCATTTTGTGCAACCATGGTTTATGAGAATACGCAGGTCCCGATGACGCGACAACATCAGTTTCGCGGATGGTAGTTAGGTTTGGTGCACCGTCCAATGCGGATCCAAGGCAAATCAGAGAATCTGCTACCACGTTTCCAAAGACTCAACAAGATTGTTTTTGACGTTTAGACCATGTCACATACAAGCTCGAAGAGTTCCCGGAACTCTGCAATGGTCGAAGAGGTCAAACCATTCCTGCACATCAAATGCAACTGAAGTTGCACCTTAAAGATTTCCATCCTTTGTCCGAAAGTTTTGTTTTTGAGCATAAAAAATGACAAAAATAAAAAAATACAAGCTCATAGTTATCTTCTTAAAATTTCACCCCAGAAAAAACTCATAATAATGAATCCAAGTTATGTAATAACAAAAACGCTAGTTTTCCTAAAGTGAAATTTATGCCAGAAAGCGGAAAGGAGAAAAATGCGTTCAAAGTGCTCCAACCTCTACCTTTTCTTTAGCGTTGGTGGACCGAAAATAATTTATAAAAAATTAACCATGCAGTACAATCTAATGAAACCTTCTGGGAATACCCTCTAGATCAAAGGTTCTCAAACTGGGTTCCGGAGAACACAGGGGTTCCACGAGCTGGTCTCATGGGTTCCACAAACATCCAAATTGCAACCCCCACCATGCCGCAGGCTGCGCGGCAAGACCATGCAAAGCACCTTCATCTCACTTTGTATTGACATCGCGATTGATATGGTGGGCATATATGGGAAGCAACACAAGCAAAATTGCCTACAATTGTGCATCTGTTGCTTCTCGGTCGGCAAATGTAGAGGGGGGTTTCACGGCAGTTTTCGAGGCTTCCTGGGGTTCCGTGAGGCCAAAAAGTTTGAGAATCCCTGCTCTAGATGTTGGTGGATGTAAATATGACATCTTTCAAAATGAATGTTTTTTTTTGCAGAAATTGCTTTTTCTGGGTAGTGTCCTCCCTTAAGTGGGACGAGTGGACGCATTAACGGAAGTGAAGGACCCCTTCCTGGTGCAGAAAGGGGTCCTGCCTTGCCCGTCCGGTGTCTGTGCTCACATCGATTGCCATCCCATCCGTCTTCTTAAAAAAAGAAAAAATGTTTGCGCAGTTGACAGGATTCGAACCTGTGCGGGGAGACTCCAATGGATTTCTAGTCCATCGCCTTAACCACTTGGCCACGACTGCGGGACGAGTAGGGGGCTCTGAGATGTGGTAGTAACTCAAGAGCTGAGGATGTCATTGATGAAACGTTGCATGTAGCCGCTCAACGTCTATACAGGAGAGGGCGCTGCGGTCAAATGCGTATATAATCGCATTCAACTTTGCATGCATTGGCTCAACGTTTATAGACGAGAGGGCACTGCGGTCAAATGCTCAAATGCGTATATAACCACGTTCCATACCATACATTCCATAGCAACGCAACACGGAACTCAGCACTACCTATGAGCAATAAAAAAAATCAGCACCATCAGCACTACCTATGAACAGAATCAGTATCATCAGCACCACCAGAGCTTCGTCCCAAACAACATCATTCACCACGTGGAGATGCGGTCATTTTTTTGCTAGACGATGAACTTTTATTATACTTTTAAAGGGCAAATCCGCTCTATTCCAGATTTTGGGATAATAAGTGATTCCAGATTTTGGGATAATAGGTGATTTCATAGTAAAAATAAGTGCTACTGTCAAGACCGGTTATAACGAAGCCAACGGGAATCGAAAATCATTTCCTATATCCGTTATTTCGTTATAACTGACTTCGGTTAATGATGTACAAAAGGGAATGGGAAATCGTGACCGCTTCGCTGAAGTTGTTATTTCGTTATAAACGACTGCATTATAACCGGTCTCAACAGCAATAAAATGCACTATGTCATTTGCCACGTGAAAAATGAGATATATATATTGTTAAATCTTACATTAAACCATCAGCAGAAATAAAAACCGAAACTTAAGCACCGTCCGGCAACATTGACCTCAGGGCCGCCAAAAACGTGACTACCACGTGGTATGAGATGTCACGTGAACCTCTACCCATCGATGGGCGGGATCAAGGCGGGCCACCGTTGGGGCGGGCGTGTGCCAGACGCAAGTGTCGTCTGCACAGCAGTCATCAGCACATTTTAGTGTCTACGATATTTGACCATGTCTGCACAACTGCACAATCAGTTTGCGCACATAGTGTGAACGAAACTCCGAGAGACTATAATCACAAACGGCGAGATAACGACGGAGGTTGTGACGCGGGAGTGGTGAAAACGGCGGGATGGCCGGATGGCTTCCAAGAAGAGCGCTGTGCAGGCACATTACGCCAATCACGTGGACGCCGCTGAGCGCCGAGAGGAAACGTTGCTGACGTCACCTGTTACGCTTACCTGGAGAAGTAACAACAAACATCAAAGAGCAATGGTGATGACGTTTAGTTCAATGTTGACTATGCCAACACCGTAGCCTTGACTGCGCTGTTGATTGCACCTCAATTCGCCTGCAAAAGTCAGCCTATTTTGGCAATTTCGCACGTTGCAAACTTTTCCGTAACGTTTAAGAAATATTTAGACAGAACTCAGTCATAATATTTGACGTGTGGTTTTCCTAGGTGATACTGAAGAGGACTGCACTTTTTTCAAAAACAATAATGAAGTGGAGTTGCCCTTTAATATATGCTGCAATAGTTGGCAAAAAGATTATTTTCTATCAGCCTTACCATGCTACTGTGTTTCACAAAAACCACCCTGGAACAGCAGATAATTTATCAAAAAGGTGAAGTTTTCAGAAATAAGGAACGCAAAATAGTTATTTGCGAGCATGTTGGTACACTTTAAGAAACTATAGTATGTAAGACAACACATGCCGTCTTCCATGCCATTGTTTCCTGAATTGTAGTGAAACGGAACTTTTCTCACCATTCACGAAAAAAGACCTTTTGAGCGCTTCGTTGCAATCAACATTTGGCCTAACAAATGGGTGGGTGATGTTGTGGTGATCGCATCTGGGACATTGCTGCATGGACTTGCTGCAGTAAGTCAGTTGTTAGTTGCTAGCTTCCCGCTTCTCCCTACAAGTTTTTGCGATACAGTGAAGTGCCTTTATAACAAATTACACCGGATTAGCTAAGGTTTTTGTTGTACAAGTCTCTTCATTATAAGGGTTGAGCGCAAATAATAATATACGCGTGAAATTGATTGTGCACTAAATGAAAGATAACAGTGAGATTTACGCAGAAAACCACAATGCGACACCACTTTCTAGAATACTACTAGAATACCCAAACATCAAGGAAAAAAGAAAAAACAATAAAACTAACACCTCATTGTAGGTGGAAAAAGTATAGACTTGCACCAATAATCTTGCCATAAATCATGTACACATTTAATTTGATACGACATAAATACAAAAATGTTTAAAGTCATTATTAGATTCCTAATGAGTGTGTTGGTAAGATGTACTAGATAACAGAATACTTTTTGTAAAACGCCTCGGAATGAAAAAGTGTCAAAACAACCGAGTTTCCCCAACTTCAGTATATTTCCTTAAGACGGTTCTAGGTAGCTTAAATTAAGGAAAGCACCCCCTTTTAATCGCGGGATTGGGCGTTGGTTTCTTCAAAGCGGGGAACTGCCAATCCGAGCAACGGCTACTGTGCGAGAATCTCTCTAAGATGACGAATGGGGCTCGCAGAGTGCCCGCCGACCGTCTCGTTTAACTGTCCCCACCGGAAGGGACGGGGCACTCACTGGTGTCGCAGCGGTGGGGTCCCAAGGGTCCCGCGGACAGGGTGGAGGCCACCCGCCGCATGTCGGGCCCCAGAGACGTCTCCAGCCGGTGCAGCTGTCGACGGAACTCCCGCAGCAGCTTGGGGGGGGCCCCGCCCTCTGCAAGGGAGAGTCACAGACTGCAATGCTAGGTGCATGGTTTAGCGGGCCACACACTTGCGTGGCCGAAAAACTAAACAAATTCGACGTTCGTGTTTAGACAATGTGAGGTCAGTCGGCCTCTGAGGAACGGCAATGCCGGTTTACGCCGCAGACGAGAGACTCAGTCGGCGCGGTGCCGCCGCTAGCCAACGGTCTTCGACGGGCATCGCACCGTAGCGATACGAAAGACTGCACTCCAGTATGATGCTCGTCTCCGGATGGAAACGGGCGGGGGTGGGGATCGAGCTCGGGGTCCTCGGGTTCCACAGAACGAGCTTCCGCTCCGCGCGCCATGAGCTGCGGTGCACCAACACGCTCGGCCACCGATTCCTCTAGACCGGTCTCGAAAAGGGCAGAGCCGTTTATGGGGAGAGTTTGGCCAGTCTAATGTTCTCGACGCCGTAATGCCCCCCCTCCCGAGTGAGCCGATCAGCCTGCGGCGCAGAGCGAGAGGGGCGAGCGCATGCGCGTGAACCCCCAGCTCCTCCCAGCTGAGCGGGGAGGGCCGCCATTTCCATTCATTCGCCCGGAAGAATGCATAGAGAGGACATCCAAATTTCGGTTCTTTCCTTTTATTTGGCAGGCTCTGGCAAGAAAATCATATACTGTTATTCGCCCGTGGCTTAACAAGCTAACGAATGAAGTTTCTCCATGTTTGAACGCAAACTTTGATTCGAGCGAAAAAGAAATAAGCCCGTAGCAGACGACACGTAGCCTCAACAGTGCTCTGCGCTGGCAGTGTTGCATCAAAATGGCGGTCGTCTCCACTTTGCTCCCTTCTTTCTCTCTCGCTCCATCGATGCTCTCCTCTCTTTCCTTCAATTTTCTCCTCTCCGGCACCTTTGTCACCACACCCACAGGCCAGACTCTCCCAATATACGGCTCGGTTCTGGAAAGCGGGAGCAGATGGGTGGAATGGACCTCCCGCAAAAGCCCCGGAAGGTTGAGCATGAAGCACGCGACAGAGTGTGGGGACGTCCCGTATGCTCCTCCCCGTTCCCGCGGCATCTACCGCGTGACTGGCACCTCCTAAATGGCGAGGTTGTAGCGCCGGATTCCCTGAGCCACCCGGTGGGAGCCGCAAGGGGCGTGGGATTAATGCGAGTGCTGCTTCAGCGTTCAGCTGGGACTCGCGTCCTCGCCGATCGACCGCCTCGCCAATTGAACCCGCACAGGGTCTGCTCCGTGAGTGTCTCAGTACCGCCTTGACACCTTTCTCTCCCAAAGGTCACGACTGGTGGATCCACGCGGTGCCGCCCACCTTGCGTCTGCACCGTTCACGGCGCATCTCGTAGCGCCAAACCTGCAACAAGCGGCAAGTGCACTGAAGCTCGACCAGAGACGTCACAAGGTGGCAGACGCCAAGATGGACGCGTCTGCCACCTTGTGACGTCTCTGGTCGAGCTTCAGTGCACTTGCCGCTTGTTGCAGGTACGGGATCCACAAACCGTGATGCACGGGTCTCAACTTCTAGGGGGTATTGCCCGGGCGTGCTTTTAACAATAACTAGCGCTTAAAACATTTAGGTGCAGCGTTCAATGTGAAGATCATGCCGAATACCAAATTATTTTAATTAATGCGCGAACCTTCCCAATTCTAACTCAGGCACGCCATGACGGCCTAGTGATGTACCGGAACCCGAGTTATGTTTCGTCTTCGAAAAGGAAGAAAATTAGGTTTCGGCACTTGGCTGGTGTAAACTACCCGCACATTCTGACAAAATGGAGCAAAACATAGAAGAGCTAGTATTGAGGAGCAAATTAGCGTAAATGATGCTGAAATCATATCAGTGACCTTGAGAACCTGTCAGGAAAGAACTCTGAGAAACCTAAGAACGCTACGTTTGACTGAGCTCTCTTCAGGCCTGGGATGCCTTTTTTTGACCATTGCCCAGGTCTCCACATCTCACCGCGTCGCTCTGGGGATTCCATGGCCCGTTAACGGCACGTCCAGCTGTGACTAGCCCCGTCCGAGCAAAGGAAATTAATTCGTCGAGTGATGTTTTATCGACAGGTAATTTTGTCCACATTGCAACATTAATTCCATAGGTAAACTGTCCTTCGTAGAAAGGCGCTCCCATTCATTTCATCCATACATCTTGTGACACTTCGTCGAAGGCTCCTTTCCATCCACATCGCCTCGACCGAAGGCATAGTGATAATAACTAGCTTGCCGAACCCTTGCCGGTTCCAACCAGTCTGGCCATAAGCTCCAACCTGAGGTTATAGACCGTTCCATTAGGGTCATAGCAGAGAGGGTAATGGAGAGAAAAAAATGCCCTCTCCCTCTCACCCAGATGTCGCCTGCTCTTCCGAGTGGGCAGTACTTGGCATCCGGCTGGCGTGCAAACTCTGTTTAAAATCGCGTCATATTGGAAATTCCAAGCGCAGATGCGCATATTTTGGTATGCCAGTTATCGTGTAATACTATGCTAGATAAAACAAGACTAACAGGGTTCAATTGCGCTATTACCTGCGTGCAAATAAAAAATAAATAGGGAAAACTATGTCAGATTGGCTGGTCTCTCCGGCGAAAAGTAAATCCGGTTGCTGCACCTTTTTTACTATACAAAGTTTGTACTGATGTAGGCCTTTAGCGACCATGAGTGGAAGTCTGAAATAATAAATAAAAACGTGCTCTCCTGCCACAATATACGCAGTATTTGAGTGTAGTACTGCCGGCTGACTCAACTGCTATTTAAGTAACGGAAAAAAGATATGCTAGTTGATCATTTACCGAACTAGAACAACAGAAAGCTATAGGCTGATTTTGGAGTAGCCACAACTATTCTAAGAACGCGAACCACTTCACAACGGCAGCCACGAGCGAGAGTTCGATGTTCGGTAGAGCCCGCTGATACAGCCCAAAGATGGAGAACGGCAACCTCCCGGTTTGTCGTCTGCTAGCGGAGTCGGGCGCGTGCCCTCTCTCTCGTTTTACCCCGCCGAACCCGCTGAATTTCCCGGATGTATGGAGAGGGCGCTACTGTCGAACAAAATGGTGCCGCCCAGAGAGCGCTAAATGGAATGGTCTATAGTAGTCCACTTTTCCCGAGGAAGCCTAGGATTAGGGCTCAGGGAAATCGGAAAGGGTAAAGAGCACTGTCGCCTTGAGCATGTAAACAGAATTCAAAGAGGAGATTTTTGTGCCTAAAAAAAGAAAAGAGTGGGACATGTATGGCCACAAGAAAAGGCATTTTGACGCAGGCACAGGACTGCAGTACCCGGCATTCCGGACATGCTCCATTCCACTTCGTTTGCCGAAAGTGTAATAGGTTTTTTTATCGGTCACACAAAGCAACGTGACCAGGACGCCGAATGCAAAGAAAGGCCTCAGAGCAAAGTGGGTGTATCTTCCCCCCCCCCTCCCCCCCCCCCACCACCCCCCAAGTCAATAACGTACTACCGAAAAACATAGTACAGCACAGAAGAATGAGACATAAGAAGAAAGAAACACAATTCCTTTTAAGCTGTCTCTCGTCCATTTGTGCTATACATCTTTCAGTGTGCATCACAAACTTGCCCGAGCCTCCATCTTACAAATTACATACATTTGCGAAATCAAGAAGGGAGTGAGGCTCAGAGCATCTGGAGTGAAAGTTAGCGCTGCAGAAACCAGGAACCCCGGGATTAATCCCAAACCTTCGCTTATTTCTATCTGGGTGGTCGTCGTACCGCTTGACATGTGTTATAGATCTTGGGCCTTTTCTTGTAGTCACACGTCTTCCTCTTTTCTCGTGTTAGGAACAAGAATTTCCCCTTTGGATTCTCTTTACATGCTCAAATCAACAGCTGCACTGGAAGAGCTCTTTACCCTTTGCAAGAAATTTGCCATGGGCTTGTGACTGCACCGAATAGATTTCTCGTCTCGGGCGAAGACACCAGACGTCCTCTGGGGCCAACAAACTTCCTGCCGTCTAACCACACGTGCGACGCAATTACTTTTTAAATTAAGTAGCTCGAGAGGGACACGTTAAAAATACTAAAGTCACTGACAGAGCAAGAAGGGCAGGGAGTCTCTTCCAAACACCTGGCCTTCCAGCACGCGCTCTATGCCTTTTGTGGTGCTTTGGCTACGCATGAGCGCTCAAGGTGCATGAGACGGTGAAGCATTGTCAAAGGTGGAAAGCTTGCGCCGGAGGCGGGACAATTGCGGCTCCCTCCCACCCTTCTCCACTTGACGGTGACCCCCGAAAAATGCCCTAAGGGACCCTCCCGCGAGAAACTGCCCGTCCCGTTCTTCTGGCTAGATATCTGTAACGTGAAAATTCCGAAACATCGTCCAACCCCCGATTCCCGTCGGACATTGTGCAATGTCCAACGGCAATTGGGGGTTCGACGATGTTTCAGAATTTTTAAGTTACAAATATCTCGCCAGAAGAATGGGATGGGCGGTTTCTTGGGGGAGGGTCTCTTAGGGCATTTTCCAAGAGTCGCCGTCAAGTGGAGAAGGGTGAGAGGGAGCCGCAATTGCCCCGCCTCCTGTGCAAGCTTCCCACCTTCGACGACGCTTCACCACACAATACGTGACAAGTGGCGTTGCGGCGACTTCCCGCCTTTTCGTCCGCAATCTGCGTGGGCAATGCTGATTTTTGTGACACGTGAGCTCATAGTAAGCTCTCGTGTCATTTGCCTGTGATCTGCGGGCGCAATAGCGGTTCACATGGCACGCAAATTTAGCCGGTCCGTGTGTTACCATGAAACACCAATCTGCCGCATCTGCACTCTGGGGACCTTCTCCCGTGACACTGGAATTTGTAGTAAATTTCCACGTGTTTATCGTGTAGTGAAACGCAAATCTGCCGTATCGCAATCTGCAATATCGGTTCCCATGTCATGTGGTTTGTAGCGGATGTCTTTCATCATTAATTTTTGATAAAGTTCCACCATCTCATCTCTAAAGATAGCCCACCTCGTGTTTTTTATCATTTACCTCTCCATTTTGAGTGGGCGCCCTATAAAATTTTACGGTATGAGCTGATCTCATCCCCTTCGAACGACTGCTGTGTTTTCGCAGCACTTCCAACGTGACGGGGGGGGGATGAGAGGGAGGGCAGGGGGTACCCACCGGGTAGGTCGTCCTCGTCCTCGGTGGTGGTGTCCCCGAGCCGGTCCCTGAGCTCCTGCAGCTCCGTGCAGTAGCGCCAGCGGGCCCTCTGGGCCAGGGGAACTCGCAACCCCGGGGCCCTGCTGCGGGGGGCCCGGGACCGGGGAGGCACTCCCCGGGGGCCCCTGGGACAGCCGGGGGGGCCCCAGTCCAGGGCGGCCTCCAGCAGGCGCTGCAAGTGAGCCCGCGCGAGGCTCGGGTGAAGGTTACCGAATCCACTCGGCACGAGCGTCGTCGCTGCGGTGCCTGCAACGCCTCTCCCGCCCGTGTGCTCACCGCATCCTTGTTTGTGATCCCTCCCCGCAATGACGTCCTAAAAGTGACGTGCCGTGCCCCGTAGCGATTCTGGCAGTAACACGGCAGCGGAGGTGAATGCGGCAGATGTCCGTTCTGCCGCAGCTCGTTCCGCAACCAGACACGGAAGCTTTACAACCCGGTACGCAACCAGATGCAAATCTTTACGAACTTCTAAACTGATGTTCCTTCCAAGTTTGGGCACACTTCTAGAGCACTCTTTCTAGACTGCACGTCCATCGATATAAAACTATGGACTAAACATAAGGTGTTGTTAGCAAGCTGTGCAACGGCGCAAGATCGTAACTGTGACGGCAAACGAGGCTTCCGCGGGCCAAAGTCTGGATAGGTGGGGATGCCTTCCAGCGTAAGAGGTTAGGCTTGCAGCGTACGCTGCAGAAGTGCGCAACTAGTCCCTACCCGTGACGTGCAATGCGATCACCAAGCAAGCAGGGAAGATGCAGTTGATGGTGCCAATCAGTTCATCGAACAATGTTTTATCAACAGATTGTTTCAACGACACGTGATGTTTCATTGACAGCTCAGATTAGCTTTTTTCGTTAATAAGCTGCATGAGACTCTTGCCACAAAGCGGTGTATATGGGTCGGTCAGGTAGCTTCACGCTTTTGCAATGAGCCGCCACAGACTGTTACCGCGAAGCGGCGTGAACGCAGGCTAAGATATCGAGGTGGGGCCCAAGATATTGAGGTGGGCTAGTTGGATATGCATGATATAAAAATTAAATAGTGCAAAGGTTAGACAAAGGGGGGGGGGGGGGGGAAATGAATGCGCACCCCAGTGATACGCGCTTGACGGAACGTCCCTACAGTGTGCAATTCGCGTAACGAGTGTCTAAGAAACGTTCGTGTCAATGAAACGTGTGACGATAAAACTTTCATGTCGACGAAACATGTGTCCATGAAACATCTGTCTATGAAAAGTTGTCCACGAAACGTAATTCCAAGAAACGAATTTTGACGAAACGATAGGGACCCTGTGGTTGATGCGATCGTTTGCAAAGTGCAAGAATTTGTTAGACGCCGCCGCCGCCGTGCTTTGAAAATGTAGCAGTGATGACGACGGAAATGACAGCACCAGTGCTGATGAATCGTAGTCTCTACTCGCGGACAGGGTGAAAACGACAGAGTGAAGCTTTAGTTGTGCCGCCTCCAGCGTGAACTTCCTAGTTTCGATAACGCTTGGGCACCTCGTGCACCTAGCACGCACATGCGCAGCCAAAGGACGCCAGAAGGCATCGATCGCGTGCTGGAGGCTGGGCTTTCGCAACAGATACCCTGCCATTCTCATGAGTATGTCTTAAATGTGCCTCTAAAGATTTCTTTTTTTGTTTTGCTGATGCACAATATATGGGGGGTCGACTTACATTCGTGTAAACTATTCGCACACAAGAAATGAAATGTAAAATAAACTTAGGAAACATTATATTAATCTAATAGAAATCAAATCTTTTAAATGCCACATTTTGAAATGCCACAAATTTACGGTACTTCTGGTTTCTTAGAACAATTCACAGGGATAACATGCAGCTCACACATAGCAGTTTTTTGGCAAATGCTGAAAACCCGACACCCCTCTAAAGCGCATCTGGAATATATGCCTCGCAAGTGGGCTCATTTTCGTCTTCTGCGCATGAGAAAAGAAGTAGCAGTGACGTCAGAACGCCGAGCCCTGGTTGGCTGATCGCGACTCCCTATCTCGTCGTCTGCTCGCAACATCGTCTGCATCTGTCTTACCTTTCCTACGACTTTCGGAGTGAACTCGACTTCGCCTTTAAGGGTGGGCAGACGAAATAACTCGAGCGGCACGTTGTTTTGTCTAACAACTAGCAGACGCGCATCAAGGAGGGAAGTCAAAGGACTCACTGGCGAGGTGTCCCGGGGCGCCGAGGTTTGTTTGCTTAGAACCGAGTGTGAGCGTGTTAGTGTCCGCAAGTTCCCTCCCAAATACTTTTTCCCTCCATTCGTGTGCGGCGAGACCCCTCACTCTTTAATGGCGTCGGCGGGTTGGCGCACTTAACGTCGTCTGCTTTACGTCTGCTAGTCAAAGCGATGGCTGCTTTACCCTTCCTGCGTCTGTCGGAGATTCACCGCTTTTTCACCGGCGAGAGTCACCGTTGCCTCGGGAAACAAGGAGGTAACAAGAGGAAGAAATTGACCTCTTAATCTAAAATTGAGGTCAGCGATCAAAGTATAATACGGGAAGGGTTCACAAGGGTCGCGCGGGCATATTCCATTCAGCACGCCAGCCGGTCGTGGGCAGGCGGTCGCCGAGTCACGGAGTGCCTGCTAGGCCTAACTGCCCAGCTCGTTTGGTCGCGTTCGGTGGGATCGTGGCCGTTGGAGCTTTTCCCGGGTGTTTGTGGATCCAGCGTTCTTGTTCGTCGTGGTCTGTTTCAAGTACTTCTTAATTTTTTCTTGCTGCTTGAAGTCGGGACGCGTCAGAAGCGCAGATAGAAAAATAAACGTCCGTGGGGTCGTCGCGACGGCGACGCTGTCGGCCATGCTGATATCGTAAGTGCGTAAGACAGCTTCGGAACTGCCCATAGGGTTTCGTCGTAACCTGTGCAAAACTTGCGAAAATTTCCTTTCGTGAATACGAATTTGTTCTTAAGTTTTGTCTTAAGCACATTTTTGGCATAAGATCGTTTCGTGAATCTGGCCTCTGCGCTTCCGAAAGTCGCAGGAAAGGTAAGACAGATGCAGACGACGTTGCGAGCAGACGAAGTTGCAAAGGAACAGACGACGTTCAGATAGGGGGTCGCGATCAGCCAATCAGAGCTCGGCGTTCTGACGTCACCGCTACCCCCTGCGCAAGCAGACGAACTTGCCCTCCGCACACAATTTAAGGTGCTTCTCCAGAAAAACATTACCTACATGCAGCTATCTCTGCAGCTTGCAGCAACCGCACAGGAATACGACAAAGCACACAGTAAGGTTCCAGCTATGCTCGCAAGCACCGAGTTCAACAAACATAACGTTAGAACAGTGATGAATTACACACGAAACTATTGCTAAGCTTTCGTAAGAATCCCTCTCCCCGTGGCGTGGTTTAGCTCTTCCATGGCCAACGGAGGAACAGTTGCGGTTGGAGAGAGCTACTAAACTTCGTTTCACCTTAAGTACGAGCGTAGCGGATGTTAAGAGCCATCGGAGCCAATCCAAGGCTGCGTGAGTGTCACGTGAAAATGCACAGCGCTGCGCAGAAAGCGTATCACGGGTTATTTCACAGAGCAGGATTGGCTAGGATAGGTCACAGCTCCCCATGTCCGGACGTAAGGTGAAACAGAGTATAGTGTGATGCAGGGAGTGTGAGGAAGAGGAGAGAGATTCTACCTTTCGTGAGATCAGCACCTCCTGGAGCAGGCGGCAGTGGTAGCGCCGCTGGTGCAGCTGGTAGTCCCGGTAGCTGGCCCTCTGCACCAGGGACGCCGTGCGGGCGATGTCCGGCACCAGCAGGCCCTCTGGGAATAGCCACATGACACGGTGTCTCTCATGGAAGTGCCCGAGACGACCCATCCACAAAAGGCGAATTTGGGGGTTTGGGGTGTTAAACCAACCGAGGGCATCTAGCACGCCCCAGTCGAGGACTGGGGATTCATTTTTGACCACCCCAAGGATCTTTATAGCACACTCGAAATCTTGCTTCTCCGCAATAAGCGTCGGCCACGTCAAACTGTGGACACCTTGGCTGAGATTTAAACCTGCCAACTTGGGATTTGAACTTGTCAAACTGCAGACCGGGATTTGAACCTGCCAACTGCGGATCGGGATTCAAACCTGCCAACTGTGGATCCGTAGGCCGGCACTTGGCCTCTGAGCCACGGCAAGCTCCCCCACCCCCCCCTCTCTCTCTTAAAGAAAAGTTGCCCTTGACAGGAACAAGAGAGGCCTAGCTAGCTAATTGTCTGGCTGACAAACTTAACTTGCACGAAATAAGCACCAAGCCATGGGGAAATTCAAAGAAATGTTAGAGAACAAAATAAAGTAGCATAAGCAGCCAGCCTTTCAAGAAAGCTAGAAAAGTGGCTTAGTGGTCAAATGGACCCTTAAAAAAAACTGCAAGGTGTCGTCTATAGGATTCCCTGCATGGATTGCTCAGCCACAAACATTGGTAACGCAAACTACTTTTAGGAGAAAGCTTGGCAGTACTGAGACGACATTTGCAATTTCGATCACGAGCACGGTGCTGACGCTGAACACTGCAAAGTCAAGGACCACCACAACAGAGTTTTAGTAGATGCTTTAACTAAAGTAACTCTGATGACAATACCCAATACTCTGCCAGTGCCTTTGCACATGCATAATATTGTTCTCGGAGCTAGTGGAACAATATACTAAAACTCCCTAATGACTTTAAGTACATCTGTGTCATTAGTGTTGAGACTAACCTCCAACAAAACTTTTCTTGGCCTCCTGATACATTCAAACCATGCCAGAAAACGTTAATACGCCCCTTAGCACCTCACCATCAACCTACGTCAACAGGTTTTGCCACATCACCAATACAAAGTAAAACACCCCACAGTAAAAAAAAAAAAGAAAAAAAAAAGGGCAAACAATACTGCCCCTAAATGGCTATAGCCATCGCCACCCCCGAAGATGAGGCTGCATGGGTTGGACCCCCAAGAAGAATGGTTTGGTTGGTCATCTTTCTTTACAAATTTCTGTCAAATGTTCCCATTCAAGCAGCCCCCTTCCCCCTCTTTCAGCACAAAGTATATGTTTTACGAGTTTTTTTTCTTCTTTTTTTTCTATGATCAAATCGTTATGAACGAGTGGCATGAGCAAGTGACACGCTGCTAGTGTTACACAATGTTAAGGCTATTCATAAAGTTTATATATATAGTTATAGACCCAGCGGAGGTCAAACTTGGGTCGGTGTGGTGGCAGTCGGATGCTCTAGCCACTGAGCTGAATAGCATAGCTACTCTGGAAGCATTGTGCACTTGGCAAAACATGCCGGCAAGAGCGGTGCGACGTCACACCACGCGACTGCTTGCCTTATTAACGTGACAGTGTTAAGGAGCTCGTGTCGCAGAGAAGCCGGCGTCGGTGGGCTAGAAACTAGGCCACGCAAGGTACACTTGCATGGCTCCAGAATGAGTGGGAGACAGGGTGTAAGATAGACAGGTGGGGAAACGGCCCGTAGAAGTCTATTGTTGCGCCAAGACCGGATTGTGTACTCGTCTGCTTGCGGGTACCCCCCATTTGCGACAGATGGCGCTGCGGCGAGAGGAAAAAAATCGGAATCGGATTTGCATGAAACTCTATGGGAGAGTGTAGAAAATAAAACAAAAGCATGACAGTCCTCCATTGAAAATCCACGAGAAACCATCTTTGTCAGTTTAGTCGGTCGCCAAAGGTCGCCCACCCGTAGTGAGAGTTCGCAGTGCTCCACATAGATGGCGCCACAAAAAAAGAGAAAACCGAGGGAGGCACAATCCGGTCGCTCATTTGGCTCTCGTTTCCCCACCTGTCTATCTTACACCCTGGCGGGAGATTATATGTTTATATGCGTCCTCCTGTATTTATTCATTTATTTACTTACCCTCAGGGTCAAAAGACATTACAAAGGGGTAAACACATAAACCAACAAAACAGTAAAATTAAACACTTACAGTACATCACAAAACAACAAGGAAGACAGGGCATTTTTGGAAGCAATAGGGTCAGGTAAGGTTGCCATATGGTGAGGAAGGTGGTTCCATTCCACAGAAGTGCGGGGGATGTTACGCGTTGCGCAAGAGCCATATAAGGCAGCGCCTGTGCACACACTCCTTTGCTCGGTCTTGCACCAGCTAACATCTTTGGTGCACAATAAAACACTAGCACAAACTACACATATGCTCCCTAGAATTTGTCAGCATGATCAAGCTCGCATATTTCTTACTGATTACCTGCTTCCGAGCGGTAAACACTGAATAAGGATATTGGGATAACACTGTTTAGAATATCAACATTGCCCCGCTGCGGAGCTAAGAACATTTGTGGCCCCTTTAGTGGTCATTATGTGCGGCAGTGCCAAGTGTAGGTCTCGCAACATCTCCCTGAGAGAATGAGTCTCCCAGGAGCTCGAGCCAGTTTTGAACGGCCTAACCTCTCTGCCTCGAGACGGCTTCGTCCCAGAGAAGCTTCGGCCCAGGCACGAGGAGTGACCCTGAAATGACATACCTCGGAGGCGGCCGAAGAAGGCCCGGATAGGGTTGCCGAACTTGAAGTTACAGCCGCTGAACAGCCTCCTGCAAGAGTAGGGGGTCGGTGCCAGGAACGAGCATCCCCCCCCCCTCCACGACCCAACTTACTGCAGCGTCTCAACTTTCTCTTCCTTGTCGTTCTCCGGGAAGAGCGGTAGAAAATTCTGCAAGGGGGTGTGTGGGGTCAACACTGCTCGGGACGTTCCGATGGACCTTAAATTACTCAAGCAATGAGGCGCATACTGTGAGTGTAGTTAAACATGCTGCAAGGGCCATTATTTACAGCAGTAACTACTTTAAAGAGAAAATTTGAAAGAAATAGCACTTGGCACACATGTTAGTCAATGCCTTATTTCGGTTATTTACTTCTAATCTTTTGCATAGATGAGGTGAGCACATGCAGCGTGTGTACGTACGTTCCCAGCATTCTCCTTGCAGTTCGGGTAATTTAGCAAAAGGCCTATTGCGTCACTATTGCACATGTTCTACCGTACATTGAGGCTGCACTGGCCATCAGGTCAGGAGAGAGGCGTCGTCGACGGGAGTGGCCGATTGCCCCAAATCTGACGGGGCCACCGGTCGAGGCGCATTACGCGAAGAGCAACGGGTACCGTCGTAACACCATTGTTGTCAAATGTGACTGACCCAAGACAGAAGCAACATCGCTGAGTTTTGGGCCCCTCACAGAGAGAAGGCTGCGTTCCAAGGCCTTCCTCCACTAGGAAGCGAGTAATCGCGACAGCCACAATCCTTCCCGAATCGAATGAAAGAGGCGGCAAAGTGGTACATTGCAGAAGCACACCAGGAAGGTGATGAGGACAAAAAAAAAAGGCTGGGTGAACACCTGACAAAAGTAAAGAGAGCAGTTAAAAGAGAGGATGTGCAGGTTGCTAATACAATACATTCGCTTAGGCAGAGACCAGAGATGGGTGGATAGACATGACTTCCAACTCACCCTTCCCAACCCTTTCCCTCTCTCTGTGCAAAAACGGACTTCAAAGATATAAATGTTGTTACCAGTTAGAAGTCATGTCTGTCCACCCATTTTTATCTATTTATTGATACTGTCAGCCCTACACAGGGCTTTTACAGGGGTGGGTAATACAATGCAGTAAATCACATACATGCACATAATGAAGAAAAACACAATAATCACATACATACACAATGAAGCAAAAAAAAAGAAGAGAAAAAAGAAGAACGGCGGCAGAGTATACTAATACATGCTGCAACAAAAAGCAAGAGGAAAAAACATGCTGCTATTATATGACTTGCTGACTAGACAGGCAATGACACAGCATTCAAAGTGCTCAAGTACTTATACAGATTAACGCCAACACAACAAGTGAAAAAATTATGGAAATGGACTCTGAAGGTGAGAGTAGAACACTAGATAAGCATCGTCATTAATCAACACTTACGACATGTGACAAAGTACTAAGCTCCCGACGTTTTTAACAAACTCATTAAGTGAGGATAGGGTGACAATGCCATTTGGCACAACATTCCACTCCGTAATCGCTCTAGGAAAGAAACTATACTTGAAGCAATTGTTTCTAACAGACGGCTCTCTTATGTACATAAAATGATGGTGCCTTGTAGATTCACCAATGCGTATATCCATGTAATTAGATTTTTTCATGCAAATTAAATCATCAAAAATTCTCTCCCTACTAAATGTATCTGTAGTTGAAACGCCCGCTGGTGCCAGCCACCGCCTCCGCAATTCGAAATCCCTCAGATCAGCAACCCTTGTTTGGTCAAACCATTTCCTCCTTTTCAAAGTTTAAAGAAACACTAACACCACCCCCCCAAAAAATTTTTAAAATTTTTTTGCTAAGCATTTTAATATGGTGTTAGGAAATATTTTGCAGCCAGAGTCATATATATATATTTTTAATAATATAAAAAAAACTCAACTACTCAAAACCGAAACACGAGCACGGAAGCTCATGGCTGGGAGTCACGTGGCTACACCCGACCGAATTTCTTTCTTTCTCCGGTTCTCCAATGTGTGAAGCAGACGACGACGACAACGAATTTGTTTGCACCGTTTGTCGTGTGATTGTTTTGCACTTAATATCCCTTCCACTTGACATTCTGCGTATTAAGATTGATTGGCCAGTACCACGAGCTACAATTTGAAGTAGGTAGTGGCTCCACGTCCGACGCAACGTTGGTCCCTTGTGCGCCGCCATTGTGTTGTTCGGCCTGCAGTACGTCGCCATATCGAGAATGACGTGCACATGTACTTTATGTGATCTGTGCATATTATTTTGTTTTTCTATCAACATATTTTTAGTTCTCTGGAGGCCACAGAAATGGGGTTCACATTTTTTTATATTTTTAATATTGAATGCGTGCCTTAGATAACCCACAACTGAATATGTTCGGAACACATAATTTGAACGCCACGTGATCATGAAAAAGAGAGTGAGCGTGACTGAAACCGGCCAATTCTCGACTGGCTGTTTCCGGGCGGGAAGAAAACGAATTTTGAGCCGCAAATTGTGTTCTGGGTAGTTGGGCTCTTATAGGTCATGTTCAAAGAAAAACCTCGGCGTACATAAATACCCTGTCAGTGTCCCTTTAAGGTAGCCAATTGCTCCTCGACCTTCATGTATTTTCTTTCTCTCTCTCTTCCCTTCCTGGTTCGGTGCTCCACTAAAGCTCCGTTCAACTACACCAATGTTATGCACGCATTGGGAGCTGCTAACTCCTGCTTCGGAAAAAAGGAGAGAAAGGACAGGAGGCAGTAGCACGATAGGTGCCACTTTTCCCAGTGCTTCATGGGCACATGGGTTCATGTGTTGCACAGGTGAGACAATCTCACTGGCAGACACCCACCATGAGCCGCAGCTTGTGGGTTTCCGTGAGGACATTGTTCCAGGTGTCGATGCTGAGCACGGCCCGAAGCAGTGCCTCCTGCACATTCAGAATGCGACTTCACCCTGGTGCAATCAAAGTACCGAGGCGCCTGCGGGGATGCACAATCCCCCGGCGACCTTTGTACAAGGTAAAACCTTGTCTGACCGTTCACTCCCAAGACCAAAACGGCAAGGCACAACTTCGGGTAAGTGAGACGCAAGTTTAAACTTGGTCACGTAGCAGCATAATCAAAAAGGGTGCCGATTGCTGCCAGTCAGCAAATCATTAAGGCTGTGGTTGAAGCTGGTTTCATAAAGTTCATTTCGACCTACAGCTTTTCACTCACCTGAAGTTAAAACCTTCATTACGACCAACTCTAAAACCAAACGATCAAATATGGACTAAAAATGAAAGCCGTTTACAACTCCCTGCAACGCCGAATTAGAGCGCAACTCTTGACGAGGAGGAGGGAACGGTGCTGCGGGGAGGATATACCCCTCCTCCCTCCTCCTCACCTCGTCATCCTGCCTGCTACTCCGCCACAAGGTCTCACGGGGGCCACGTGGCCCCCGTGAGGTCACATGACCCCCCCCCCCCCCCCCCCGAGGTCACGTGACCCCTGGGGTAGGAGCCACGTGACCTCGGGGGGCGGGGGGTCCATGTGACCTCACGGTTACGCCGACGGCGACGCCGCTTCAAGCCTGAAACGGGCGCCTAAGAGCTGCACTCTAAAACTGCTTACACACCCCTTCCATAATTGGCCAATAGCATTCCCTTTTAGAGCGCAGCTCTTAGGGGCCCGTTTCCGGCTTGAGCGGCGTCGGAGTAACCGCGCGGTGCATCATGGGAAATGTCCCATAATGCACCGCGCGAGCCCCCCACCGGGGTCACGTGACCTCGTGGGGGGGCATGTGACCCCCCCGAGGTCACATGACCCCGGTGCATCATGGCAAATGTCCCATAATGCACCGCGCGAGCCCCCCACCGGGGTCACGTGACCTCGTGGGGGGCACGTGACCCCCCGAAGTCACGTGACTCCCCTGAGGTCACGTGACCCCCGCCGATGTCGCGTGACCCCCAATGACGTCATCGTCACTGATGACGTCACCGGCATCTACATCGTCATCATCACTGATGACGTCACCGGCATCCACATCGTCATCATCACTGATGACGTCACCGGCATCCACATCGTCATCGTCATCATCACTGATGATGTCACCGGCATCCGCATCGTCATTATCACTGATGACGTTACCGACATCCGCATCGTCATCGTCATCATCACTGATGACGTCATCAGTGACGTCACTGATGTCGTCAGCGGCATCCACATCGTCATCGTCACTGATGACGTCACCGGCATCCACATCGTCATCATCACTGATGACGTCACCGGCATCCGCATCGTCATCGTCATCATCACTGATGGCGTTACCGACATCCGCATCGTCATCATCACTGATGACGTCATCAGCGACGTCACTGATGACGTCAGCGACGTCACTGATGACGTCACCGACATTCGCATCGTCACCATCACTAGTGAAGTCACCAGTGACGTCACTAATGACGTCATCGGTACCCGCATCGTCAATGAAGACGTCATCAGTGACCTCAGTGATGACATCATCGGCATTGGGGGTCACGTGACCCCCAAGGTCACGTGACCCCCCCCCCCCCTGGTTAGTTTAACCCCCCCCCCCCCAGTGCCCTTCCCTCCTCCTCCTCAAGAGCTGCGCTCTAATTCGGCGTTACAGGAAGTTGTAAGCAGCTTTCACTTTTTTTTTTTTTTCATATTTTAGCGACTCTTCAAACTTGTTGATTTGGCTTTGTATGGCATCAGTACAAAAGCTTGAACGAGTCATAAGATATTTTTTTATTTCCATTAAATACTGGTAATAATAAATCCCAGAGCAACCTCAGAGAAGCAAATGAGTTTTTTATCATACCAACCATGTTAATGACTGTTCAGACTCTTCCCATGTTCAATTACGCCTTACCCCAAGGTGAGCCCAAGTGAGAGGCACACACCCTTTAGCTTTTTCCAAAGGTACCATCACAGTTTTCGGCCAAAGAAACTGCTACACAGAGAAGAGTGCAACGAGTGACTGTAACTTCCATTAATAGACCCTTTGATTAATTCCCCAAGCGCCCCGGCTTGCACTCGAGGCATCATGGGAACGGTGGTCCTTCAGCTCCATAGTGTTGGGTAATTTCAACCAATTCAACACATGGCCTATTTGTCTGGGGCACACCGCAATTGTGCAGTGCAGTAAACTCTTTTCCCTTTTGTATATGGAAGGCTGGTGGGGAAAGAAGGAAGCTCCCCTTTCCCTTCTAGCCTTCCCTGTACCAAGAACCACACTGCACCGCAGTGGTGCGAGCCCAGACGAATGCGCCGACTTTGAGTGCAATTCAGAGTCACCCTGAACAAGTGTCGTGTAGAGTCCAAGGACTTTTAAAATTTATCGTGAATGTCGGCGTTTTTGATACTGTGCATGCAATCCCCCTTTCAACCTGGCTGCGCTGCAGAAATCTTTTACAATATTATCATTCTCGTGATTGTTGTTTTAGCAGGAATTGCTTAAAAAGCCGGGAACTCTCAACAACAGACACAAGGATTTAGCTCAGAATCAGCAGGGCTGTATATAGCATTTTAGCGTTTGTTATTTAATATCAGTGTCTTTGGAGCTGTTTAGAGAACAATAATATTCCAAGAGATTTCTTCAGCTCAGACAAGTTGAAGGGTGGATCACATGCACAGTATCAAAAACGTTGACATTGACAAGAAATTATAAAAGTGATATGAGAGTTTAGGCCGGGGCGCTTGGGGCGTTTTGCAAAGAGATTATTCATCCAGCCTCGATAGTTGGCCATGACACAGCGCCTTCCGAGCCAGGTGTGTTTAAGCGCTCCTGTCTGCTATCCAAGCAGTTTGCCAAGTCCACAAAGAGTGCTGGTTAACAGTCTTGTGCAAAACTGTGAGTTCAAGCACAGGCCCTCCTGTTCAGTGTCATCAGGTCAATATGTACCCCATACTTGTGGAAAGGCTATGTGCTTGGGTTTCATTTGACAGTTTACCTTTCCCCCACACAATGCTGGTGGTCACTGAAAGCACCTCCACCCTTATGCATTTAGGTGGTGCAGAGTGAAGAACCTGCATTGTTAATGTATCGTTCAAACAAAAAATCTCCATCCTCCGAAGAGAAACAAAATATGATGATCAAAGTCAAACGTTGTCACATGCATGCTACTTAGGCAACCCCAAGTGAAGCACTGGTCCTTACGGGAAAATCATTTCCTGTCTCAGGGTGACATCTGGTAGCCATGGCCTAAAAGCTGTCACAGATACGTGCCTACGATATCCCGTAGACTAAAAATCGTAGTGCACGAGTTGAAGAAACAGAAAACTACGAGGCATTTAAGGCCCTTCTCGAGATTTAAGGCAGCCATTTCCAGATGCCTAGAAGCTGTCTCCGAGACGTCTATGACACCGTCATTTCCGTGCTGTTTCGCGCATCCACACGGCCAGCATGAAGGTACAGTACTACCTTGTGTCGTGAGCACATACCACGCGCGGAGGATCGCCAACTGATTCGCCGCCGACCATGCACTTCCCTTAGCTAAAGGGATCTTTATGATCGTGTGAATGGGGTACCGCGGCTCTGACAAGCACTGTTCTACAAGCGGCGTCTTGGAGCACGCACCTCTTCACAGAGGACCTGCGGCACTTGGACCAGAGAGCCGCCTAGAAGACAGCGCTCGGTCGCCTCGTCGTCGTCGTCGCTGTCCGACGAGAGGTCGCCGTTTACCTGCGACCAGCGTGGCCTCGCCTCCCTCGTCATCGCTGGGAATCTTCGGCGGGCCCGCGTCCCAGGCACGGCACGGGCTCAGCTGAGCGACCGGAGACGCATCCCCCCGACGCTCTCCTCGAAGGACCTCCCCTTTTTACAGCTCGCGGCGGACCACTCCACCGACAACATTCTCCGATTTCTCGCCGTTAAATAGTCAAGCGTAACAACCGCCACATCACTCCACCGATTGATTTTAGGCTTTCAACTACCAAAACTGTCGCAGGCAGCCCGACAGCCCGCCATGACACCGCAGGCTTCGGCTTGCTTTGGCCCTTGGGCTCTGGCTCTGCTCGAAGCTACTTAGCGGTGTTGGATTAGATTTTATACCAAAACTCTAATTCTAAAAAAAAAAAAAAAAAAAAAAAAAAAAAAAAATTACCCTAGGTGCAACAAATAAAAAAAAAATCGAAATATTTTTATTTTCGACTGCATCCTGCTGTTCAACGTGGTTGATCGGTTGATCTTGTTGCATTCGCCCATCCCCCAGCCCAGCCTGCGTTCTGTCCGTCACCGTGCCGACGGTGCCGACCGTGCTTTGCAGAGAAAACAAGTCAATTTCGAGCGCATTGCTATTTTTTTCTTCGCATCGGGTTTGCGGCACCTTTCTCGTGCTGCTACCGGTGCCCGGTGCTACGGCCACTACGGCGTTCATTTAGACGAAAGGTATAATGACAGGTTGTTGTGGTAAGTTAGATCCAGGCAGATCCAGGCAGGTCTAGGTTCGACGAAATTCAGAGGATGGAGAGCTCTCCCTTTCTCCGACGCAGGCAGCTCCCGCGCTCCGGAGTGTCGCTGAGCAGCTGGGTCTGGGTTGACTGAGTCAGCCGAGATTCGTCCAGGCAGGAGCTCCCGCGCGAGGCTCCTCTCGATGATGAAAGAGGGAGACGTCGACTATGTCGCCTTCTTGACCGGTAAGCGATCAGTCCCCGGAGGCGGGCCGCCCCGCAATACAGCTCGGTTGTGGCTCCGGGCGCAGACTCGTCGGGCAAGGGTCGCGCGACGCTGTCCGACATGCACTCCGTGTCCTGCTCCCGGCGTCGGGCCTTCCTGGTGGGCGGCGCCGTCCTCGCGTTCGTCTTCGTCGTTGCCCTGATCGCGGCCTTCGCGCGGCCCGTGCCGCGCTGCCCCGCGGCCCCGCGCGAGGCGGCCGGCACCCCGGAGGTGGTCCCTGCCGCGGCGAACCCGGGCTACCGCTGGAACGACATCCGACTGCCGGGTTTCGCGCGCCCGCTCCACTACGAGCTGCTGATGCGGCCCAACCTGAGCGAGGCCGCCAACCGGGGCTCGGTGAACGTGACCCTGGCCGTGCTCAGGGCCACCGACTTCCTGGTGCTGCATGCAAAGAACCTGAGCGTGACGCGGGCGCGGCTGTGGGGCGGCGGTGCATCGGTGCTTCGCTGGCACGAGATGCCCGAGCACGACCAGCTGCACGTGCAGCTCAGCGGTGCCATCCTACCGGGCAACGCCACGCTGGGCCTAGACTTCGAGGGCCCCCTGCACCGGGACCTGGTGGGCCTGTACGTGAGCTCGTACGCGACGGCGGCCAACGAGACGCGCCTTCTGGCCGTCACCCAGTTCGAGCCGACGTCGGCGCGGAGGGCTTTCCCGTGCCTGGACGAGCCGGCCCTCAAGGCCACCTTCGGGCTTACCGTCTGGCACGACGCCGCGCTCCAGGCGTACGCCAACACGCGGCCGCTGGAGAGTCATCTGGAGGGCGGCGTCCGCGTGACGCGCTTCGAGCGCACGCTGCGCATGAGCACCTACCTGCTGGCCCTGGTGGTGTGCGACTACGGGCTGCTCAAGGACCAGCTGGGCACGCTGCAGGTGAGCTAGGGGAAAACACGTCTCCGACCGGTTTACCGCATCTTTAAAAGTGGTCCCTCGATTTGACGACACCATAGAAGTGCCAGACTCTTGCAATCCTGGCGGTGCCAGAATGCAACAGCTTGTCGCCCTGCAGCCAGATTGTCGATGGAAACCAAATTGATGGGGGATGGCCTGACGACAGCGGCCCTTGCATCTGCTTGCCTCTTTCACTAGCACTAGTCTGTGACAAACCCCCGGGATGCTACTCATTGCCACTTCGGGACCATTTTTCATACATATGGCGGGATAGGACGGTAAACATACCGGACGACGGCGCATTTCGCGCACCGTAGCACCGCCAAGGGGTCCAAAGGGCGAGGTGCTTCACCAGGCGGTGCAGTTACAGGTGCTGGTTCCGGAGGAGCAGAGGTCCCAGGGCAGCTTCGCCCTAGGCATCATGAAGGGGGCTCTGCAGTTCTTCAACTCCTTCTTCAACATCAGCTGCCCCATGAACAAGCTGGGTGAGTGCGACTTGCTGCTCGGACAGATCCTCGGCACGACCATCGTTCTGAGGAATGCTCGGTACCGTTTGCAAAATGCAACAGATGCTTTTGGGTGGAACCCGAAGACTTTGAATAACCGGAGGTCCGATGATATGTCCGTTTACATTGCCCACAGTCCTCAGGCTTACAAATTGTTCAAATTCAGCCTAGCTGACCCACGTCGTCCAGGTGAAAAAATGTTCTTCGGATGGCAGTCGGAGTTCCCTCCAGTAACCCGAATCCGTTTTTGCCGTTCGGGACATGCAGCCTCGCAATGTGGGCATGAAGCCTACTTACCATCCATCGCTCCGGCTTTCCGAAGTTTTGCTGAATGCGGGCCTCTTAGGGAGCCGAGCACGTTCGTTTGAACCAGAAACGTCAACCAAGGGTTCAGCGTGGCCGTGTGGCTCGGAACGGCACTCCGAACGGGGAACGTAGACCACGACCTCCATTTGCCGCAGACCTGATCGCCATCCCAGACTTTGGACCCGGGGCCATGGAGAACTGGGGGCTGATCACGTTCCGGATGAGCTCGCTGCTCTACGACGACGGGGTGACGCCCGTCAGGAGCAAGGAACGCATCGCGTCCACCGTGGCCCATGAGCTGGCCCACCAGGTGAGGCCGGGACCGGGTCCAAGATGCCCTGCCAGCCCCCTCCGGCGACGCAGTGGTTCGGCAACCTGGTGACCATGGCCTGGTGGGATGATTTGTGGCTCAACGAGGGCTTTGCCACCTTCCTGGAGACGGTGTGCGTGGACCACCTGGAGCCCGAGTGGGGGCTGCTGGACCTGTTCCCCTACTCGACCAGCCAGCCGGCGCTGGACCTGGACAGCCTGCAGACCAGCCACCCGGTGTCTGCGCGGGTCCATGACCCAGATGAGATCGATGCCCTCTTCGACAGCATCTCCTACAACAAGGTGCCACGTACTCCTGGCACTGTAGCACAAGTACCTGCATGTTGCACGACCGTGCCAGAGTCAGGTCGGTAGGGTGAACACCAAAGTGTCTCACGGGGGGGGCGCACGTTGCAGGGGGCGGCCATCATCTCCATGCTGCAGAGCTTCCTGGGCAGCAGCCAGCTGCGCAGGGGCCTTAGCCTGTACCTGAACACATACCGCTTCAGCAACGCACGTACCAGCGACCTCTGGGACGCCTTCACCAACGTATGTGTTGCTTGACAAGAGCCGTGTCGGTTACGCTGCACACTTGCGGACGGCATGCTTGATGCAATTTCGCTTTGACGTAACTCGACAGCTAGGGGGCTGGCAACTGCGGTAAAATACTGAGCGTTCAAGGGGCACTGACACATCAAAATCGTATATTTTTTTATTACTCGAAACGATTGAAAACGATGCCGGGACATTACCCTCAAAATTTGAAGCTTGGGAATTCAGTATTTCTGAATTTAAAAAAAAAACAATTTCCAAATGCCAAATTTGAAGTTCCTGCGCGATCCGTGGCAGTGCAATGAGTCAAATTTTGCGGTCTCCTGCGACTCGACTTTCTTTCGGACCTCCGCCACCGCGACCCGAAGCGAGGAGGAGGTTAGCAGGCGGGATAGAGGGGTGCCGGCACGGGAAAAAAAACCGGTTTCTTCCCCGACTCGCCGATAAGCCTCTGCTCGAGCGCCGCCAACTTTTCCGAAGGAGGATACAAATCCAGGAAGCGACATTACAGTGAAATCTAATTTTTGGTATTTCAAAAAGACGGGCCGTAGTGCGTTTGCAATTGCGTTAAAAAACGTGTTTTACGATTGCCGTTATTAAATGTTATAGAAGTGTCGCCTACAAGGCTTCTAAATTTCCTGGTTTTTGGTGTAACCGATCAGAAGAAGCAAGAAGGTGAGTTCGGAAATTAAAAACAACGCGGAAAGACGAGGACCAGACAAAGAAGTGACACGGACGTAGCGCTGCCAGCGCTAGGTCCGTGTCACTTCTTTGTCTGGTCCTCGTCTTTCCGCGCTGTTTTTAATTTCCGAAGTATGTACCAACTCGCCCAAGCCTCAACTTAAGGAGGTGAGTGCAGGAAATACAAACAAAGAAAATAAAACGGATCGCGCGCGCGCAAGAAAATTTTTTTTTGCGATGCATTTTTTTTTGCGTGTCTATGACTGCAACCTGCATCGTTTTAGACAATAAAAAATAATACGACTTTTGGGGTGTCAGTGCCCCTTTCAGCCAAATTTTGGACGGTAGGTTAGAGTGCAGAAATAAAGAAGCCGACGCGATAGGGTGGACTTTGTCGCTTTGCACGGGCGCGTTTGGAAGGGTGGTTGATATCGAGGTGCATCTCGGTTAGGTATAGCTGATGGTGGGTTAAGAATGTAATACAAGCTCTGCTTCTAACATGGATGTGCTTGCGACAAAGCGTTATCAAAGACAGAAATCTCGTGATGAAGGGGGAGCATCTTCTGTTTTTCTCTCCTGTGGAAAAATATACATATGTTCAGGAGTCTAGGTTGGGTGCTTGATAACACAAATTGCAATGTCATTTTATAGCGTTATAATTTCAGATTTTGCATTATGTATGTTCCATACAAGATATGCATTAGAGAAAAATGTGGCATTCCCAATTCAGTCGAAAAACAAACTATTCTTTTTTGGGACAATATCGCAAACTGACACATTCATTCCTAATGGGTTATTTATTCACGCTGAATAGGAATTTGACTTAGGAAGAAGAAACATTTGCAATCCGAGCCGAGATCCACATTGTGTGTATCCGGTTTACTGAAGAACCTTTAGTATGGAACATTGTAGTGAGGTGGCATTCTCAGTGCACCACAAAATGTGGGGAAGGCGGCATTTATGGAAGGTGACACCGAACTGTAGTCAGGCCTAGACTGATTGGGTTACTGTAGACCATTCATGGCGACAAGTTTGAACGGAGCAGCCTGCATCGAGGCCATACTGGCCTTGACGCAGGCAGGAGGTAAAGGCGGGATAAGCACCAACATTGATGGCCCTGAGAGAACGAACAAGAAAAAGAATGGCAGACGACTGAATAAAGAAAGCAAACGATAGGTTAGGCGTATTCGGTTTGTCGCAACGCATTAAAATTAATCGGTTGCTCGTCAACTTTAGTTTTTCTTTTGTACCATGCACGGCATAGTTGTTTGCTCCCAAAATGAAGCCCGAAAAACCAGGTACCGACCTTGCAAGTGATATTTTGCTGCTGCTTCGTGTTAAAGAATCGACCGCCGGCAATCTGGGCCCTCTGGGAGCACCAATGTCTGCCTTTATGCCTCACCATTAGGAGGCGGTCGAAGTACATGGGAAATGGCGCACCTTTTCCTGTAGATTTATTAGATAAAATCGCGAGCACTCCAACGGCGCAACCGTTCAGTAGCGACCAAGGTGCCTGGTACGAAAAGCATGTGCACAAATGCGGCCAACAATGGGACATTGCCCCGGCTATAAAAGGCCTTTGGCACAACTGGCCGGGAAACCTCCGGGTGGAGGCATGCGACAAACAGAATCTAAACCTCTTCGACGTTACGCAACTTTCCCACATGGCGCCCTAACGTGTCTTTGCTGTCCTCCTGTCGGAATGACGCGGGACTGGGTTTTCTTCTCACAGTGAGCGTCTTTTAGAGTCTGCGCGACGGCATTGCTTTTACTAGTGAGTGCATGATTAGTGCTAATTGAGTCGGCACTGGGAGTGTCTGTGTCGTTTGGGGGGCATCCTTCTCTTTCCATAGTCACAGAGCGAGAACAGCAGGGCACATATTTAAATGCCTGACCTCTAGCACATATGCTCGATGCCTTTCGCCATTCTTTGGGTGCATGTGGGCACTCGAGGTACACAAGACGCCCAAGCGTTGCCAGAGGTAGGAGGCTCGCACTGGAGGCAAAACAGCAGAAGCTCCTCCCTCCCTAGTAGCGCAAGTAGTCCTGGGAATGTCTTTAGCCCGTGTCTGTCTTCCTTCTTGTGTTTGTCTTTTTAGGGCTTTTGACCATGGTTCAAAATGTCTTTAGGATGTTGTAACGTTCCAGGGATGTCCTGTGGACGTTAGTAGGACATTTGGGCTGCCATTCTCACCTTTCGGTGACTATGGGCGATTATTTCTCTCATCGTCTGCTTGTTTGCTCGCAGGTGACCTCTGGCCTGGTGGACGTGGCGGAGGTGATGGACACCTGGACCCGCCAGAAGGGCTACCCTGTGGTGCGGGTGGTCCTGTCCCCGGACGGGCAGCTGGCACTGAGCCAGCGGCGGTTCCGCCTTGTGCCCTCGCGCTCCGACGTGGCCTCCGAACCGACTCCGGACCTGGGCTACCGCTGGTTTGTGCCCCTGAGCCTGCGCACGGACGGCCCGAGCACCCATCTCTTCTGGATGAACCGGACAGACGGTGGGTGCCGCTGTCCCGTGTTCCTAGATCGCCGTAAAACTTCCCTCAGACGCTCTAAGACAGGGAGCATTTGAAATCGCGTCGGAATATTTGTGGCCCCTGGCACAATTGACACGCTTCGTCCGCTACGCTATGAGAAACCTGGAGCACCTACTTTCCCGCCACGCGCGGTGAAACGTCAGCCTCTGTGCCACGGCGTTTCTAAATTGTTTTGGGCCTTGTTTACCGAGCTCCCTCCATAGAGTGCTGCGATTGGTTCTCCCAAACGCTCTGTGGGAAAGTAAGTTCTCCAGGTTTCTTAAAGTATAGCAGTAAGTTTTGGAGAAAAACAAGATATCATCGGCTCTGTACCTTTAAATGTGCCGAGTCGCGTAAAGATTTCTTCGTGGGTGACTCGGTGTATCTAGGCGAATCTAGCGTAGATATTTTGCGCGTGCAGTGATGCTCTTTGCAGGTTTGGCAGGTGAGGATTTCAAGCATATATTTCGACACCCGCAGCAATACGAGGAAACGCGTTATTAAAGAGAATGAGCCGTCTTGTTTAACCCCTTGCCTACTCATTTTTTTTCTTTAAAGATCGCACAGAAAGCTTTATTTAAATCAAGCAATTTGCGTCAAAATAAAGAAAAACGTTTCCTTGGCTTTCAGGCATAGTCTCGTGCTCTATACCAGGACTTCTGGTCGTCTCCTCTTCTTCAGTAGTTCTTCACAGTATGATAGAAATCGAGAGATTAGCAGAAACCTCACATAGGACATCGTTTTGCCGAAAATTGGGGTCTCCACTATGGACCTCTTGGACCAGTTCATTTTGACTGTGTGTTTTTTCACTTGCGTCATAATGATGCACAATGCAAAGTATGCCTTTATCTCATCCGGAGTGGTGTCAAACCATTGCTCCTCATAGCATTTCTTGGGACGATCCTCGTCGCCCATCTCTTGTTCGGCGTAGCGATTTGTCTCAGCAGAGACAGACGCCCAAAAATCATGACTTGCAAACACGGAAAAGGTCGACAAGGCGCTTGTCTTCTCACCAAGACTGCGTTGAACCCTTGCTGACACACCTGGGGTTTCTACAAAGGTGAACTGAGCAGGCTGGTTGTCCCTCTTCTCCCAGTTCCACTGACGTGCAGACGAAGAAGTCGATGAAATGCTTCCAGGATTCGCATCGTTTTCAACACTTTTCTCACTGTCCGTTGAACTCTCATCGGATTCCGAGTAATCGGAAAGGCAGCAGGATTCGTCGTCAGAAATACTGGCGCATTCATCACTTTCAAAAAGAAGTCTTTGTATATCTTCGTCCGCCAAAGCAGACCTCCGCGCCGAAGACATGTTTTTGGCGCGCTTGCTTACAATAGCGCGCTTATTTTTTGTCAATGGAGCGCCCTCTCTCTGTCAAAAGGCAAAGCAAACAAGAAAAGAACCCAAGGTAAACAGGAGCAACAGGGGTAGTGCTGCCATCTGCCGCAGAGCTCACAAAACAAGCTCTGAAACCGAAACACGAGTCACACTCGTGGTTGGGTTTTATGGTTCGTAAATGGCGGCACGAGTGACACTCGTTATTAGTAGGCAAGGGGTTAAACACTATGACGCAAACAACAACAGGGTGTTTAGCGACCGAAAAAACCGGGAATTCTCAGGGATATTGTCAAAAAGTGAGCCCAGTCATTGAAAATGAGCCAGAAACACCATCGGGTGCCCTGAGAAAAGGCTTGAGGACTTGTGGGCAGAAGAATAGGCAATAAATTCTGCTTAGAGCGGAGCGCGGGCTCTGCTCACCCGATGTAGTGTGCTACCCGATGCAAAAGGAACAGCCGACGAATCCAGTCCAAGTCTTAGATTGGACTGGATTAATGGCGTGACACTAGGCTAGATCCAGTTAGAGCCACTAGATTTAGTAGCAAATGGAAAAGCTCCAGACTCCAACCTAATCCAAGCCTTAAGGGAATGTATCCAAAAGTGTGCAATCTGGCGGCCATGCTGCCATTCGGTTATTGACGTATGTGATTGAGCTTCGTGTTTTCATCGTGCTTCCGGAAGTGGCCTCTTCACCGACGATATGGGCGGCAAGAAAGTGCTCGTTTATTCCGAACTGGACAAGTCAGAATATTTCGGAATATGCAAGTTGGATTAAGCCAGTGCAAAATGATCCTCGCAGTGCTCAATGCCTTATGTTGTAACGGTCTTATATATTTAGCCGCCTCTACAGTGGTCAGAGAATTTCACTTGAAAATGTCAAGGAAAACCTGGAAAAGTCAGGGAATTTCAAAATAATAATTTGCTAGACGCCCTGAACAACCTCATACATTTTGAAAACAGTTGGTCGCTCGAGAATGCAAAGAAGAAGGGTAGCCAGTTATGATAATGACGTCTCCTAATGCAAAGCGTGCACCACAGTGTGGGCAACGCACAAGGGAGCCACCCTCTGGAGCGGAGTTTCACAGCCGAATTCAGTTTATTTTGACATGCTTTATTAGCGAGAAGGTATATTTGGGTTACCAAAAACAAAAAGACATTTACAAATCTCTGTAACATGAAATTAGAGCACAGCTCTTGACGAGGAGGAGGGGAGGGTACAATATGCCCCTCCTCCTCCTCTCCTCCCCCTTTCCTCCTCCTTTTCCACACCCTCCCATCCTCTTCCTCCTCCATACCCCTCCCTCCTCCTACAATTTCCCTGCTAAATTTAGCTGAAAAATTGATGCTATGTGACCTCTACACCAATTTAGTTTCCACCAATTTAGTGGGGAATATAACGTCACATGACTCGTTGTCATGTCACCTATGAACAAATTCAGTCTCTCCGCTAGATTTAGTGGGAAAAGTGACGTCACGTGGACCTCAGCACCAATGCGATTCCTCGCTAAATTTAGCGGGAATCGAATTGGTGTTGAGGTCACATGACATCAATTTTCTCACTAAATCTAGCGGAGAAACTGAATTTAGCAGGGAATTGAATTAGTGTTGACGTCACATGACGTCAGTTTTCTCGCTAAATTTAGCACGCTTACGCCAACGCTGCGAAACACGGAGACGGGCGCCTAAGAACTGTGCTCTAAAAGAAGATGGACCCATAGCCAGTTCGCAAATGATGTTTGACGTAACAACACACTTGACAGACAAGCACTCTGAGGACAGGAGCACACAAAAATAAATACTCACAAGGCGCTGACTGTATTTCGTATTTCGTCGGTTGTTATACTGTCTTCTTCCAGTCCTATGTACTAATAGCAAAATCTGAGGAATTCTGTTTGCAAAATCAAATTTGACGTGTTTGTGTTGCCCCTTACCAACCAAGCTCCAATGGGCAAGCCAAAAGAATGGCACAGACTGTGAGGATTGGCCCGCCATCACAGTGAAGGGACGCGGGAACAGGCTCTTTTCTTGGCGTGTTTTCGTTTGCACATGTGCCCCGGTGTGTGGGTGAACTGGCGACGCTCGTGCGAGCTGGGGCAGGGGACATATTTTGGAGAAGAGAAGAGAAGAGGAAGAGGACAGCACGTGGTGGGACCTTTTGGGAGAGATTCGGAAATGAGCTTCGCTTGTAAATAGACCTGTTTTTTTCTTCCCCCTATCCGCGGAGTCCTGTCTGGTTTACTCTTCCGTCAGCGACTATCAGCTGCCTCCGTCGTCGGGTCCCGGCGCAATCTCGAAGAAAGAACATCTTTACCCAGACGGCAAAAGAGAGTCTTGTTTGTATGGATTCAAGTGACTGGTCACATCATCTGGCAAGAATGTTGTTCGCTCAGCATTCTACGCCTCTCCACGACGGGAAGAAGTCCAGCTGAGCTACTTGTGGGCCGACAGATTATGACGGCACTAAATTGTCCGCACCCAGGCCTGGACGCCGACCTCAATGCCCGGAGCGAGGACTCCTACAGGAACCAGCCGTCGTCTAGAAAATAGAGAGATTTTAGCCAAGGCAGCGAGCGTACACTAGAAACTTTGTTGTGAATACTGACTGGGTGCCTGGCAGTATAGAATCAGCTGCGGGCCCCATATCCTACATTGTTCGAACAAGCCGAGGAAAATTTTGGTTCCAGCACATAGATCATTTGCGAGCTTGTACCTCAGTTGATGTTGGTGAATGTGCCGATGAAACCGTGGTAACAGCGTTGCTGTTGCATACAGTACCTTGGCCGTGGTTGGGTTTGCCCCGACGGCAAATCTCATTTCCACATTGGCCCAGTCCAGCAATCCCGAATTCTGAAACTCCAACAACACCGCTGCGTGCAGTTGGAGCCACATCCCCTAGCCCACCGATCCATTATCGGGAGACCAAACTACTTGGAGTTGTGGTGTCGCATTATTTCCTCCAAATGAGCAAGTAGTGACCCCTTTGCAACAATTAAGACGTTCCGAGCACATCACAATGTGCCCGTGTTATCTTTCGGATATGTGAGTAGGGAAGGAGTGTGGTGTCCCGGAAACGCGACACTCACGCGCCCCTGCGCTGCAATAGGGAAGAAGACGACGACGGAGCGTTCGTTCTGGACTACCACATTCTTTGAGTGGATTACCTCGTCCTTCGATTAAACAAAGTTTTACTTCATTACGAGTACATTTTATGCCTGCCGCCCAACTGCAGTGCGGGTGCCCTTTGCCGAGCGACCCCTGTGGATCAAGGCTAACATGAACCAGACGGGGTTCTACCGGGTCAACTACGAGGCCTCCAACTGGGCCGCCCTGGGCCACCAGCTGCATACGGACCACAGGGCACTGTCCGCATCCGACCGGGCGGGCCTGCTCGACGACGCCTTCACGCTCGCCAGGTGGGTGGTCGGCCCCGCCGAGGTTGTGCCGTCTGGAACTCATCAGACTGGCGCATTTGCCATCTCATTTCGCTCGTGCATCCAAATTCATCTTGGAAGAGGCAAGTTCATCTTGGAAGAGGCAACGAACGATGTCTCAAAAGTCGGAATGTCGCGCTCTCGGACGTCACCGTCCCGGCGGTCGGTCAAAGAAATGCCGGCGAAAAAGGCGGGCGAACACCGGGGTTGCCGTCGTTGAAGCATTTCATCTCGCGCCTGCTTCGGCGTGCGTCGACCATCCAGCTATGGAGCAACTTATTGCAGGGCGGGCATCCACCACGTTCACCCCCGCTGCCGTGCCTAGTTGGGACCATGGCAGGCAACGGCATTACACTTTCGCGAGGTTGTCGGGCAAAAATTGTGGGACCGCTTTTGAGGGTGCTGTAAGCAGACCGGTCGGAGATGCACTCCAGGCACCGTACTGGGAATGTGGCCCCTCGATTTGTACCTCGCTGCTGCCCGGCACAATCGTGGCGGTGGCACGGCGGCGAAGGTGAAGGCAGCAGACGCCCGCCCCGCCGCGAGTATACTCCGGCTCAAAAGTCGGCGGGACCAGAAGTTGGGATGCCTCAACAATGACAACAGCCGGATCCTCTCCTCCCTTTTGCTAAAACCAGTCTCGTATGCATTTTTCGAAAATGTCGTCAATTACAATTACTTTCATTAAAAAGTATTCAATTAGAGTACTTTAGACGAAAAGTACTTGGCCGTTACTTGAAAAAGTAAGCGTTACTATTTCAATTACCTCAGATTTTCGAAACGACAAATGTTTCTGTCCTTTCAGAAAGGGTCATTTTGTTCATTATTGGATTAGAACCCGTGCATTGCAAACTAGCTATCTTCTCAATCCAGCGATTTCGGTACACCATGCTCTCGTAGGAGACTTGGTTTGAGGATTCCTTGCTAAGAAACTTTTAGAAGCAAAAGGCACCATTTGAGAGGGGGAGGGGAAAATAGTAATGGATACAAGTAATTTTAGTAGTTTCAAAAATACTTCAAATTACTCTCGCCAACACTTCCTAACAAATGTAATAAAACAATCACAAAATTACTTCTAAAAGTAATTGATTATAAGTAATTTGATTGCTTGTAACGAAGACCGTACAAGTCTGGACAAAGCCTCTACGACCAACCTCCAGGATAGCAACATTTGACGGCACGACACTCCGTCTTTCGCGACGCAGCGCATTGCCACTTGAGCACCACCTTCGGCGCACCGGCAGAACGCGACGTCCGATGCACTGTTCGGAGACACGCTTCGTCGCGCCGCACCAGGACTCTCCTCACCCCAAGCGTCCCGTACACGCAGGGCCGGGGAGTTGAACGTGTCGGTGGCCATGGATCTATCTGGCTACCTGTCCCAGGAGCGAGACTTTGCCCCGTGGGCCACCGCGCTGCCCCACCTGCTGGAGCTGTTCCGGCTGGCCGAGGACAGTCCCCGGCAGCCTCTGCTGCAGGTAGGCTCGCGATCCGGCCGTGCCCACCCGGAGGTCGCTTCAATCGCCGCACAGGCTTGCGGCTTCTCGGACCGAGTTCTGGGAACCGAGGGGAGTACGCACCTGGGCCAAATTTACTCTGCCCTCCCCGTCACGAAAAGAGCGTATTTCCTGTTCGCGCTTCATTTTAGGAGCTCCGAAGCACCCACTGACGCACGATAATGATGCAAAACCTACCACTACAGTCGCGTCTAATTTATATGAACACCTTCATTTCTTACTAAAATCGTCTATATTGTGAGTCGTTTGTGATAATGAGGCAAAAATGCGCGTATTTTCCCGGTTCAATGCCGAAAAGATTGTCCATATAGTGGGGTATCCATGTTAACGGGGCCCATGTTAAGGAGTCCCTAACGTGTGACTCTAACCAGCACGTCCACTTTTCTTTACACAATCCTTCTGCACCGCTTAATCGCATTAAGGCCGAGACGGCGGCCATTGATCGAGAAAGATGGGCCTCTCTCGAGATAGAAAGGAATGCTCATACAGGGCGACAGAGTTTAACCGTGAGAGTGACGTCGAGCACGTCAAAAGAATTCACGCTTTAGTTTTCTTACAAATATCAACGACCATTGTCCCGCGATCGCGCGAGACATGTGCCACGAGCGAGCACTGCGCTGCCATCGGCTTCGAAGGACCGCACGAGGAATACACCTCGCGCGTTGGTGCGTTCGATGCCGCTCATAAGGCGAGCGCACTGGGGGGCCTCACTGAAAACTCGCCTCGCAGCGGCACCTGCTGGCCCTGCTGGGACCGACGGTGGAGGCCCTGGGTTGGCGGGACGAGGGTTCGCACCTGGAGCGGTGAGTGGGCGCCGCTCCCCTTTGGGCCGCCACCGCCGTCTCCGCCCCCGCCCCGCAGAAAGCTGAGGGCCGAGCTGCTGCTGGCCGCCCTCGAGTTGGGTGACCCCCAGGTGCTGCGAGAGGCCGGACGCCGCTTCGACCAATGGGCGCAGGGACGCCAGCCGTGAGTGCCATCCCATACGCCGCCCGAAACGCAACCCCAGCTGGTGCACGTACCGCATCCTCGTTTTCGTTTGTGGTTCCTCGATTTCTGCCCTACGATGTCCCGCTCGTGCCCCAATGGTGACACGACAGTAGACGTGCAGGCAGCAGACGCCTGTTCTGCTGCAGCACATACTTCGGCCAGACGGCTTGCGGGAGCTCCGGGAGCTGGGATGGTGCAACGACAATAACATTTGCGTTCGCTCGTCTTTCTTTCTTTGTTCGAACTTCTCCAACTAACTGCCAGTATCTTGACATTGACAGCACAACGCGGCTTCTGCGACGTAATTTGATGCCGCTTCCAGGCCACTTCCGACGCATAGGCGGAATAAGGCGATCAAAGATGCGGTTTGCGCAGCATACCTCTGAGACGCTTGGGCCAGTCCCAACGGCAGGCCCCGTGCCACGCAGGGTCGCAGCCAACCTGAAGGACGTGGTGTACCGGGCGGGCGTGCTGCAGGGTGGCCGCAAGGAGTGGGATCTTTGCTGGGGCCGCTACCTGTCCTCCCAGGTGCCTTCGGAGAAAGCACTCCTGCTCCAGGCCCTGGGGGCGACCAGGGACCTGTGGCAGCTGCAGCAGTAAGCGGTCCTCGGGCGTCAGTCCGCGGGCCAACGCCGGTTCCGCGTCTTATGTACCGTATTTTTCGGACTTGTACGTGTTTACAAGTTGAAATTTTATGCTGTGCAGTTTATGTGCAGGTGGGAACTATGGTAATAAAATTATTACCAATCCAATAATTTCCACCGATCCCTCCCCCAGTAGGTCAAAACGTTATGAACACTAACAGCACTAAGGATGAGGAGCACAAGAAGTGGACAAGACGAGCGCCAGCTAAGAATTGATGTTCTAATACGCAAGAGTAAGAAAAATGTAAGTGGAAGATGTAGAAGGAAGCAAATGAGAAAGAACACAAAGGAGCTCTGAATCTGGAATAAAATTTACTATAAATAAATGTGAGGTAAAATATATGTGACTAAACTTTATGTAAAAGAAATGAACAAAAAGAGAAGGAAAATAATTCTTTAAAAATGAATTGGCAAACAAGAACAAAGATAAAGAATAACGTTGATGTCGACATATTTTTAAGAGCAGTTCTTCTTTATTTTTGTTCTTGTTTGCCAATTTGTTTTTGAAACTTTTCCTGTTTTTATTCATTTCTTTTACATAGCATTTAGTAACATATATTGTACCATATATTTATTTATAGTAATTTTTATTCCAGATTTGCAGCTCCTCTGTCTTTTCTCTCTTTTGCTTTCTACTAGATCTTCCCCTTACATTTTTCTTTCTCCTCTTTCTTATCCTTGTGTATTAAAACATCTGTTGTTAGTCAGTGCTCGTCCTGTCCACTCCTACCTGGGGATCGGTGGCCGAGTAGGCTAGCACACACCAGGTCGGAGCATGTGGAGTGAAGGCCGCAGAACCCAGCATCCTGGGTTCGATCCCCACCCCCCGCCTGTTTTGATCTGGATGAGCATCGTACCGGCGTGCGGTCGTGATCACAACTGCGTGGTGCACGTTAAAGAACCTAGCCTAGTGGTTCTACTGCACTGGCTAAATTGCTTATCTACAGTAGGTAACATTATCATCATGTTTTGGCAGACTAAACTCCTGCTGTATAAACAACTAACGACTAATTTGTTTTTTTGTCCTGTCCACTTATACCAGTCCTTGTCCCTTGTGCTGTTTATGTTCGTAAGGGGACTATGGATTTCTTTTTTCTTAACCATTTATTATGACGCAATGTGACAAATTTGTGAATTACAGAGTATGTTAATGAGGATCGATGCAGTTGGTATCATACGAGCTTCTTTGTTAGCTAATAAGGCAGGCATTTGTCAAGATGTACTCTGTATAGAAAGCTTTTACATGCAGACTATGTATGGGTGCCTAGTGCGCACAATTTGAGAAAAATCTTTTAGAGGCGAAGCTCCTTAGGGTCGAGCCTTGTCCATCCGTCCGGCGTCCGTGCTCACATCGATTGCACTGCCTCCGGGATCGGCCAAGTTTAAAAAAAAACAAAAACGTACGCCCGCACAAAACTCAGGACCGCTTGCTTACGAGGCAGACGTCTCAAGCACTGCGCTACACTTTAACGTTGCATGTGGCCGCTCAGCATCTATACAGGAGAGGGCGCTGCGATCAAATGTGTATATAATCGCGTTCAACTTTGCATAAACTTCGCATAACATAAAGCAGTAATAATGATGTCGAAACGCAACCCGGAACTCAGCACTACCTATGAGCAAAAAAAAAAAAAAAAAAATCAGCACCATCAGCACTATTTATGAACAATAAAATCAGTATCATCAGCACCACCAGAGCTTCGCCCCAAATCATTCACCACGTGGAGATGCGGCCTCTTTTTATTTCAACCAAAATTTGCTCCCACCAAATTGACACCGGATGCGGAGGAAAATACGGTATATTTTGATGGCCACGAAATGGCGTGACCTGGCACTTCCGCTTCCAAAAGCACGGGGCACAGGAGTGGACAGAGGGTTGACATTTCAGGCACCACTAAAACTAAGTCTGGACACTGCCCAGCGTCGAGCTTGAGCCCTTGCCCAATATAGGCAATATTGTGCAGGTACCTGCAGCTGTCCCTGGACCAGGACCGCATCAAGGCGCAGGACGTGCACACGGTCATAGGGGTGGTCTGCGCTAACCCCATTGGCCACCTGGTCACCTGGCACTTCCTCAAGACCCACTGGGACTCCATCTACAACCTGTGAGTGCACGCCCAAGAGACGCAGACTTTCGGAGTCCAAATTTTGGTCGCCGCAGGAGCAAGTCCTGATTTGGTAGTCACGGAGCGAGCCGAGATATCTTTCGCAGATGACTCGTCTCCTAACATGTGCGAAAAATGAGGGCTTGTCTGCTGCCGGATGGCACTGTCGTACGAAAATAAAACGAGAAAACACCTATGCATATCTACTAACTAGGCATGTGCAAATAATGATTTTTGAATTCAAAGTGAACCCGAAGTGAATTGTGGTTGGCCGTTGGGTCGAATATAGAGCAGTTTCTCCGAGCCTTTCACTACTGCTCCATGTTTAGATGCAAACCCAGCTGAACTCGTAAAGCTTGTTGCAAAGCTTTCCACTTGTCCATTTCTAAGCTAAGTTAATTTTAATCCAACTATATTTATGGACTGTGGCCTCACGAAGTCCAGTGCCTACATTGGATAGCAGGTAAATGATACAGTTGACGTAAAACTAAACCTATCGAGATGTCAAGATATACCTAATCAAGAGGAGGTATAAATCTTGTTATATGCAAGTATCTTTTCTTAAATTTCAAATTCGAAAACAAAAAAAAAAAAGATGGGTATGAATGTTGAACGCAGGTTGTCAGGACATTTCTGCCTAACAAATACTCTTGCATAATAGCTGCGGTTTAATTTTGAAAATTTTACTGTGCTACATTCACAATTTTTTTTTTTAAATACACCAGGTGCACGTACGAACCATCTTGCTTTGAAACTGTGCTTTTCTTCTCAGCTCGTGACTGCCATATCTGTACTTTTTAAGATGTTGATCGCTGCGGGTTAGCCCGTTCAGCGTGCTTCTCACCGAGCACCGGTGCACCGTGAAGCAGCAACACCCGCGGGTGTTGCTTCTTCGCAGCGTATCGGTGCCCGGTATGAACCACTGCACTAAACGACACTAACCCACCACGATCAGCACTTGGAAGAATATGAATATTGGAGTTCATTTTGAAGCGAATATTAAATAGTGTATGAATCAAAACTATTGTTCAAATATTCGCACAACTATACTTCTAACAAAAGCAACAAACCAAAAGCAAAATTGGACTGTCTGTTACAAATTGAGTCCCGAGGGAGGTGCAATCGAAGGCAAGCTTAAATTTCGAATCTCTGTTTTATCACAAAGGAAGCAATCGACTACTATCCATGCTCTTTTACCAAACACAAGTAATTTTGCTCTTGGCACTGGCTGAAACTCATTGGTGGATAAAGAAACACTATCAATAGCCACATCAGCGGCTGAAAGTAGTTATGCAGGTAGGTGAGAAGCTCTCACCAAAGTATCGCCCTGTCTTAAACTCACAAACAGATGAAACATAAAAATTTTTTATTGGTCAATATTGTTCGCCCAGCAAAAAGCTGTGCGACATCCACTCGGCAGCTGAGAAAGCTCTCGCTCTCCCCAATGACCAAAATCAAAGTCCCAGTGCAGCCGCCTCGGCAGTTCCGAGGCAAAGCACTGGTGTAAGTATCTTTAGTTGACGGGTCTGAGTTCCGGCTGAGGTGTCTGCAACATGACAGAGGCTAAATATTAGAGAAGGCACCGTCGCATATCAAAAGATACCCAGGTGGTTGATATTAATTCACTACTCTTTGCTGGGGTTTGCCAGATGCCCTCCATTGATTCGGCATGTAAAGCCCCAAATTGGATTTCAACCCCCGGCAACACGGTGCCCGTTGCAGGTTCAAGGAGACCACCTTCTCGCTGGACAACATCTTGTCCGAGCTCCTGCGGAGGTTCAAGACCAAATACGACTACCGGGAGGTAGGCGGGCGCCCCTGTGGCGTCCCCAATGCCGGAGCCTCCCGCCCTCGCAGGTGGAGTCCTTCTTCGGCCAGGTGGACCTCAAGTCCGGCCGCGTGGCCCTGGAGCAGGCCCTGGAGCGCATCCGCTCCAACATCTTCTGGAAGGACGATCTCGAGCCTCAGCTGAACGCCTGGCTGGAGGCCGCACCACCCCCAGCCTAGGCTGTCCCGGTCAGACGACCTGGTTAGACGTCCTGGTCGGACGTCGTGGTGAGACATCCTAGTCAAACGTCAAAGTGTCCTGGTCATTACTACGAAGTGTCCTAGATGGAAGCCCTGATCGGTCTTCAGCGTGCCCTGGTCAGACTTTTGAATGTTTTGATTAGACCTCAGAGTGTCCAGGTAGGACTTTATAGCACTCTAGTCAGTCTTTGGGGTGTTCTGGTTAGAGAACCCAATCACATGTCTTGGTTAAACATCCTCATAAGACTTCAGAATGTCCTGGTCAGACGTCAAAATGTCCTAGTTAGACGTTTCGGTCGGACGTCTTGGTTATACATCCTGATCAGGCTTTAGAGTGTCTTGGTCAGACTTTGGAATGTTCTGATCAGACTTAAGAGTCTACTCATCAGACTTAGGAGTGTCCTAGTTAGACATCCCAATCATACATCTTTGTTAGACATCCTCATAAGACTTCAGAACGTCCTGGTCAGACGTTTGGTCAGACGTCAAGCTTCAAAATGTCCTGGTCAGACTTCGGTGTCTTCTGGTCAAATGTCTGAGCAGAGCTCTTTGAGCTCTTCTGGGCACCATCTATCCACAATTTTATGGCAGCTCCACCAAGAAATGGAGGTTATAGGAGGACGCCAGCCGTAAAAACACCACGCCGGCCGAATTCCGGTGGGACGTTCGTGTGGTGGCTTGGGCAGCATGATCAAAGGGTAGGCTGATCTCTCGTCTGTGCCAACCAGGGGAAGCCTCTGCCTAGTAAAATAATCTGAGCTCTCTGCTCGGATCTCACCTCTCGTCCTCCTGCCCAGTGGAACACCTCTGTGTCACCGTGGGCCGGTGGGACTGGGCTCCTGCCGGCAGCACTTGTGGGGACGGCAGGAGCCCTGCGAAATGTGTTCCAGAACTACAACTGGAGCGGAACTTGTGTCGCGTGGCTCAAAACCGGGAAAAATGAACCAGTATATTATACGAGTTTGGCACTAGTCTTCTCCAATGATATAATGACAGGCACACTGAGGTCTGGTCTTCAACAGCCAAGTGCACTTTATAGCTGCATACCATTCGTTGATTGCGGTGTGAGAGGTGTCTATGGTAGTCATACCAGTACATTTGAAAGGGGGAGGTGGCTTGAGTGTCGCACTAATGGGCGATTTAGCTTTGCTTTGCAGACAGTTCTGTGAAAAGGCAAAAATGTTTGCATCAATATAAGTTCAGACTCAGAAATGTTTTGGGCACTGTGCATTATGTCACTTGGTGAATGTTACTGGTGTAAATCTGTAAATAGTTCACTGTGAGCCTGTAAAGAGCCTTTACGCTTTCATAAATTGCACGCGAGGTTCAGTGTTTGACTTTTCAGTTTTTAGCAGCATTTTGCTGTATGTTAAGCACAAACGTTTATCATTGTGTGATTTTGTGACAGACTCCATTGTCTAGTCATATTGTTTTCAGCCTTCTGATATGCTAGAAGAGGGATTGACAATCAGCAAGGTAGTGTGGGAGGAGTGCTTGCACTTGTCTCGCAGGTGAAATTTGTGTTCTCTTTTATCATTCGGTTTTGTATGTGAAACTAATTTTCCCTCAAACTTTTGATTATTTTATTTATCCATATTGTCTCAAAACTTCTCAACATAGGAGGGCACTTTTAAACTTGCTGTCAGGGTTGATATTGAGATTCTTTACAGTCAGAGTGTTGCAGGTATGGGGAGCATGCAGTGCTTTAGGGCAACTGTCTTTTTGTGATTGCCTTTGACTGATTGGCCGGCCTTGGTTAATGTAGCACTTCGCCTTATATGCTTTCGTTTTGAGTGTAAATTTTGAAAAGGCATTTTCAAAAGTGGGTGTCTTTGTCTGTATGCTGTACATGTCTGTTTGACATATATAAATGCTGTTGTATTTATTCCGTTACTTTTTGGGCCCAATCACTTAGTTGCCCGATAGTCATCATTTCATGTGGACTCTGTGGCTCCCCTTGGCCATGAATACCATCATTTGTTAATGGGCTATGACTAGGGTAATGGCCCAGTGCCCACTAAAAGAAAGGCAAAACAAAGACCACATGGCAGTAGACTGAATGGAGACGACGCCCATTTCAGAGAAAAACATTAAACTTCTATACGTTATAAAAAACTACATACACCGATAAATGTGCACTAAATATTTCCAAGGGGAGTGCAAAGAAAAATGAAATCTGGGTGCCTGTAATTTTGTTGCACATTAGTTGGCATCTGCTCGAAAGTTCAACATAGACGCCAGACATAGTAATTTTGCCTTTCTTCAGATATGTGATGTGAAAGGCCCAAGCAGCAGAACTAATGTCCATGTTATACTGCTGCAGTTTTCAAAGTTGTGCGCTGCTGTGTGCATTTTCCAGTGTCCTTTGTTCACAAATTGTGCACACTGGAGTTGTGCCAATGCAGAATACAGCACACTAAACACTGATTTGACCTTGATAGACTAAGTGCCCATTTATTCTGCTGAATCATGCTGAGAAAGTCGAAGAAGCAGGCAGACCCTCATATCCAATACTGAGAGCATCGCGAAGTTCCGCAATATTTTTAATAGTTTGAGTATTTGGGCCGGTTAGGTATACTTGGGCTGCAGACTTTCCGGTGTTAACTGAAAAACGCCAGTAAACGTCCATTGATGGCAAATATAAAAACCGGTTAAAACCGAAAAGCGCCAATTGCTAAATATCTTTGTCCTAGTGACAGACATTTTTGCTGAAATCCTTCCTATGTAGGCGTTTGTAAAACGTGTCATCTTGCCAAGAATCTTGCAGTCTGCTGATCTCCATTCAGTGGCCACTATGTCTTGGAAAACAATGCCAAGGTTGCTGTCCTTCAAGGCAGGGATGTTGGCAGTGATCTTGCAGGACAGTGGCTCTTGAGGTCAGTCACAGTTGGTGCCCTTCTTGTAATCAGGTCAGAATGGGAGGAGAGTTTGAAACTGTGCTGGCGGTCGTTAGTGGTCGGATACACTGGGAAAGAAAACAGTATGCCGTGAATGCCGCAGTTGATCTCGCGCTATTCTCGAAGCTTCCCCAAGCCTCGCTGGACGTTTTGGGACTACCCTTTTGAGCACTTAAGATAGCATTTTTGAAACTGTGTGTTGTGAACAGAAAGGAGGGTGCAAGCACGACGAATGTGAGCCTGTCGAAGTGTGCGTGCATGTATTATAAACGATTAAGCGTGAAGAACATGAAAAGTGTATTAAAAATGATGTCAATAAAATATTCACTCTTTCGCTCTTTGGAGTATTTATAATTATTTTGTTTCTTTCAATGATAATCACCTTTTATATTGTCCGCACGAGACAATTCACTAAAACACACCGGTGTGAAACAGATAACGCTGAAAAGCGTTCGCCACTCTTTGTCGTAATACTCGCCGGAAAATGTATGCCCCAGTTGTACTCCATTTCATACTTGGTGTACAACACTGCCAAAGTTACTGGCACACACACATTAAAGGACCTTCCACCAAGTTATTCAAGCATCGAGGGGAATGCTGGGAGTGTATGTACACACGCTGCACATGCTCACCTTCTCTGTATACTTTGATTTGTCAAAAGCCTTCGATAAAGTGAGTCACGTGTTGCTTTTGTCCAAGTTACATCTGTATGGTGTCTGTCCAGAATTTTGTAACTGGTTTAAGAGTTATTTGTCTTTTCGATCAAATAGTGTTCGGGTTGCTGAAAGTTATTCCAAAGAGTTTTTTTTCAATATCAGGGGTACCCCAGGGATTTATTTTGGGTCCTCTACTGTTTTCAATTTTTATAAATGATAGTATAGCGTCATGTGTAAAGAACGTTGAACTGCTTTTGTTTGCTGACGACATCAAGTTGTTCAAGAGTGTTCACTGTCCTTTAGATTGTGATCTGATACAACATGATGTGTCTAATATAGCACAGTGGTGTAAAAAATATCAGTTATTTCTTAATCCTTTAAAAACAAAAGTGATATCTTTGTGCAGACGCGGTACAATCATAAATAACACTTATCATCTTGAAGGAAATCAGATTCAACGAGTGTCAATTGTAAGGGATCTTGGTGTGTTCATTGACTGCGGATTAACTTTTAAAAATCATGTCTCTTTTGTTGTCAGCTCTGCAATGAAAGTTCTAGGAGTTATATCGCGTTTGACCAAGCATTTTAAAAAGCCCCATTGTTCAATACATCTTCTTCATTCCTTAGTGGTTTCAAGGCTTGAGTTTGCTTCTGCGATTTGGAATTCAATATCTGTAACACAGGCTTTGATCATAGAACGGGTGCAAAAAAGATTTGTTTGAATTGTTTATGATAGATGGATTGGACGACACGTGTATTATGGCTATGAATGCTTACTGATTAGATTTTCGCTGAAGCTTTTATCGCACAGAAGAACAGTCCTCGACTTGGTATTCCTGCATAAGATCATTAATGGTGCAATTGATTCTTCATGGCTTATTAGTAGAATCAATTTCCATGTTCCTTTCCGCGCGACGAGACAGCTCACCCGTTTTGATATTTGCTCATCGTGCCGTGTGTCACCTCTTTCTTGTTTACAGACATTATATAACAGCATTGTGCCACCTCAAGTTGACATCACCACACCCCTGCCTACATTTCGCTGTCAGTTGGACAAACTTTTGGTCACTTTATAGCGCGTCAGTGTATATGCATATCTATTTCTTTTTTAATGAGTAGGATTTTTGTTTAAAAGTTTCTATTGTACGAGTTGGTGTACCTAAGAGAAGGCCGCTCGGCTGTTTTAGGGCACCCGAAAGATAAAGATTATTATTATTAAAAGATTAAAAGTAACAAAAAAAAAAAAAAAAAAAGCAAACAGGTATATTTATTAATAGATGGGCAGAGTGCCATTTGTTTTACATTTTTAAAATGTTTGCTATCGAAAAGTAACAGTTGTAGATGCCAGCATGTGTCACTACACTAGCAGCATGCTCCTTGGTGCTTGGCTAATTTAGCTGAAGCTATTTATCTAGAGATTTATTTGCTTGGTGCTCCATGGAGTGCACTTGTCACTGGGCAGTGGTGTGATGCAGAAAAGGGACGCTTGTGGAGTGGGCAGCATGGGAGGGCGCATGTGGTCAGGTTGGGTATTGAAAAAACACACTGAATGTTGATCCGACAACCCTCCCTTGCAGTAAATTTTTATAAATATAACCACAGCGCTTACAGCATGAAATGCTTTCTTACTGCGTCTGCCGCAATAAACCCCCGTCAAAAACAAAGTACAGATGCAATTCGTAAGTCAGGATTTGGAGCCCAATGCGTTCCCTTGTCTACTGGGGGAAGCTTAAAGGGATGCTGAACCAAAATCTGGATTCCACAAAAGGGATGCTACAAACACCAAAACATCACTCGTACAGCGATACCTGGAATGGATGACCGTATTTTTTAGAAGAGAAGCATCTTCTCCACCTCGTCGCCTTGAGGGTACGAAGCGAAGAGAGGAGGAAACAAGATATCTCGACGTCACGCGCCTCGTCGGTCTCGTTCAATCTCGACCTCTTTTTCCAAAAAATATGGCCGTCCATTCGAGATATTGCCTTACGAGTGGTGTTGTAGGGATTGCAGCATCCTGCCTACAGCTCCCGCATTGTTTTCTGAAATCCAAATTTTGATTCACCAAACGACCCACTCTGACAAGTGCTCGGAGAGCAGCCAGCAGAGAGCACATCACATCCGGCGCAATCGTGACATAGTTTGTCTTGGGATGAGCAAAGCTATAGCAAGGCTGACGTCCTCAGAATGCCCTAGCCGTTCCAGCCACTGAAGCAGTCGAATCACAGCATCAATCCGGCCACGGCAACAAACCGTAAAGCTGCTTTTGTGTGCATTTTGAGTGATGCGTTAATCTTCTATAATATTGTAGAGAGAGAATAGTGAAGTCTGGGACACACAAAAGAGAGTCCAGTTTGAGTGGGGAGTTCCTCCCCTCTTCTTTTGTGCTGGCTGTAGAACTGTAGAGATGACGTCAGGTTCAAAGCATGTATAGTTCTAGGCAAGACGGTTGACGTCACTACCCGTCAAGGTTCCTAGACGGCCATTACAAACGAGGCTTTAGCAACATCCACCAGGTGCTCTTGGCTAATCGTTTAATTTGTTTTAAAATTCCTTTTTGTGTCTTTTTTAACAAGAGATTGGTGTGTTCGATGTGATATTGCTCCTTTGAACATGTATAGACCAAAAAACAAATGCCAAACTTTCATTGTAGTATCCCATTAAGTGCGAGGTCTTGGGCATGTCCCGTGCATTATGTGGGTAGTGCAAACATCACAGGGACTTTTTAATTAGTTTATTTACACAGGCCGTGGACACACCATGCTAGTAGTTTTGATGAGCCTTTCAATTCTAGGAGATGCAGAAAAATCTGAGGATCGGTTGTTTCTGTGAACAGCGACACCCCTCTGTACCTCGTCGCATGGTTTCTGTACAAACGGAACCAAAATAAACCCCCAGACACCAGGACATTCCTCTAGACAAGTGGTGCCACAACTCGGAGGTCATTGTAGTTGGAACGGATAATTTGCTCCAAGACGCAACGTCACAGGCGCTTGCAAGACCTGTCACGTATAACGCGACTCTCATCACGTCAAGAAATGTTCTTCACAGAAACACTCGTTCCTCATGCCGCCACGTGCGTGGCCGAGTTGACAGGGCACATGGGTCACTATGCGGAGGCAGAGGGTTTGGTCCCTGCCAGCAATATCTTCCTTTTTAATCTTTTCCCCTCCAAGGAATGTTCTAGTTCAATTGCATTAGTTGTTTGTTTGCTTCAAAGGGTCTGTGTAAAAGCAGCTGTGTGCCACTACAGACAGTCAGTATTGTAGTAGTTCCTGAATCCACTGTCGCACCGACATTAATGCCCGCAACGACGACATAAAGAAAAGCTTCATTTTATATTGCGATTAGTGCACATAAAAGCATCCAGTAATTGGGCAAAGCATGGTGCATGCTCTGGTGTCTTAAAACGGGTGCTTTTTAGTACCACAGATGACAATCATCCATTGATGTTGTACCGCATTTATGCAAATATGTACAAGAGGCAGTCTTGCACTTATGTTCAACATGTTTTATTGTGTTTTGCTTTCATGCACAACACCGCCTCATCAAACAAACAGCTTCCTCAGTTGCCACAAAATTTTTCTTGACAAGTATAGCACTCGGGCCACTGTGGCCTTTCCTCGGACTGGCACGTTTTATTGAGTTTTGTTTTTAGGTAGAAGACTGCCTTAGTAAACGGCCAGTTTCCTCAGCAAGAAAGACTGTCGGAAAGGTTTTATTGCCACCTTTCACAGTGTCCAGTCGAAATAAGCGTGGCACCACTCCCCGTCTTTTTGGAAATCGTCCTCAGGGGTCCTGCTGGTACCCTTCCGTGCGAATGTCGTTGAGGCCCAGGGCCTCATCCTGCTCAAAGGAGCGCTGGTAGCGCACCACGGTCAGGGCCGGGTCCGGGTCTGGGGCGCACAGGCTCTGCACGTGGCTGTTGCCGCAGGGGTCATCCAGCACCAGGGTCACGGGCAGCTCGCCCCGGGCCGCCCGCCCCAGCCGGTCCACCACCGTCCCCATGCGCAGACGCCGGCCCTCGGGTGCAGAGTCCCCCTGCAGTCGGCAGACGGAAACGGGAGTCGAGCAGACGCCGCATGAATTGGACGCCTGCATCGGTTACGCCCGTGGCAACCGAAACAACCGGGCAGGGATGGGCAGTATTTCAAATACTTTGTGTATTTTGCATTTGTATATAATTGCGAATTGGGTAATGTATTTGACGTGTGTATTTAGATACTAAAACGTGGGTATTTCAAATACAATTGTAATTAAATACAATTTTGTGGGCGAAAATACATCCCTCCAATTTATTGTCACTGTCCAGAGCACGAAGAAACTATGTTCTGCACCGAATGCAGTGTCTCTCAATCAAGCACAAGCGTTTAGTGACTTTGTGATTACGGTGCTAGTCCAGGGCAAGAATAGTGACGAAATCGACGTTCACGGGCAGACTGGCTAAATAAGTGCCTGTGACAACTTGTGGTGCTTTTCAGTCTGATTTCCATCCACATTTTTGCCTGGAACATTCTAAATGCGCAGGTCGTCCACACTTTCGTAACTGGTGCGAGTTGCAACAATAAAAAATTCTTTAGCTAGTGCTGCGCGTCTTGGTCGTCTTGGTTCTTTGTTGGTCTATACCAAAATGTAATCGACAAAAAAAGCTGCTTGAAGCTCTGTACTTTTTTCATCTATTACGTCCAAGCTGATTACATTTATTGTGATTATATTTCTATTACATTACTAGAGCCTCGCACATTAACTCCCGAGTGTGCGATGCAAAATTAAAATGAGATACCCAGAAACCCGTTGCAGGTGCCTTGAAGTCGCTGACGCAAATTTTGGGGAATGTATTTGGAAAAGTATTTGGAGGAGACCAAATACATTTGGTTGTATTTGTATCTTGTACTTAAACGTTTTTGGAAATGTAATTAGATTTGTAATTAAATACATTTTTGACAAAGTATTTTGTATTTGTATTTCAATACATATTTTCATGTATTTTGCCCATCCCTGCAACCGGGAAACCGACGCGCAACGGTGACTCGTGATTGGTCGTAAAGCTGCTTCTTGCATTGTTTGCCATGTTGCGAACGGTTGTCTCGGCAAGTTTGTCGTTGGTGTCCTTTCGGTTGCTCTGAACGCAACCAACACAGCTATCTGAACCAGGCTATAGAAGCCAAGGCATGAGTCTCTATTTCCCTACGGCGGGGCACAGATGTAGAACAACGTCTACATCTACACTCCGCCTTGGCGGCGGGATATAGACGTAGAACAATGCTCCGCCGTTCCAACGCAGCCGATATGCATGGGACCTTTTCCTCTAGAATAATATAAAAACTCCACGATAGATGGATGGATGTTAAGAGCTGTACCCTTTATAATGTTTCATCTTGTCTACGTACAATTTTTCAGCCAGCATCCGCCTTAACAAGTCAACCGACCCTGTCTTCTCTGCAGCTCCGCAGGCAGCTCTCTCGTCTGTGTCTTCCCCATAAGGTCTACCACCATTGTCCCGATCTCAAAAATTCTTCGTTACCACCTCCTGACAGAACACTGTCCCATCTTAACAACTGCTGCGCAATTAAACATATATCCGCTTCTACAAACGCATTTAATCAGTCTTTCCTCCTTCAAGCCATCTGCGAATGGAACTGCCTACCATCCTCCCATCGTCACCATTGTAGGCCCCAAAGTGTTTCTCCCAGGTTTAAGGGTTCATCATTCTTGTTATTAGTATTTGTCTCCATTTTATATTTAGCTGAGTTTATGCTGAATGCATTCAATTAAGGGGGGATCGGTGGCCGAGTGGGCTGAAGCGCACACCCAGATCGACGCGCGTGGAGCGAAAGCTCGCGCTACAGAACCCAATGATTCTAGTTTCAATCCCCACCCCTGCCCGTTTCGATCTGGATGAGCATCGTACCGGCGTGCGGTCGTGTATCACTACTGCGTGATGCACGTTAAAGACCCCAGGCTAGCGGTTGTACTGCACTGGCTAAATTGCTCATCTACAGCGTGTGACTCGTCGCAACTCTAATGGCAGACCAACTACACGCTGTATAAATATCCCCACAACCCAATTATTATTGCATTCAATTAACCTGCATTTTTGCTTTTTGATTTGTATAAACATGTATTATCCCCCCTCCCTTACTGAAAAGAAGAAAAAAAAAAAAGGTTTTAAACAGTCTAGTTGGGATATGTGTGTCAAAAAAGAAATTTTTATAGCAATATTGACGGCGCGAGACACAATTTAGTCAGTAGTCACCTCCTTTCCACTTGTTTTCTTCACATTTCGAGTGCATGAGGGAGAGAAGCTGTGAACATCTCGTTTAAGGTGAAAAGAGTGTATGACCATTCCGTGATGTCATGGATTTTGCGCGCAGAATTCAGATGCAACTAGATTAAATTTTGTACAAAACTGTTCAATTTGTTTTTCTTTTTATTGTTTTTTTAAAGGGACACTCACAGGGCATTTATGCTCACCAGGGTTTTAATTTGTACATGACATGAGAACCCAACTACCTAGAACACACGTTGCGGCTCAAAATTTGTTTTCTTTCCGCCCAAAAACAGCTAATTGGGAACTGGCCGGTTTGACTCATGCTCACTCTCCTCTTCATGGTCATGTGCCGTTTCCTATGGTTTAGACACAACCACCAAAGATAACTAATGTCATGGGTCATCGAAGGCACACACTCAATACTGGAAAGGTACAGAAAATATGATACCACTTTTTGCGGCTTCTAAAAAGTAACAAACACATTGACTAAAAAAAGAAGTTGCAGTTATGTGATTTTTGGTATCTTTCTCCTCCTCTATTTCTTCCTCTCCAGTCCAGTTTCGAGCATTTGCATTTTTTTTTTACTTTATTAAAAATATATGTGACACTGTAGAAAAATATTGTTTGGGTAGTCTTTTAACACCATAAATGGCCTGACAAAAAAAAAAAAATTTTTTCTGGTGGGGGAAATGTTTTTTTTTTTAAAGATGAAATAAAAAAAAAATGAAATTAATGGGTGTTAGCTCTTTCTCCCCACCCCTCTGTGTCAATTTTCTTCCCCTCTGCATTCTCTCTGCATTTTTTTTTGTGACTAGGCGATGGGGGGTATTGCCAGGATGACCTTGCGGAGATTGGGGAAAAAATTTAAAACAATGCAACCCCGCTTGTCAATGCTGTCTGCCGCTAAGCTATGTGAAGAGCGAAATTTGGTAAAATTTATGAACATGAAAATGAACACAAAGTGTATGCATGTTCTCCTCATAAATGGTTTTGACTGTCTTTACCATGCCTCAAACAACTTCAAGTGACAATATTTGGGCCAATCCTACCGGAATCAGTCTTATACAATAGAGACAGGGTTTACGCAATAAAAATACTTTACTCCTACCCGACACAGAGCGCGACTAGTGCCCTTTAGGCGACTGGTGTGCAACCGACAAGGTCGGCCTGGTCCAGGTGTAGACCCCGAAACCCCTCGGAGACTAGCAGAGTGCTCTACCAACGGGGCTAACCAGGAGTTAGCCATCAATATAAGAAGTGCATGTCGACAGTTGCCACCGGTCTTAACGTACACACTGCAAGGGTGAGTGTCTGACGCTGTATGGGTAGAGGCTAATAATTTAGGGGAAGTCGTTCATGCAACAATAAACTGACTTTTACCCGCGTGCAACGTTTGTCCTCTACGTGACTGGTGTGCCACTAAAAAAAGTCTGCCCAGTTTGAGCACCTATCCTGGGAACTCGCTGCCAGACTAGCGGAGCGTTCTACCAACCAAGCTAAGTAGGAAGTGTCCAAGTGTATGTGTTCAGGGGAGCACCTGCAGTTCTTCATATGTCACTGAGAGGATGAAAGTGACAGGGAGGCCTTTCAGTTGTCCCACCCTCAGTGCGAGTTTCCTACCTTCGCCACAGTTTTAAGGTCTCGCGAGATTTGAACGTGCATGCACGGCCAAAGTATGACGAAAGGCAACGAGCATGCGCTGGAGGGTAGGCATCCGAAAGAACGCCCTGTTGTTCCCATCCTGCGACTTTAGAGGAGAATACTTCTATACATGGCTTGCATTGATGTCACGTCAGCATACTTCTGTAGCACACATTTGGCACCACCGAATGTGTTCTTCTCCGCAATGCTTGACAAGAACAAATTCGATTTTGCGAAATGTATGCTGCAGAAGGTAGGGCACAAGAGCGTGATGTAGAGCAATGGCGGCTGGTACGGTGCCATATGACGTCATATGCAAGGCATGTATTGGTTGCAGAGTGCAACAATATAGCTCGATGAACAGTAGTGGCGTGTAAGTGCTGAACACCTTGCCAACTTTATCCTGTCTGACCACTACGAGGCCCAATGAAGTTACGAGCCTGACCAGCCGTTAGAACGGCCCGACAAGATCTAACGAGCGCATGCCCGCCAACAAAGAACGATGACGGACTATATGACGGGTCGTGACATCGGCATCCCCACCTGGAAGAAGGGGTTCTCTCGGGAGAGCTGCGCGCGCATCTCCTCGAGTAGACCCTCGACGGTGGTGAAGCGGCCGGCCACGACGCCCTGCCCGGCGTCCAGGTCCAGCTCGGGCACGCGCAGCGAGCACGTCTCCGACTTGAGCACGTCCCTGGCCAGGTCGGCGGGCCGCGAGACCCGCAGTTCAAGCCGCACGCCCAGGGGCTCGATGCCCGCGCCGCCCTTCACCTCGCTCGTCCGGTGGCCGCAGCGCTCGCACACCGTGGCCATGATGACCACCTCCTTGAAGTGCGGCACCTGCGTGAGCTTCATGCGCGTCTCGCAGGGTGCCCCGCACTCGCTGCAGTCGGTCGGGAAGCTGAGCACGTCCCGGTGCACGTCTTCCTCCTCCTCCTCCTTCTTGCCCTCTTCGGGCGCCAGTACGCCCAGCCAGCGGTCCTGGTCCTTGGTGCGCGGGTAGTGCACTACGCTCAAGCTCGGGTCCGAGCTTGGGGCGCTCGGGTTCTCCACGAAGCTGTTACCCGACGGGTCGTCGAGGACCAGGTGGAACGGCCGTTCGAGGGCCTGCAGCTGCCTGAGCCGCGCCACGAAGTCGGCCAGCTTGTCACGCAGGGGCCCCGGCTGGGCGTCCTCGAGCGAGCGCTCCAGGCCGCGCACCGCCCTTTGCAGCAGGCCCTCGACGGTGCTCACGCTGCCTTCCTGGGTCTTGGCCGGGATCTCGAACTCGAGCTCGGGCACCGTCACGGTGGCGCTGTCGCTCCTCACCACCTGCCGGTTCAGGTCCTGGGCAGAGCTCACGGTCAACGTGTAGCGGACGCCCGTCGGCTGAATGCAGGCCGCGGGCTGCAGCTCACTGTTGTGCCAGCCGCAGTGCTCGCAGCGGAAGGACATGATCACCACCTCCCGGTAGAAGGGGATCCGTGTGAGTAGAAGCCGCGTGGTTCCGTTGCCGCGGCAATTGAGGCAGAGGCTCTCCATCTCGGTCACCTCTGCCTCGTCAGCACTCAGGCCGCTGAACACTTCGCTCTCAGCCATACCGCTGGGACCTCTGGCCAGACGTCAGCGCCCACGGCCCTGGACACGCCGCTCAGGCAACGCGTGGAAAGGCACCACCTCCGAGAAAGTCGTGGTGCACATCGACAAGTGAACCGCACGCACTGCACGCATTCCCTGGCCAGATCAAACGGGATCACGGCAATAACGAGTCAGCGACCCCCACTGCGCCCGTCGCCACAAGCACCACAAGGCCACAACTGACGCCACAACATGCACGAGGCGCTGCAGCGCTGCATGCACGTGCACGGACACGGACAGGCGTGGAGGTACATTCGTTTTGCCCCACTCACAACAAATTCTCGTCCACTGTGATGTCCGAAAGAAAAGTAATGTGTGACGTCACGGGGTGGTTCTGACGTCAATACTTTGTTTGTCCATTCATTCGGTAGTTTCCAGAGCTTCTGGGACAACGTTAAAGGACGGATTAAAGTCAAGCCACAAGTACAAGTTGGAGTCGCTTGCGGAGTTCGGGCAGCTGAAGTTTTTGCTTACTGCGTCGCCAGCGTTGTTGGTAATCTACTCAGCTTCTGAGGTTGTTCGGCCGATAAGAGAGCGTCGTGGACAAGTTGACGTCTCCCGTCTGGTCGGATAACTGTACGGGTGCTACGTGAGCTGGGAACGTCCGATCATGGCAAGCGGTAAGGGCCCAGCCTTTTCGGAGCCTTCGAGCGTTTCGAGCACAAATGCCCACGACTTTAACGTTTACGGTGGGCCGAGCTGCTCGAAGGGTCTCCTGCATCCCGCAGCACAGCTGGCAAACAGCGCTTCGGACCTGAGAGGTCGCGGCGCACCGCAGTCGCGCGATGGCTCGCCCCACGTCCTCCGAGATAACCTGTTTCCGGGGACTTTCCGGGTGGCCGTCTCGCGTACGGGTCGCCCCTCCGGGGACGGCCGCTGATGTTGTGCTCTTGGTCCAGGCAACCCATTCGCCGACAAGCTGAGGACGCTGGTGGTGGACGGCGAGGAATGCCGCTACTTCAGCCTGCCCGAGCTCGGCGATCCCCGTTATGGTGAGGCACCCCTTCGGACTTCTCGCCAGTACCGGCTGTACGCGGACCAGACCCAGTTCGCAAGGATCTGGGACGTGTGCGACACAGATCCAGTAGTATTTGAGCAGTATGCTGCAGTGCGGTAGGAGGAATCGTGTTGCCAAGGCACAACCCAAAGCAAGCGGCTAGCATTGTTTCTGGATTACGTCTAGATGCAGATGCACTGTCTCCTCGAAACATCTCCTTCTGTCAGTCCATCCTAGCAGCTGTGGGCTGTTGGTACGGAGGGGGTCAGGCTCCTAATGTAGCAAGAACCGTGTAATTTTTTTTAAATCGCGGCAGACTTGGCAGTGATGCAGCTGTTTCCTCGGGTTGAACCAGTCCCCGTTTGTAGAAAGGCATCTTCATGCATGCAAAACGCACACCTGCTCCCGACTGCACCACAGTTGCCGTAAGCACCGAGCTTCACACGGTCCCATGCCACCTGGGATTTGCTTTCCGAGAGAGAACTCGGCGGCGTCTCGTGCCCCGGCCACTGAAGCCTCTGGCCCTTTCCCTCGCTTATTTCGAGGAAGGGCATGTAAGAAAGGAGGTCTCTCAACTCATTCCCAGCTGGCGGCGGGACGTTAAGTGAAGCGTGCGGTTTCCGCCGCAGGCCGGCTGCCTTTCTCGATCCGGGTGCTGCTGGAGTCTGCGGTGCGCAACTGCGACGGCTTCCAGGTGGAGCAGAAGGACGTGGAGCGCCTGCTGGACTGGCAGCAGCAACAGCGGGAGGGCGTCGAGGTGGCCTTCAAGCCCGCCAGGGTGCTGCTTCAGGACTTCACGTGCGTGCTTTCTTCTTAGCTTCTCGCCTTTGGAGGAACCCGCTCCGTACGGGTATGGTGCTTGGAACATGTTTCTGACCGGCGCATCTAGCGTCCTATTCTGCCCACGCACTGAGAGGGTGCCCAAAAAGGCAACGAACGGTGTCAGAAAAGCCAGAGTGTCACGTTGTCAGACGTCGCGATCCCTGCAAGTATACCTAAAAGTTCGGAAAAAAAGAAAAAAAACTCGGAAAAATTGTGAGGGTTGTTGTCGCGCCGGCATCCCAACTCCTAGCTGCCAAAGCTTCTGTGGACCGTCGAGCTGGAGAACTACAGGGTGTCTCATATAGTGGCCAGGCTTTTTAAATTGACCGAAAAAATTGATTTCTTAACCTATTGTGCTACGGTTTTGTGCAGCATTGCCCACAGGGGGTGCATTTTTTTTCTACAAAATTTGCAAAAAGCGAACTTATTTGAGAAAAAAAGTAAAAAAAGAAAAAAGCATAACTCTTATGGAAACACATCGAAGCCACAGGTCTTCAAACAACAGGCTACCATTTAGCATGGGAGACAAGAGATGGTGCAAGCGGTCGCGACGCCAACTGCCGCCAATGAATGTGCATATGGCACCGAGAGCCGGCGTCATTAGCAGACAATCTTTCCGATTTAAAAGCGGCCCGAGCTTTTTCGATGTCGCGTTCCAATGTATGATTTTATCATCCTTACTAATAAAACACGTTCAATGAACACATAATCGATTAAAACAATAAATTGCCAGATTATTTCGACCATTTTTTTTTTTTTTTCGGGGTACTTGTTTGTTTTGCAGTTCCTTGTTCTTACCGCATTCGTTTTTGGCTCTGCGACTGTCGCCGCCTGCGGTATGTGTGCCGGCAAGTTCACTCTTTGCAAACTTTATAGAAAAAATGCAGCACCTCTGGGCAACGCTGCACAAAATCGTGGCGCGATAGGTAAAGAAAACAATTTTTGAGGTCGATTTGAAGAGTCTGTTTGCCATTTGAGATTCCCTGGACTTGTGGCAGAACGGGCATCTGTCACATCCAGCAACGCCGCTGCGACGCCGCCAGAATCGCGGCTGGCGATAACGTGACACTTCTATGACTTTGTCGGGCAAATATCGAGGAATTACTATTTAGGACGAGGTAATCACGTTAGCTGTCGGTGCCCTTCACTCATACTCGTATTCTTAGAGGGACACTGGACTCCCAGAAATACATTATTTTTCGAGTGGTGGGGTAAGATACGTACGTGTAAAAATAAACACAACCCCTCCACCGAAAACTTTTTTACCGCAATATTTATGTCACGAGACTCATTTCAGTGATTTCAAAACATGCTTTTATTTTGGCGCGAAGTAACGAAATAGAATCATGTGAGGTGCTCAGGGGAGTACACCTCATTTATTTATGTCTACAAAGATGGCCGAAGACTGGCTGGGTCTAACGGTGCTCTCTCTCTCTCACTTGAGGGAGGCTCCACTTCGTCTTTATCTCTCGTTCTGGGTGCTGTGTCTCTTTACAGATATTTTGGAGGCATTCCATACTAAAAATGGGCCTTGCAATTTTTCTTTTACCTTGGAGGGGGGGGGGGGGGTGAGAGGGGGAGGGGAGTTGATTGTGTGGCATTTGTGTTCTAATCAGGAAGCTAAAAAAAAAACAAGAAAACTTGGTGGTTGAGTTTAGTGTGTTTTTAAAGGGCACTCAAGTGGATTCTGAGATTGTCTATTTATGATGATAACTCAATCTGTGTGTTCTATGCATTTAATAAAAACTGAAATTACGCTCATGGAGAGGGCAGATTTTCCTAATAAAGATCCTATCAGAGATTGTGACACACCGCTTTTTTGCTCCTTGGAGCAGACACCAGGGGCACCATCAGATGGCATTTTCAAACAGTAATTGCTGTATTACTTCTCCTTCACCCTAAAGATTTGACGTTTTTGTCAAAATATAATGCACAACGCGATTAAAAAGTGCAGTAATAGTAACATTCGGAATCTACAAGCAATTAACTATTTTTATTGTCAAACCTTACGAAGGTGGTAGAGGCCCGAGGACGGCCACCAAAGACAAAAAATAGTGCCCGTGTATTTTTATTGCTACGATTTTACTAGAACTTATTGCCATCAACAATTGGTTATTTTTATTGACTAAAGCCTAACAAACAATATGCCATCAAAAACAAGTTTCTGCTAATCGCACTTGAGTGCCTCTTCAAAAAGGGACAGAGGACAGTTCAGCACGAGCCCACTCGTCGAGGCCTGCCGATTCACAGCATTGCCTGGCCCAGTGGTATGGTCGGGGAAGACTTGCCTCCCAAACTTGGAGTAGATTCGAAAAAGTGTTGGTGCATCTAGTCACATTGGGACAAACTCGACTGCATAGAGAGTTTGAGCTTGGAGAGTTAGGGCTCTGTGGATCGTTAGCCAGCCTGTTTGACGGGAACAAAAGTTGCGTGTGCGAGACTACGGCTTTAGCCGTCTGCACCAGTGCTCGCGCGGCATGAACGTTGAAAGCCACGAGCTTGTGCACGTGGTTTTCGATTCTGTCAGTTGGAAGTGTACGCAAAGTGCCGAATGTGAGGTCATAAAAAAGGAAGATAGCAGCTTACTTAGTGCCCCCCCCCCCCCCCATTAGCCAACGCCAACAGGAGATAACAAGAGGCAGATGGATGAACTTTGTTGGAATGTTTGACGCTAAGGCGGGACTTGCTTTATGTGTCACGGATCGCCATCAAGCGACATGGCTGGATGCAACGTGTGTGAAAACGGCGCAGCCAGTAATTCGCCTGAGGCCGAGTCCTTGGGGTGCTCCAGCACGGAGCACGGGCTGCTTCACAATTGCAGGATGGCGACGTGTAGCGTGCTGCTTTGATGGGGAACGTTGAGAGAGAAACACGAGTGAATTGCAGTTGGTGCAACCGTAGGTGTGCCCAAAGCATACCTGCATAAATGTCGGAGAGGCGTGACTAACCGGCAAGCAAAAGGAGCACCCAACAGGCATTGCTAGAGTTGTATGTCAGTTCTACCAATTACAGGAGGCGTTCCTTCGTTGTTTACGGCTGGTCTGGAAGTGTTGCGGATTAAGGTGTGCCGATCTAAGTATCGGTAAATTGTGCGTCTGAAAGAACGAAATGGTCCGGCCCTTCCTTGCCATCGTGATCCTGTCGTAGCCCTGGAGTTTAAGTGCTACCTGGATAACTTGGGGAGATGGTGGCACCGCGAAATTACCCAGCCGAGGTTAAAAACGAAGAAAGAGTTATTCTTTCCCGACAGGGAGTTTTAGTGGATTGTTTTTGCACCCCCCCACCGATAGTCGATAGCATCACGAGGCATGAGCAAAGGAACCAGCAAAGTATTGAGAGTATGGTTATCGGAACCATCTTCTAATACTCACTAATATCTCACTGGCCACTGCTCGGTGTTAAAGTGCATGTGGTCGCGTAGAAATGGCCCAGTCCTGTGTGTCTTGACATTTGCGGTGAAGGAAACAAGGTGAACATTTACATCTAGTATGATGGCATCAAACTGAATGTTAGTACTATATATGTGCGGTTAAACAATGAGCTTGCCGTTGTCAAACTCAGTCGTTCTAAAGGCAACAAATGAGAATAATCTTTGATGCATGCATTGAAGATGTACATTTCTCTGTGGTTTGGGCGAGCTTGTCGCAGAGTCAGAACTGCGTCATACAGCTTTCTTATCTCTTAAACTTACGAAAAACTTTGATGATCTGCAATATGCAATTATATTGCTTCATTTGCTTATGCATTGATTGTCTGATTCGGTACTGTAAAATGCCGAGCATGCACCCATTCCAAAACAAGCACGCCCCACCCCTCAATTTTGTAACATTCGGAAGGTATGCAAAAGATATATCTTTACATGTTAACCTAAGGAGTTCCCAACTTCCAGTTTTACATGATTATCTTCAAATTTTGAATGAGCGCTTGATCGGGATTTTATGGTAGTTACACTCAGTAATGTAATTTTATAAACATTCTGTTAGCTCTAGGTTATGTGATGGGCACTGAAGAATCACCGTTTTCCGTTTAAACAAATCCTTAAAGACACATTGGAAATTTCCCAGTCTAGATTTGTGCTGTTTGTCCACAAGACTTATTCTCTAAGAAATGTCTGAAATAGTATTTGCTTATTGGGAGAACTATTGAAAAGTGCATGTACAGAGTGGGGCACAGTTGGCACCATCAAATGGTTGCAGGTGTTTCTGCTCTTAAACTTTATGGACTATACAATAAAAAATGCCGCTTCAGTGGAAATCTGTGTTCAGTAAGCTACACAATAAAACTGGGTACTCGCTAATGTTCTGTCTGAGCAAAATGCGAAGTACTCTCGGTGTAATGTTTGCTCTAACAAAGTAGTGCAGTGCACGTGCCAGATACAAGAAAAATTAAAATACTATCAATAAACTCTCGGCCTCTCATTCCACCTGCTATGCCAGGCCACCTGCATAGCAGGCTGGCGACTTGCATGGTTGAGTGTTGTCAATGACTACCTTGTAAGAATTGGACAATCTGTTGCTATTTATTATTTCTTGTGCCCTAAGTTTTGTCTTGTACGCCCTTATACTTTGCACTGTAACCAAACGTCTGCTCAAGGTGTTTACCTGAAGGACACATTTGAACAGAAAGAGTGCCCATTCACTGCCAGTGTGTTTTAAAGCAGTCGAATTACTTTTGACTCGTGTCTGACAAGGTCCGCTTCAGTTTACAAATTGGTTTCTATAAACTTTTGAATGTCACTTCCTGAAGCATACACAAGGGGCTTTTGTCAGTTGCAAGTGCCATTCAACCTTACTCGTTCTAGGGGAGGTTTGCAATACCATTTTGTGGCATCCTGTAGGAGAATGACTTAGAGGCACAGGAACATATCAGTGGGACTCGCAGAAAAACAGGGTGCGGCTCACACTCCAGTTGTTGGTTTTCTCTGATAACACCGACAAACCCAAACCTTTGGCCATCTCTGCGGGGACCCTTGCTGGAAGCACTCGAGGCACTTTGTGAGCTGCTTCTAAGAACATTTATTTTCGGCTTTTAAAAAGCTCAATTGTCCGTCGGCCAAAATGTGCTCCAGAAAAATACATTGGTTTTGAATAAAACAATCAGTATTGTCCAAGATAAGAGTAATCGTTTGGCATCACTTCAATGTCTTTTTAAAGGACGATGAGGGGTTGTGGAAGCCATGTAAACTGCATTGTTCGAAAGCTTCTCTGTTAAGGACATAGGAGCTTGGCGATTTCCATTTTTCAAGCCTCGATCGTATAGCACTGCATCATCTATCGAAGGCGGGTATGTTGCAGCAGTCACTGCATCACAATGCGGCACCTGCGAGGAACTCGCATAGCTTACAGGTAGAGCTTCAAGCTGCAAATGAAGTGAGCCCAGACTTGGTTCACTTAGCGGGATGCATATATCTAACCTTATTATTAATTATTGTTATTAATGAATGATTGTTAATTTATGTTGCCATAGTAATTGTAAAACAGTTTTTTGTGACACTCTTTTGTTATGCCACATGCTATTCTCGTAGAAAACAGCCCCTTTTTGCATTCTGCGTTAAAAGAAAAACTATTCTTAACACACTGGCAATGCTTCAAATTGTCATTTTTCCGCATGAGCCAGCTTTCAGTTTCTCCTCGCTCTCGCTCGTCTGCTGGCCCACCCGCATCCTGAATCACTCAATCAATATTTTATTTCACATCAGACATCATCAGACACTGATGTAGGGGTTCAGGAGCACGAAGCCAACATGTATGGCTTGACGAGGCCTCTTCAGGCTTGCAGTTGGCAGATGCCAGCCAGCCATCAGTGAACAAGAAATGAAAAAGAAAGCACATATGTGCAGGGTGCTTGATTTCAACTGAAACCGATTTATTTAAAAAAAAAAATTAGGAAAGATATACTCTAATGGTGGTCCTTGCAGGTGAGTTACCGTAAAATACCAGGCAAGCACCCACTCAAAATTTAGAGGCAATCGCGAAAAAATTGGGGATGAGCGCTCGTCCGGTCATCAGTTTTACATATCAATGTGCTGTGCATATTTTCTCACATCTTACAAATTTGGGAATGGGCGCTTAGTGTGGAATGGGTGGACGGGCGGTATTCTACGGTATACGGACTGCAGGGGGACACAGTGTAGAGGGCTAATTGTCACAGTAGGTAAGGTAATTAACTGAGACTTGGTAATTAACTTTTTAATTTGTGAAAATAAACATAATTTAAATTAGAAACTTGTTAAGTGCCATTTAAAACCACCAAATGAGTCAATTTTAGAAGGATTCGAAGCACACGGTACGCGCGTGGGCAAGCAAAAGCTTTTAGTTGCGTAACAGGCGCAACGCAGACTGTCCGAAAATACGAACGAAAAGATCATCTTTGTTTGCAGACCGCCAGCATTGCGCCTGTTGCACAAGTGGAGACTTTCATGCTCCTCTGTGCTTCTAGTACTTTTAGAATTGACTGATTTGGTGGTTCTACTGGGTGACCCAAAAAGCGGCCAGGCTCTTTAAATCGATTGCAAAATTCGGTTTCTTAACTTATCGTGCTACGATTTTGTGCAGCATTGCCCACACGGGGTGCATTTTTTCTATAAAATTTACAAAATACAATCTTATTTGAGGAAAAAGTAAAAAAAGAAAAAGGCGTAACTCTTATGGAAATGCAGCGAAGCCACCGGTCTTCAAACAATACTTTTCTGCTGCGCACGGGAGACAAGAGATGGCGCAAGCGGTCGCAACGCTAACTGCCGCCAACGAACAAGCGTATGGCGCCGAAAGCTGTCGTCTTTAGCAGACAATCGTTTAGACTCAAAAGCAACGCGCGTTCTGCAGGCAGCGACAGTTGCAAAAAGGAACTGCAAACCAGACGGCACCAGTACCCCCAAAAAAACAAAAAAACAGTGAAAATATCCTGACAAATCATTTATATAATCGATTATCAGTCCATTCAATATGTTTTGGTAGTAAGGATGATAAAATGATGAATGCATTGGCAACTGATATCAGAAAAGCTGGTGCCGCTTTTGAGTCGAAAATATCATCTGCTAAAGACGCCGGCTCTTGGCACCGTAGGCTCGTTCGTTGGCTGCAGTTGGCATCGCGACCGCTTGTGCCATCTCTTGTCTCCTGTGCAAAGCAGCACCGTATTGTTTGAAGACCGGTAGCTTCGCTGCGTTTCCACAGGAGCTAAGCCTTTTCTTTCTTTACTTTTTCCTCAGGTAAGTTTGCTCTTTGCAAATTTTACAAAAAAATGCACCATCTGTGGGCAATGCAACGCTGCTCAAAATCGTAGCGCAATAGGTTAAGAAACCGAATTTCGCGGTCGCTTTAAAGAGCCTGGCCGCACCTTGGGTTACCCAGTAAATGACGCTCAGCAAGCTTCTAACTTGAGTTATGTTTATTTCGTATAATTAAAACATTAAGTGACAAATTTAGTTAATTATTCAACATATTTTGACAATTAGCCCCCCTGGTTGTGTAACACGCTCGCAGAGACCGCATTAGCGTATGTCTCGCAACTTTTTTAAAATAAATTTGTTGGAATTAAAATTCAACACCTTGTATACATATGTGGTGCGCCAACGCAGGAGGGCAGTGCACTATGGCGCCCCACCCGACTCTGGTGTCACCTTGTTGCAGGGGCGTGCCGGCGGTGGTGGACTTTGCGGCCATGCGGGAGGCCGTTCACCGGCTGGGGGGGGACCCCCGCAAGATCAACCCGCTCTGCCCCTCGGACCTGGTGGTGGACCATTCCGTCCAGGTGGACTTCTCACGGACGTGCGTCCCTTTCCTTTCCGCCTCTGGATTTTTATTTACATAGAATCCCACATCGCTGTGAGGCTTCTTAGCGGGGAGGTATACAAGCATAAAACAAAAAATCACTGATATTTATATATTCAAATTCATCAAACAAATGTACAAAAGTATTATTAAGACATCGTTGGATTAATATATATATATATAATATATATATAGACGTTTTCTATTTCCTCTCGTTCTCAGTCATGTGGGTTCCGTATCTAATATGCAGGACGAAAATATAGTAAAACATTGGAGTATGCGAGAAAATATAGGCGAGACAAAACAAGAATATGTGACAGTGGTGCTCTTTTCGTAAACACCTTCCAGTGGCGTGGAGGGATCAAAACAACGTTTTACCACATACCAGAAGTGACGACATTCAAGATGGCTGCACCCTTGTGGAAAAGGTGTGTAGGCAAAAGTCAGGTGCGCAGACACAGCAGCCGTAGGATGATAAAAATAAAAAATCTAATTCAATAGGAAAAAAGTCACACGCACAAAAAAGTAAAGTGCCGGGAAAAAAAGTTTTATTTGTTTACAAGAGTAATTAAGGCTAGACACAAGAATGCTAGATACGTGGAGAATATGCTTAAAAAATGACAGAATGAAAGTCAAAGTTAAATGCAAGAATTTATAAAAATAAGTTGTTAAATAAAAAATAAGAAATAAGAAAGGGGCCTGACGTCTCTCGACGTTTCGGCAGTGGCACTGTCTTCTTCAGGATGTAAGCCCACATGGTGAAGTTGGTTGGTTTTATAGATTGACACGCTGTTTACAAACAAGCCCGCGTTTGCCCACACCAGGTGTGGGCACTGCGCATGCACAGAAACCGAATTCGAGTGAACTGAAGCGTCTGCGCATGCGCAGTGCCGTCGACAGCGCCACCGCTGCTGCGTGACGTCAGGGACGCGTGTTGGTCTATACAAAATCTAGGGGGAGGGTGTTGTTGATGCGAAAGTTCGAAGGTGTTCCTTGGGAAAGAGAAGCGCGGGGGATTCCAGGGGCGAGTCTACTTTAGTCGCAATGAGGGATGACGGTTGTAAGTTCTGTTCAGAGGTGCATTCAGATTGGGTGGAAACCTCCAAACAGAACTATATGGTTTTTGGAAGAAATTAAAGAAGAGACACATCAGCGTGACAGGAGTACAATAGGATTTTGTTCGGGTGGTCCGCTTTTTCTGATATTTAAAACGGTTCATATAAAAACATATCCCTATTTATTGCTAGTTTGTTGCTGTAAATATCATCAAAGAACTTTTATGTAAAAGATTTTTTTGTTTGCTGAGCAACTCCCAGTGCAGGGTCTCTTTCATGGTGGTGACGCTTGCCCCAAATTCATATTTATTTAATGCAAATCTAGCATATTAATTTTGAATTTTGTGAATCTTCAGAAGTCTGGGGGTCCCCCAGACTTCTGAAGAATATACTGGATGCATGGACGAATAAATGTAAAATACAAAGAATTTGACTTGAAGCTTGTCAAAAGTTTTGCCGAATAAAAATTAAGCTTGCGTATTGTCTTTAGGGCTGTCATTTTAACTTTTCCACCTAAACTCTCTAGCTTGTGTAATACCCAAGCACGGTACTTTACATTTGAGTGAACTTTAATTATTTCATCATTAAGGATGTTTGCAGAAGTAACAGGACTCTTTCTTTGTAAATCTTGCATGAATGCACCTTTGAACGTTTAAAACCATTCTTTATTTGTCACACCAATCAGAAATTTTGGCAATATCACTCTGTATAATATTAATATCTCTAGAACCATTAATTAGTTTATAAATAATTATTTCGTCTGTGAACAGTCTAATGTTTGATTTTATGCCATTAATTATATCATTTATATGGACCAGGAAGAGCAGAGGTTGAGAACAGTACCCTCGGGAACACCAAAAGTGACATTTACATAATCAGATTTTACCCCATTAAAGGGGTACGGAAACAAAAATTGAAATATTCAAATTTCGTTCGGAAATGAGTCAAGCATGACGGATAATAACCGTAAATGATAATCATACATTTGTATTTTGAACGACTGGCTCTATTTTGCGTTCCAAACGGTGCACTTGAGCAAGCGCTCGAAGAGAAGCGAGCGGAGAGCGCGATGCGTCATGGGATATCCGGTGCAAACAAAAACAGAAAGAAAAAATTTCCCGCGTTCGTGGAGTAGCAAGGCAGGGTGGTTATGAGCTTTGCCCTTGGTGGCGTTGTCAGCGTTGTGGTGGTGTCAATAGCGTCAGCGCGTTACAACCGAGCCGTTCGTAGTATCCGTGGCGTGACGAGCGTGTGGCTGGCCCACGTGGGCTGGCCCAAGGAGCACGTAGCTTCCACAACACTGTCAGCTTAGGGCTGAACGGGATGGGGAAAGCAACTTTTGTTCGAGTTTTGAGGGACGGGCTAATCTTCTAGGGGGAGAATGGCTGTATCCGGTTGCACGAATGAGGGTCCGAAAAAGAGGGGAGTCCTTCGTCTTCTTGGACCGTTTGGTACAATGCGCGATTTGTGAGTTGAGGAGGAAAGCTAAAAAGGAAAATGTTGAAATTCCAAAAGGCGGCGCTGCTCCGAAGGAATCTGCTACGTCACGACTACGTAGCAGATTCCACAACGCCAAATAGGCTCCACATGCATCCACCAGGTGCACATTGAGAGATTGTTTATTTAGCTTTAAAATTAGTTTTCTTGTGCTTTTCAACGGAAGACTGGTGTTTTTGAGGTTAGGGTGCAACATGCAACACATTAAAGCTAAAAAATGAGCGCTGAAAATTTTTTTCCCTACCCCTTAAGAACAACTCCTTGCTTTTGTCTGCTTAGACACTTCCTCAACCGAGCCAATACAGTAATCCCTCGTTATAACGATATCACTTTTTTCGAATTACCGCTTTTATCGAAGTTCAACGTGGTCCCGACCGAAATGCACATTATTTTTAACTGGAATATTCTAAGTATATCTGCGGCCGACCATGCTTATTACGAAGGCCACGGTGCCAAAAGCACGTAAGCTTACATGGAGGCGCACGGAGACCCTTGCATTTCTTCCCCCTTCTCCACCAAAGCAATGGTGGATTGGGAAAACAAAGTAAACGGTGACAGAGGGCAGAGCGCGTAGAGCTGGCAGAGTGCTGCTTCTGGTGCTGATGTGCCGACGTGGGCAGGGAGCAGTAGGGGCAGCGTCAATGTTCTGACGCTACTCACGGCAGCGGTAGCGCGGCCTGGGGCCGACGCTTCCCAACTTCTGTCGGGATCGGGTCAAGGGAGCAATGGAGCATGGAGGAAATAGTCCTTTCGGGAGCCCCCGACGCGCGTGCCTGTGCGAGCGCTCTTGTGGCATGTTACACACACACAAGTGTCGTATGAGAGATTGTGAGTGTTTACTGAAAGTCGCTTAGATCTGCGAGGTAGAGAAAAGTGGCTGGTCCAAGTCCGAAGTCGCCAAAGAATTCAACGTTTCGGCATTGGCTGTTCGACACTGTCCACCATTTTGCAGAGCAAGCAAAGCATATCGGATGGTTTCGCGAAGTTTCTCAAGCTGGAGAAAGCGCACCCGCGAACCAAAAACGATAGATAGCCAACTGCTTCGCGCACTTCGGATTTTCTCTCGTGAGCATGCTTGCCGAGCCGGCGCACGATTTCCATAGCTGCAATGATCTCCACAGGAGCGTGTGAAAACATATTGGCAAAGACACCGAGGATGACTTATTCGTTCATACTTGTCGATGCGGACGTTCTCGTTGTTGCTTTTGCCACAAATGCTGCGATCGTAGATCTTGCGTGCGGCCAGGGTAAACACGAATCGACGCCAAAGAGGCACCTTGGGAAACGCCGACAAATGCAAAGACGCGAAATACCCTACGGCTGCTTCAAAACAAAGTGAAGTGCAGCAACGGTGACATTGTTCTTGCGATGCCTGGAGCAGTTTCAGGAGTACTGATGCCTGGATGAAATTATCGGCAAACTCCACTTAATTATGCAGTACTTAGACAGGGCACGCAGTGACATGGCAGAGTCTTCTATAGACTCAACTTCTTGTTGGATTTGGGTGTTGAACCGGGCTTGCTCAAAAATGATGTTACTCACAACAATGTTGAAGGTCTGGCCGCCACTTCGGTGAGTTGGAATGTGCTGAAGATGTCCTCGACTTAATCGCTCATGATGTAGAGAAGGGCGTCAATTTGCTATTCGGGTTTTGGGCTGAGTCCCGAAGCAGTCTGGATATGTTGAAAACATGTTTTCTATTTTGGCCATTCGTTTGGAGACGAGAACGAGAAAGGCTTTGGTGGTTGTATCACGAAGGATGTGCTCGCTGTGTTGGTTGCTATTTTTTTTGGATCAGACTGATTTCTCGAGGTGCCTCAGAGACCTTCAGTTCAGGCAGCTGTCCTTGATTTCCAACATCGATCCCACTTCTGGCACCACCTTCTGGTCCGCGCATAGTGAACACACTTTTTTCTCAAAAAATTGACACATATTACACGGGGTAAAATTTTTGCATTTACGCACTTCATGCAAGTGTCATATTAGGTTCCAATGTGACACGGAAAGTTACTGTGGCAAGTCTCCACTGATGGAGGTGCACTCACGTCTGGTCGGGGGCGCGCCGCAGTAACCATGCTTTATAAATTGCAAACCTTTTTAGGGCGCTTTCGGCATGCCCTTTGCCGAAGGAAAAGTGCCTTACGGAGCTCACTTAGCACCGAAAGCAATGCAACCGTTCTTAGACGATATATATTGCTAGTATCCGGCGGTGCGCTCGGATATATACCGCAACTATGCATATAAGAACTCGTACGAAGTCAGAGCGCCAACCGCCGAAGCCCGTTTGCACGGATCAAGTTTCTTTCATGGAGACGGCTGTTACCAGGGGCTACCAGACACTCTCAACCTATGACGCAGTGTGCGTCTCGCTGCACCATTCCATTATGGATTAAATAAATGCATTTACCCGCAGTATGTGAAATTAGGCCTAACCACTGTCACGATTTCACTGTCCAAAAGCAGACCGTAAACGACGGCGCGTTTGTTGACATCAATGCATCCGATAGGCAAAGAATGTCCGGGTCTGGGCAGTTCTTCGACCCAAGCTTCGTCAAGTGTGCATGCTGCTGAGTTTCACAATTAATCACTACCTAGGCACTTGCAGCCATTATGAGAGAAGGTTCGCTTGGCTTGACTTGGCGTGACCACTTGGTGGCAAAAGAAAATTGACTTGGTGGCTAGCTAAATTGGACACAACTCGAGACTTGCGGAGCCAAAAACTGAAGGTGCGTTCATAATGCGAGGGGGAAAAAAAAAGTCCAAATATTGGTAACCGTTGGGGGGGGGGGGGGTGCGTTCATTATGCGAGTAAATACGGTACTACAGTAGGCATGAGCTGCATGTAGAACATGTTCCTTTATTTGCCTCTTTTATTACCAGCTGATGGCTTTCCCAGCCAAGAGGTGGCATGAGGTTTCACACCACAGTAAAAAGGGGCTGGGGGTGACAGAGCCGGGAGTGATAATGCCAGTGGGTTATGGGGCCGAGGAGTGACGGTGCTGGGCAGTGATAGGGTTGAGTAGTAACGGGGCTGGGAAAATGATGCGGCGGGGGGTGATGTCCTGAGGAGGATGAGGTTAGGTGGTGAAAGGGCTAGTGGGTGACAGGTTAGGACGTTAGGGGGTGATGCAGTCTAGGCCGGTTATTATCACACTCGGGTGTATTTAGAATTATTGTTTATATCAAACAGTCCAAACACCCGCGTGAAAGTGACATGTAATACTATAGGAGCGTTGTCTTTTTGTATCCAACTCCCATGGTGGGGACACTCGATGGGGACATTCGATATAGTGAACGAAGCCCGGCTGCCCGATGGTTTCCACGCAATCTGATTGCGCTGGTGGTGAGCACATCGCTTGTGTTGCAGGGATGGCAGACCGCCAAGCCAACATACACGCGGTAAGATACGCAGCAAAAGAGAAGTTGTAAAAAAGAAAAAAAAAACCTTAAGAAAAAAAATGGAGGATGGCAAAATTAAGACAAAGGGCACTCGTGCACCTATAGGTGTAGCAGGGAGTGCTTGCTGTCGGAACGGTAGCCTGCACCCTTTTCCAGAACACTGCTGATGCTGCGCGACTCCCTAGCCCCAAAATAAAATGAGCAAAAGAAAAAAAAAAAAGTCTTCGGCAAGTCAAGTGTATTGACAACAACGGTTGTGCAATCACACTTCAAAAGCCTTATCTTTGCTTAGCTTTTTCTTTTGTCATTATTGCTTTGCCCATTGTTTTTTTTTGCTGCCTCAATTTAAAGAGCTTTCTTTTTTGTTGCTTGCTTAACCTTTTTTTTATAATATTTTTTATGCGTCTCACTTTTCCATTTTGTTTTCTTCGTTTTTTTAAATTATATTTTGTGTTTTGTCGCTTATGCTGTGTGGAGGTCCCGGCCAGGTGCGCGTGGAAGTGCGACAGTGTTTGCGATCTCCGCCAACTACCGTATTTACTCGCATATTGGTCGATACGTCGTATAGGTCGACCCCCTAACTTCGGGACCCCCGAAAAAAAAAAAAAGTTGAAAAATATAATATTGGGATTTGCGTATTGGTCGACTCCCCAGTTTTGATGAGGCGATTTTTGAAAAACAGGTCGACCTATACGCGAGTAAATACGGTACGTTCTACTGTACTTAGCAACTCTTGGATGGTTTATTTGGTAAGCTCCCGTATGTTGCAACCTTCAGGATTAGCAGAGACAGCAGGAAATTTCAACTCAAACTCAATTTAACATATTTTTGTATATCAAATTATTGATATCTCAAACTATTTTAAGATCCCCTTTGAATTCAATACATAAGGAGATGACAGTAATGGATCTAGGAAAATGACGGGAGCTGGGGGTCGCATGGTAGAGGGAAATGGTAAAGGGGCTATGGGGTTACAAGGCCAGGGGTGAGGGGGCTGGGTACCCGGAGCCTCTGGGCCCCCCGTGCAGCGCGGGGCAGTGGCAGGCAGGGCTTTCCAGCGGAGACCTCTGTTTGCAGTGTGTTGCGCAACTCCCCGAACCCGGGGGGAGGTGCGGGTAGGGAGGCGGCGAAGCTGCAGGCAGGACCCCCCGGCCAGCCCCCGAGCAGGACCCTGTGTCCTTTCCATGGCCTCAGGCCCCAAGGGTGCGTAGGCCTCTCTCTCCCGGGGTCGGCCACGGCGGCTGGGCGGGGCGCTCTGCATGGGGCGCCGTGGGCCCCCCCCACTCCTCGAGGTCGTCTCTCGCGGTTCATTGCTCGCGTTTGCACGGCATGGGATGAAATAGAGGGGTGGAAGTGCCCGTCTTAGGTCCAGCAGTCGACAAACTTTTCGCCAGCTAATGGGGCCGCACTTGGCATGCAAGTTTTAGCTGCACTTGATCCTAGCCTGCAGGGGAAAAGTTGCCTCGTGATTTGCATGCAGTTTGAAAGTGCTTGTCCTGGTCTTCCTAGTGTCCTCGGTGCCCGTACTAATTGGGCTTGGAAACATGCATCCGGCGCAGTACAAGTTGGTAGCAAGTGGTGGCAGATAGTTTCGTAGATTGCGAGGGCACCTGACAAAGAATCTACCAAACTGCAGTCTGCTTTGGTAGTTGAGCATAGCTCTCATAGCTGTCAGAACTTCTTATTTTTAAATGCTAGATGCAGCGCGGCATTGAGCTGTGAAGAATAAAAACGTTGCTCCTTAATTGCACCTTTTCAGAATCTGGTCTCTCTATAGGCTACTGCTTCTAGCTGACAACGGCCATTGTGTGAGTTTAGGTAATAGGTGTGAATGCCTTTTCTGATTTCGAATTCACAATTTAGTATCCAGTGCTTGGAGTCTGAAATACGTAGCACGACTGCCGTTGCCTAACAGAGGGGAAGAGCCAGAGCTGTTGTCATTCTATGAGATGCAAAATAGTGGGAATGATCACAGAATCAAGACGGTTCAGGGTCACTTCCTCATAATTCTATTTGGCAGATTCAACCTCTAACCTAGGCGCCTGGAACCTGATGAACAATTACCGCTTCTGTGCGGACGTAGTGAAGATCCCAATTTCATGTTTGAGATGCAAATCTTGAGACCATTTTCGAGCGCCGTGTGCAGGGGGCTCCCATGACCAGCCTCTGTCAGTGGAACAACTGGTGCTGAGGTCGGCTCCCTTGCAGGGCGGATGCCCTGGAGAGGAACCAGGACCTGGAGTTTGAGAGGAACCGGGAGCGCTTCCAGTTCCTCAAGGTGGGCGTCGTCCCCGCGTGGGAGAGGGGCATTGCCCGACCGGCTCGTTTGTTGCACAGTGGGGCTCCCAGGCGCTGCACAACATGCGCATCGTGCCCCCCGGCTCGGGTATCGTGCACCAGGTGAACCTGGAGTTCCTGGGTCAGGTGGTCTTCTGCAGGGACGGCCTGCTGTACCCGGACAGCCTGGTCGGGGCGGACTCGCACACCACCATGATCAATGGCCTCGGGGTGCTCGGCTGGGGTGAGTGCCCTTTCCTTCCACCGAGCTCCGGCTGGAGTGCGGGCTGGATTCAAACCGTCACCTGGCAAGTGCTCGGCTGCATCCTGGCCCACACCCAAACAGAGTCTGGCCAACACCCGTCCGGAGCTTGGCTACTTTACACTTGGGCAGACTCTGACCAACACCTGGCTGGGTCTTGGTCAAGATGGGGGCACATGGGGCACGGGCACTAATGTCTGTGGCAAGCTGCCCATACAGCAAGTGTAGTCATATACTGCCAGAAGCAAAATGACTACCCTCTCTAAGCCCCAGCATTGCTTTTTACGTGCAATCTAATGTATCTGCATTGTAGCCACGTTGGGACCTTTGTGTTGTGGGCAATAAGGGCCTTGCAGTATGCCCGCAACAGTAGCACTACTTTGGTAAAGGTAACCGTGCATCTTGAAGTAATTGTAGCGCAGAAAAGGGCGTAGGTTATGTTTAGTGTTGTGAAAATACAGCGGACGTCTTTTAATTCAGTCACTTCATTTGAACTTTTGTTTAATCTGAAGTATGCACATGGTCTTGGCAATGCTACAGAAAATATTATGTGTTAATTTGGATCAGCCATTCCATGCCCCAGAGGCCCTGAAGCTTTGTGAGTGTGAAAGCCCTGCAGCCAATGTTCTCCCCACAGTGGGTGGCAGTGGTTTTGTTGCCCACCACTCTGACTGACTGTCTCACCTCTACTCTCTCCAACCCACCTCTATATTTTACCCCTGCTAGACAAAATGATGCTGATTTTAAAAGTGCATGATGCCCCGAATTCAGTATGGCAGAATTGTGTGTTGCTATTCAACTGAACTAGCTGTTCAGTTGAATAAATTAAATAAAAAAATAAAATAGAAAAAAAATAAATAAACAAAATTATTGCTGTGTGGCACTGGCAGAGGAAGCGCCAAAAGCACCAAAGGCTGCAGCAGCTACCCCCTTCTCCTCCTTCAACACCCGGGAAATTGTCAGATGTCCAGATCTTAAGAATTTCTGGGGAGACCCCCGCTGCAGTGAAAGTTGTTCTATCCGCATCTTGGAGCAAGGGTTATATCGACAACACTTTTGTTGTCGATGCAACTAGTTACGCTTTGAATTATTTTTTTCTATGCAGTGTGGCGAGTGTTACTGCACATTCCTCAAGTGCTCATGTAGTAGTTTGAGATTTGAGTAACCGCAACTTAATGGTAGCATCATTCATTGTGTGCCATTGCTGCTGCATCCGTTAGGCAGCACACTTGGCACAACTTGAGTTGTTCCTCCTTGTCAGCTGTGCAAACACTACTATTCCGTTAGTACCTTGAGCCACCTCGGAAGCTAAAACGTCTCAACATTTTGAGACATTTTACATCAGCCAGCGTGCTGGCACAGCTTGAGTTGTGCCTGCATGTCAGCTGTGCAAACACCACTATTCAGTTAGTACCTTGAGCCACCTCGGAAGCTGCCTAAAATGTCTTAACATTTTGAGCACCCGGGACTTGACAACAAAAAAAAATAGACAGTGCACATACAGGTTGAGAGCTGTGTGTGTTGCCCACTTTTGTGTTCCTAAGTCTCTGGTGTTCAAAATGTTGGAAGTTCACCGGCTTGCCTGCATGTTCTTTGTTATTTCTAAAGTGTCTCATAGGATATACACAAAGCAAGTGGAAAAATCTTGTGACCCTCCCCATTTCTTTTTCTTTGTTCTTTTTTGGCAAGAGTATGCTTACATGCAGAGCATGCTTACAGTGGCACATCTGAAACATTGAAGACATGCAACAACCCGACTTTTCTAGTAGGCAGATATTAATACTAAAAAAAAAAGTGGTCTCAGTATTCTGAAATTTTGATGTTCTTTTAAATTCAAAGCGCTTCACTGGAGTTGCCAGTTTCCAACTATAGAGAGTCAACCATATTTTGGTTTTAGGTTTAGTAGGTGCAACCAATTCAGAGTGGGTTTCAGATTCCGGGACCCTAATGGCAATATCTCTGACAGCTGAAGCTAAACATAAGGAAATGATGCCGAAATTGCTGCTGTCGCCACGCTGATTCGGGACGAAATGCGTTAGCATTTATTGCAAGCGTCAGTTGTCTTCGGACAGCCAGTCTTTTCTCCCTGGCGTCGCCGATTTCAGATGCAGCCGCCACAGCTTCCCTCCATCGCCGCCTACGGCCTGCATACTGTTTTCTTCAAAGAGCCAATGTTTTCTCCCATATATCGGCGGTTTTGAGCAAACGGCGCCATCCTCAGTTTTACGTTGTCGCATACGCTGTGCATACTGGGGAAACGAAACCATATACCTACGTTGTGGTGCCATCGTAAGAGGAGTGCGCTCCAACTGCCCCGCGTCATTGGAGGCGTGCAAGAAGACTCTTTCTTTCCTACGTAAGGGTGAAAGAGGACGTGACGAGCATACGAACGGTACAAAAGAGCACGGCGGGAACTGCGCTGCAACCTCACGATTCCTGTACAGTTCACCGCAGTTCAAATCAAAAGTGGCCACAGGCTCCAGGGCAATAGATGCTAACGCACATAAAAGATTGTCGGCAAAGAGGAAAGGCGTGCAATACACTCGTGTCTCACAGGGGCAAATCCAAGGGGGGGTGACGGGGGCGGCCGCCCCCCCCCCCCCCCCCCCCCCCTCCCCCCCCCCCAAACGATGTCGACCCTCGTCCCCTTCCCTCTTCTCGGAGGGCAATTTGACATGGGTGGACCCCCCAGTGCACAAGAAAGAATGGAGAATAGTAACCTTACAAATTTTGCCACCCCTCCCCAAAACGGAGTTCTGGATCCACCCCTGGTGTCTCGTTAATATGAATCTCGTTAATATGCCTGCCTCGCAATATAGACACAATTTCCAGGGGACGAACTGGGTAAATGCATGCATTTTTGCCTCGTTATTATGGACAGCTCACATTATGGACGCTTTTGTGGAGGAAGGGAGGTGGCCACATTAATGATCATCACTGTACTCTGGAAACCTACCTAGTGCCGACGCTGGGCTACCCTAGTTATGATTAATGATGTTTTGCCGTTCTAGTCTCGATGTTAAGCCACTTTTGCGTTGATGTCTGGTTGCCCTAACGCCGATGTTGGGCTGCGCTATGCCAATGTTGGGCCATTCTAGTGCCACAGTAGAGCCTTCCTAGTGCTAATGTTGGGCATGACCGGGTACGACGGGGTGCCGCCGCAGGCGTTGGCGGCATTGAGGCGGAGGCCGTGATGCTGGGCCAGGCCACGAGCATGCTGCTACCAGAGGTGGTGGGCTACCGGCTGAGTGGCACCCTCCCGCCCATGGCCACCTCCACCGACTTGGTGCTCACCATCACCAAGCATCTGCGCCAGGTCGGCGTGGTGGGAAAGTTTGTCGAGTTCCTGGGTCCCGGGGTGGCCCAGCTGTCCATTGCCGACCGGGCCACGGTGTCCAACATGTGCCCCGAGTACGGCGCCACAGTGGGCTTCTTCCCTGTGGACGCCAAGACCCTCGAGTACATGCGTCAGACCGGTGGGTGGTCTTGCCCCTTAGACTGGTGTAACACAGGCTTACATAGGCACCTACTGCAGTGAATGGCAAATCTTTCCATTCTCTGCAGTAGATGCCCGTGTGAGCCTGCGTCACATGACATTAAGATTCTAGCGAGGTACAGAAACAAAACAAGCAGAGATGTTCATGAGGTGTATGAAATTCGAGACAAAGGAGTAGATTGCAAAAGTGAGGCATCAATTGGATTATCAATGAATGAGTTTGATTATATCAAACCAAACAATAGGAGGTAAAAGCGCTAAAAAACGACGGACAAGTTGAAGAATGACGAACACCACAGAGCGCTATGCGCTCTGTGGTGTTCGTCATTCTTCAACTTGTCCGTCGTTTTTTAGCGCTTTTACCTCCTATTCATGAATAACCAACTAGCCCAAGTACACACCCTTCTACAAACCAAACAACCTTTCTGCCAACATGCTGATGACTAGACAAGCTGATAGGGCCTATGTAATACATATTCTTTCCGAATAAACAACGGTTGCAAGTGCGCCTTGTGTTGTCTTACATCTTCTTAACCCTCGTTGTTTTCGGCACCTTTATATTTTTTAAGCAAAGTTCGGTTGAAAAAAAATTTTTCCTTTGATAGTCTGCACCTGGTGTATAGTCTGCACATTCTGTTGAGACCGGTTATAATGAAGTTGGTTATAACGAAATAGTGGATATAGCGAAGTGAGTTCCAATTCCTGATGACATAGTTATAACCGGTCTCGACAGTAAAATATTGTCATACACAGCACACCTTGACAAGTGTTTGTTTCATTAACTCGCAAAGAAGCTCATAGTATTTATTGTACATGAATCATTATTAACATAGTCATAATTTAAAATTTACATTCATTAACGATTGAGACAATGAATCCTCATATAATCTGCACCTGTAGATAGCATTCACGGCATTAAATTTAAGCTTTTAATTATATGTATAGGACTATAACCTAGAAAACGCTGCACACCGTAAACAGTGTAAAGGTTGTCTCCAAACCTCTGTTGTTTCGAACGACGAGAAACAAACTTTCGAGGTAGACGAGGCATGATGTGCGTTGAAGCAGCGTCTGTGGGCAGTTCCACAACTGGCTTGATCTAGTAACGTCGAGAGGTGCCTTTCTTTTCTCTACGGGACCGTGCCACGGCAGTTGGGAGCCTACCTTACTTTGCTCGTGCAGGGCGGGAGGAGCGCACCCTGCGGCGAGCAGAGGCCTACCTGCGAGCCCAGCAGATGCTGCGAGACTACGGGGACTCCGGCCAGGATCCCGTGTACTCGCAGCTGGTGGAGTTGGACCTGGGCAGCGTCGTGCCCTCGCTGAGCGGCCCCAAGCGCCCACAAGACAGGGTCTCCGTGGACGACATGCACAAGGACTTCAGGGATTGCCTCTCCGCCAAGGTGGGACGCCGCTCCTTTTAAGTGCACAGCATTTATGGGGCCAGCCTTAGCACTTTCGTATTCGCAGATGTGGCCTCACTTGAGTGTGGAGTGGTGAGCATGCAGTCTACCCTTAGAGCAGGAAGTTTCCACAGTGTGGGCCGGTCAACATTAAATCGGACTATGCTTACCTTATTTATTTGAATCTAACGCACGGCTTTTTTCCGGGGAAATTGGCCCAAAAATTGTACGTACACTTGAGTCAAGCGCGGCCCAAAACTGCGCTACCATATTGCCATCGACATTTCAAAATGGACGCTCCATTACACGCCGAGAAGCTAAGAAGCAGCGCTTAGCATAGTCTTGTGTTTCTTGCGTTCGTATCAGCATGGAAGTTTCCACTGCAAAGACACGCCGCATTCAACATGATGCTGGATTCGAAAGAAAAGTGATGCAGTGCAAACCGCATATAAAGTATGTTGCGGGAGTCGCGAACATCCGCACTATAAGCGGTACCGCGCTATAACCAAAACATAATTTTTCAGGCCAAAATACATGCCATGAGACAACTTATCTTTGTAGAACAATTTATTTTATATTCAATGAAAAGTGAAGCTTAGTTTGAGGAAAGTCTTTATTTCACCAGACTAGTACACTTCTCTCTCGAGTGTGTCACACATTTTGAAAGAAATGAGTGACTTTTGCCTGGCGCAGCCTTTTAACGGCGTTGTGGGTTGCGGACGGACGTTGCGAGCGTTCAGGATTGCTAACCTTAATCACTTTTCTCCGGTGATGAAAATGCGTGAAAATTCGCATCCTTTATACGGTACGCGCCAGTAATACCTTCAACTTGAGCACACGCATGAAATGCTCCAAATAAGAAATCCGGGCGATGTTCGAAAACACAAATGCTTAGAAAGCACCACTGTAGTCGAAGTAAACAAACACAACGACATGGGCGTTTCTGCTGTCTTGAGAGTGCTGCCATGACATCGCCGCATGAGTAGGTGGATCTTCCCTTCTAGTACATGCTGGGTTATCATAGCGCGCACACAACGAAAATTCACAGTCAAGGATAGCGCTTTTACGCGGAACGATGAGCTTCTACCACGCCGTCTACGTCGACGATCACCACCGACGCCTTGTTTGCGGATAGAAGAAGCCGGCCCGCGACCGGCATACAACGCGCGCAAACAGTTCTCCTCGACCTGCGATTGGTCTGTCGTTGCGGTTGTTTCCAATGCAGCGGGGGAAAGTTGGGCTGGTTGGGCTCGCTCCAACGCCTTGCGCTGTGAACGACACGTGCGTGCATCCCTCCGTCGCTATGGCAACTGAAGCCTCTCCGCTTCTCCCCTCTTCTTCGAGCAGCCTCCTTGCCCCACGAGTGCCGCTTGCGGCTCGCGCCGTTATCTAGTGTCGCATAGGGAAGCATGCTCGCTGCTCCGGTCAGTCGGCGCACTGTTCCAAAAACCACACTATAACCGGTTTTTTTTCTTTGCGCGCCTGCATTTTAAGTGGTATGTAAATACATGGACTTCTATGGGAAGCGAACCGGTGGTTTAAAAAAGCCGCGTTATACCCAGTCCTGCACTATAAGCGGTTACGTTGTAAGTGGTCTATACTGTATTGTGTGCGGAAAGCGATGGAAATCGGGTCGGGCATCATGTGCGTTTAGTGTTCCAGAAGCTTGCGTCGCTGCAGGACTTCGCCGGATGGGCGAAAGATGCGTGGTGCACAATCCTGTGTGCCATGGTTATCAATGCCTTCAAGAAGTGCCTAAAACTATGGACGGCACCTAAGATGAAATGCTTTGGGCCGGTAAGAGCGATAAGGAGTCGTCTGACAACGATGACAAGTGATGCATACCGCCCCAAGGACGCTGCCCCGGACTGGCGTCGTGATGACGACCTTGCCGGCGAGAGACAGCGCCAATAATTTCGTCGCAAGATTGAAGCATTTAAAATAAACCTTCGTTTTTCCAAGTGAGAAAAAGCTTAATTTTTCGGGCCTCAAAAATGGGTGAGCATTACAAGCGGGGCGCATTAGATTCGAGTAAATACGGTACTATAGAGGCTCTTGCTTGTTGGCTTTGTGCACCGCCAAAGTGGCGCAGGAGTGACAACACTGAGCACAGCGCGTTGATGAGAGAGGATTGAGAGAGGCACACATAAAATAAGAGTGCTGGGCCGAGCAGTCACACAGCGGCTGACTGACAGTTTAATCGCCAGTTTGCAGACACTCCGTTATACGCGGTGTTTAATGCACCGTGAGAGATTGTGGTCTCGGGCGGACGTCGGCAAGGGCTTTCTAAATGCTGTGAATTTAGAATGCCTTTCTGAATGCCAGAGCAACAGCGTTGCACTAGTTTGCGGCGGTGTTCAGCTGAAAGTCATGCCCTCACTGATTGAATACGAGCCTCGTCTGAAGGCTGACGCAGCAGTTTTGTCCAATCCTTTCCCCATGCTGGCCTCCAGTAGGTGTCGTTAAAAATTCAGCACCTAGGCCTTATTATTAAAGTGGTAGGTAGCCTTATAGGGCCAACCAACCTCAGGAGCCACATAGGCACCAAATATGTAAGTCGGTCAGACCGTAACTGCTAAATGATCTTGAAAAAAAAAAAAAGAGCTCGAGGTACACCTAAGCGTTTCTAATGAGTTTTGAATGCGAAAGCATGCAAGCCGCTTGTCCGCTCCCTTTATTGGGCGCGTTAAGTCCGTTCTCCGGAGCGCGAGAGTTTGGCGCTCCTTTCACTAGACGGACAGGAGTGCCACCAAAGACTGACACTCGAGCGCGCTCTTCGTGCACCGAAAATTTCTCGGAGCGCGAGTGACCTCTTTGCGCTCTGTGACATCACGTAAACAAACAAGATGGCTGCGTTGCTGTTGAGACCGTCGAGACGAGAGGCGTAGCCGGTCCGCTGCCCCTTTTCAGTTGATTAGTGCTTAATTCAGTCGGTAAAAACAATTTGATTTGAAAGCCAAGACAACAATTAGCGCTCCGAAAAAGGTTTGTTGGTGCATCTCGCCTGAAAAAGAAATTCATCTCTCAAACGGTAGCGTGCCGATCGCACAGCGACAGAAAAGTTGTCGAGATGAGGAGATGAGGACCGCTCTCTCGCTTTTATAATGCTTAGCACAGCAAATAAAGATACTTCGATATGAAGCCGAAGCATCAGTAAGCGTTGCGGGAAAGGTTTTTTCATGCATACCACCTAAAAACGAATTGACATGCGGTGTCGGCGTGTCTTCCGTCTCGCTGCGAGACGGAACCGCCGGACCCAGGGAATTTCTGACAAATTTGGGGGTTTCCTGCGTCGACGAGCGGGTTCGAAATGTTGTCTTTAATTTAAATCGGAACAGCATGCATGGTCAATAAATAGATCGGCCAAGGTAACCTTCCAGCTTCCACATATGTGCACGAAACGAGTCTTCAAACTTTTCAGGAGTATTAAAACGTTTGTAGAAACTTAATAACGTTGCCGTCTCTTTTGCCTTAGACTGCCGCTCCATACGGGCCTAATTATATACAGTATAGACCACTTACAATGTAACCGCTTATAGTGCAGGACCGGGTATAACCATGGGCATCGGCAGGGGGCTGCAAAAGGGGCAGTTGCCCCCCCAAGCCAGAAAGCCTAACCCCCTTCCCCCCACCACTTCCCCAGCTCTCTCGGGTATGGGGGATCGGACGACGTAGAGCCATAACTTTCCTAGCAAGCGGAGAAACCGAAAGCAATCCTAAAAATAAAATCCAGGCACTTTCGTTTCCTTGCATCCATCAGCAATAAATACAAAAAAGAACAAGTTCTCCCCTCAATTCATTGCCTGGCTTGCAACCAGCCGCGCCCAGCTGAAAAAAAAAAGCATAGGGAGGGGCATCCGCGGACCACTTCCGAGAACATCGCAGTCCTGAGTTGTCAAGAATCACAGACATTCGGGTGAAAGTCGGTAATAGGCCCCCAAAACAGAGCGTCTTTGACACAGAGCGGGATTCTTCCAAAAAGCCCAACAGAACAAATCGGCTAGCTATGAGCTGGAGATAGTCCACGCTCCCCCTTCGCTTCGTGCCCCTCGTAAAACCGTGAGCAGTGGAGCGAGCCGTGGGGGGGGGGGTTCGGCCCCTTAAAGGGGCCCTGCAATCATATTTAAGCGTCTACCTTTTTTGCGGTTTCCACGTCCCTTGGGGTTCGGGCAAACCAGCGGGCACGGAGGGAGTAATTAAATAGCAGTGCATCATATTTTAACCGGACGACGCGGAAACCTCCTCCACCGACGAGGGCGACCCGCGGTACCGAAAACGCGCAAAATGTGACGTCTTTGGTCCTGGGCTTACTACTGGTCAAACCCGCTAAAAGCTTTTTTTTAGTCGAGATACAAAATATAAGTGTCGCGAACCGTTTCAATTATGTATTAAAGTAGTTTTTGTTCGGTAATTTAGATCAGAAAAGAAACAAATGCAGTTCGTAAAGTACGGAAACAAGAAAAGACCCGTCGACAAACCCGCCACTAAGCGGCAGAAAAAACGGCGCATACTAGAAAGGGCTAGTGAGATGAGGCTCCGACGAACGGCCAGCGTAGAAAGGTCCCGGATGTACGCAGCGGCGCTGCAGTCGTATACCGGCTCAAGGATCCGACCGGTTCCGAGCGTTCCAAAGGCTTTCGGCGCGGGCTTGGCTGGCGATTTGGCCATTTGGCGGTATGGCAGCGCGAAGTGGCTCCCGTTCTGAACTGATCCTTACTCCGTGTTTGCTGTCGTTTGTGGCCAATGAAGTGTTATGCCGAATTAGTCTTTAATCGCGCAGCAAATGCAATGCGAGCCGCCCCGGCCGCCCACTTCATACAGCCTATCCAACACCCGCTTTAGTGGCGCCCTCTCGAGCCGTCGACACGGAGTGCGGCAGCCGTGAGCGCTCGATGAGCTCACTACTCCTCTAGTTCACGGCCAATCAAGCCAGGACCTACGACGTCATGAGGGAGGTTATTTTTTGCTTGTTTTTGTAATTCTAATTTGCCTAGAACTTT